CGTGACGCTCTCTTAACGCATTTCGCTCAGAAGCAGTCTCAAAGCCAGAATCATGTGGCCAAGTTCAATACCAAGCGCAAGCGCGATGACCCTTCGTTCACCAATCAGCAACAGGGCTCTGGCTCTGCACCCAATAAGGGTGATAAGGCTGATGGAAAGAAGAAGAACCGTCGAGGCAAGCGCAGTGGGAAGAACAAGGACAACAAGGGCAAGGGCAAGGCTGATCACAGTCATGTCCATGGAGTCTCCGAGATCACTGGCTCCCTCACTATTGGTTCGATCACCTCGCTCACTCCGTCTATCCCTGCGCCGACAATCTCGCATGTCACGCACATCTCTCGCGATGGACCCAAAATCCGCGCGGTTCAAGAGAAGTCTCCCGTTAACAACAATGGGATTATTGACACCGAGTTCCAGAAGCCTACTCGTAAGGTCTTCGAGCTGGCCAAGAAGATGGATGTGACGGTGACCGCAGAACGCTTCCGGACTCTCGACAAGATCGTCAATGAGAAAGGAATGCTCCGCGAGGATGCAATCATGCGTTCTCCATCTCCGGTTGCTTCCGGCTCGAATCACACTCTGGATGATGGTCCTCCTGCCAAACGCAGTCGTATCGAGGAGATCCCCGACGTCGAGATGGCCACCAGCCAACAGAACAATCTTGATCTTCTGTTTGGAGATAGCGAGTTCGCCCAGGCTGAACCGGTCAATTGGGATGAAGTCGTCGACTTCAACACCCTTCTGGAGGAGATGGACGCTCCTTCCGCCGAAAGGCAAGTACCCTGCCTTCTTGGGCATATGCACAATTCTGATTGTTGCTCACAGCCAGAGCGCGTGATCACCGCCGCCCCGGGTTCTGTACTTAATTCGTTGATGATTCATTCGCATGATTTTTGTACAAATTTATTCTGTGTGCACTCCGATTTTGCTGCCTGCTCTAAGTGTAAGGGGAAACATCATCATCATCATGAATTAGGGCCTCTGTGGCTTCTTGATTCAGGTGCATCTCTCCATGTGACATCGGAGATTAGTGATCTGGTCGGATATGAGAAGCTCTCAGATCCTATTGTTGCTCAGACCGCTGATAAGAACACACGTGTTGCCCTTATTGGTCGAGGAACAGCCTTCATCGATCATTACGTCACAAGGCATGGAGAAAAGACAATGGTGACTTCTCAGATATATCCAGTGTACCTAGTGCCAGGATTACATGGTCGTCTCATGTCTTTGGGCTCCTTACTCAAAGGAGGATCTCGCGTTTGTGGAGACGAATTGCGGATCAGCTTACATCGAGGGAAGTCCCCACTCTCGATCATGGAGTTTAGAACTCTAGGGAAGGACATAGCCTTGTACTTCCTGATGTCGAAGCCTAGCACGGCTGAGACAGTGCGATCCATGTCCACTGTTTACAAGGTGGATTATGAGATCATGCACCGGCGATTTGCACATCCGTCGAAAGACGTTTTACGTCAGGCAAAGAAGAATACCAAGGGCTTTCCAGAAGACCTAGTATTTCCCGAGGAAACCCGACCGTGTAAAGGATGCGCGCAAGGGAAAATGCACCAACGTGCCTTCCCGCCTTCCGAAAAACGAGCGGAGAATCCGTTTGATTTGATCCACTCGGATCTCAAGCAATTTCCCACGGTGTCTTATCACAAGTACCGCTACTTCATGAGCTTCTTCGACGAAGCACTCTCCTATGGCTGGACAGTATGCCTTGCACAGAAATCCGATGCCAAGCAGGCTATGCGCAATTTCATTGCGATGGTCAAAAACCAGTTCAATGTCACCATCAAAAAGTGGCATATTGACAATGGGGGAGAATTCATGGGGATGGGAATGGAAGAATTTCTCGCGGAACAAGGAATTCTAGTGGAGAAGGGTGCTCCATATGCTCACCAGCAGAATGGGCATGCCGAGCGCTTCAATCGTACGATCATGGATAAGGCAGAAGCCATGCGCTTCACTGCCTGTCTTCCTAATTCTTATTGGGAATTCGCTATCAAACATGCGACACGGATCTACAATATGACACCTATCAGGCGTCTAAAATGGAAAACTCCATTTGAAGCTCTTCACAAGGAAAAACCGGATGTTTCCGAACTCCGAGTCTTTGGTTGCGCTGCATATGTCTTTATCCCTGATGAGAAGCGCGCCAACAAGTTATCGCCCAAATCGGAGCTGATGACCTACTTGGGCATTCCTGATGGTGTGAAAGGATTTTTGTTCATGCGCACAAACAATTCCACGTTCGTCGCCACCAAGGCATTGTTCGACGAGGAGTTGTTCCCCCGCTGTCCTGACAGCAATCGACCACCCCACGTTCCTGTTGGAGAGGAATTTCCAGAACGTGATGACCCAGTGAATCCACAAGATCCACCACAGGTAGATGGAGAAGATTGGCTATATGGAGATAATCCTTTTCCATTTCCCATGCCATCTGATCCGGCTCCACCACCTCCCGTACAGGGAAATGATGATGGTGACGACGGTCATAATCGTCAGGACCCACCGCCAGAGCGTCGGGATGAACCTCAGAGGACTCGTAGAAGTAGAATTCCACGACCAAGTCGGGAAGCTTCACCAGCTCCTGAGCCTCGAAGGTCTTCACGCCAGCGGAATGTGCCTACACGTCCAGGAAACGTCTATGGGGAAAAGCGTACCCCTACGGATATAGTCCGTGACATTCAGAACAGCAGAGGATGGAAGCGGTATGTTGGTGAAGATAAGGGTAGCTCCCAATCTCAACCATCAACCAGTGCTGATGCAGGGGTTCCCGGCCCTAGCTCGCAACCAGATTCCTCAAACGCGGGTGCTTCTGATGATCTAGACGAGGATGCACGCATGGAGAAGCTATGCCGGGAAGGGGGAGTAGAGCTCATCACGGCGCTGCTGTCAAAAGCGGTTCCAAATGAGAACCTACCTGATACGTCCAAAATTCGCGATTGGACGTTCCGCGATATCAAGCGGTTGCCTTCTGAACAACAGAAAGGTTGGATTGATGCTTGCCGCGACGAGTTAGAGGCACTTCGTCAGCGCAAGGTCTATTCCCTTGTGGACCGCCCGAAAGGACGGAAGGTTATCAGATGTCGCTGGGTCTTTGACCAAAAATCTGATGGCCGAAAACGTGCCCGCCTAGTTGCCAAGGGTTTCAGTCAAGTCGAAGGTGTTGACTATGACGAGATATTCTCTCCTGTTGTCAGGTATGAGACGTTCCGGTTAGTCATGGCGCTTGCAGCGCTAAATGATTGGCATTGGTCTGGACTCGACGTCAGTAAGGCTTTTCTCTATGGAGAGCTTGACGAAGAGGTCTACATGGAACAACCCGAAGGCTTTGTGGCGAGAGGCCAAGAGCGCAAAGTCATGCGCTTACACAAGGCAATCTATGGACTCAAACAAGCTGCTTTAGCATGGTGGAAAGCGCTGACCAAGTCCACGAAAGCCATGGGCTGGATCCGACTAACATCGGATGCCGGCGTGTTCTTCTACAAGGACTCTGATGGCAGCATAGCCATCATAATAGTCTATGTGGATGATGCACTGTTCTTCTCCAAGAACAAGAAGCTCCTTGCCTTTCTCAAGGCTGAGTTCAACAAGCGATGGGAATGCCGCAATTCTGAAGATACTCCAGAGTTCTTGCGCGTGCGCCTCAGTAGAGTAGGATCTTCGATCAAGATTGATCAGATTCCTTATCTCAACAAGGTGCTAGAGCGCTTTGGGATGCAGAACGCCAAGTTTGCAGCGACCCCTCTACCGGCTGGATATGTTCCAATGCCAAATGAGGATGAAGTCGATCCAGAGCTCAGGAAGAAATTCCAATCAGTCATTGGATCTCTTCTCTTCATCATGCTAGGCACACGTCCTGATATTGCATTTGCTGTGACCAAATTGTCACAATTTGCCGCCAATCCGTCCCAAGACCACCTCCATAAAGCGCTGTATATCTGCCGCTATTTGGCTGGTACTAGGAATTATTCGCTCATTTTCAATGGTGCAACGGATAGAGGGCTAATTGCATTTAGCGATTCAGACTGGGCTGCTGATCCGATCAAGAGGAGGTCTACCACTGGTTTCTTCACGAAATTGGCAGACGGGATTATTTGCTGGCAGTCTAGGCTTCAGCGCACAGTCGCGCAGTCTTCGACCGAAGCAGAGTACATGGCGATTTCAGATTGTAGTCGCCAGGTGATGTGGCTGAAGAGCGTCCTTTCGGAACTCCAGTTCAAACTCACCATCCCAGTACCCATTTGCGGTGACAATCAGGGTGCACTCTTCAGTGGCAGCAATGCCTACCGAGACCGCAGGATGAAACACATAGACATCCGCTATCACTACATTCGTGAGCGAGTCGAGGAAGAAGAGGTTGAACTGTTCTTTATTCCGGGCAGTGAGAATCCTGCAGATATGTTCACCAAGAACCTAGGACGCGTCAAGTTCGAGAAGTTCAGGTCCCAACTAGGACTTGAGTTCAACTCGTCCTGAAGGAATGGCCGATGAAGATTTCGCTTTCAAACACTATCCTGTGGTTTTCAGCGTGGGGGAGTGTTGATCAAATGATGATCTTATCATCTGCCAGATGGATGTCGTGATACACATCTTATGACTCCATCACGTGTCATCTAGAGTCATGTCGACTCGTCCTAAATAGACACAAATAGCCCCCTGTATTGTATATAAGGAGGGCTCCATTACCCTTTAATAACAAGTCTCTTGACTACTCCCGCATAGTGCCCACACTAAGCTCTCAACTCACACAGGTGGGTTGCTAGACGCTCTCCCCAGTGCTCAACAAGAAATTATGCAGCTGCAATGTATCATCTGGAACGTGTTTTGCCATGCGGTTGGGATAGTTCATCAAGGTCGCAATCAACATTTCCAAGCCCTTCTAAAAACCACCAAGTCTGAAACCTTCGAGTTCCAACCACTGATTTCCGTGATCACGAGTGATTGCGCGCGCCGAACAAGCATGATAAAGATACCCGTAAATATAACGGAAAGCACGCCAAGACGCGATATTATCGACATTGCATCAAGAGGTACTCCAAGAGAAACCTTCAAAATAAACGCAGTACACAAAGTATGCTATCTGAATTGTCAAGCATGGACTCCACCCTTGTAAGACCTGATCGTGATACGCAAACCGCCGGTCGAGACCAGACCAGCCTCGGCACTCCCCGAAACGTACGAGATGGGACGCTGGAACGTTGTGCTGATCGCAGGCTTGACCTCGTCGGAAGCGGGGAAGAAGACGAAGTTGCGCAACAGGCCGAACAGAATTGCCTTTTGCCTTGAAAAGCGCTGTGTCAGTGGAACAACTCTCGTGAGATCAGAATACGACGCACTCGACGATTGTGAACCGGAAGCCCATGCAGCTGTGGGGGCCCGCAAGGAAGGTCAGCTGGTGCGCCCAGACTCCGGGAATGGCGTGCACAGCCTCAGGTAGATTGTTCCAGCGATCAGGTCTGCGAGATCGTGAGCATTTTGTGCCTCTGCACAGAGCCGAGCCGACCTGAACTCGAGCGCATCCTCCCCCCAAAGCTCCTTGCTGGTGTTGATGGCCAAGATCGAGATAGTGCAGACCTGGCCCTTGCGGATCCTGTTGTTAATTTTGAGATGCTTTCAGTGCCCCACGTTCGTGATGATAAGAGGATGAAAACGAACGGAAGAGTGTCATGCTTGACGCCATTGCGGTCGACATACAGCTTGTCGAGCGGCAATACGTCGTCTGCCATGGCTGCGCGCTGGGCGCTGACTGCCGGGGCATACAATCGCATCGTCTCTCTGAGCACATTCTCGAGGAATGGGAATGCATCGAGCTCGTCCATGGTCGGGGTGTCAGTCGAAAGTGAGAGCAGCTCTTGACGCAGCTTGTCCTGGACAGTCTGATTGTGCGACAAAGCATGCACCGCCCAGGCCAGCGCGAGGCTGCTGGTCTCGTGCCCAGCAAGGAAGAATGTGGGTATTTCTGCCAAACATGTCGATATTAGTCTGTTCAACGCACCACAGCAAAACAGGGAAACTCACGGGCAATGACTTCGGCGTCGCTCATGCGTTGACTGGCGGGAACATCACTAGACATGTTTGCCTTGACAAGAATTGACAACAAGTCGCGGCCCGATCCCAAGTCGTTAGACCCAAGCGCAGCGCATTCGGCCTTTGATTTGTGCAAGAGCTCCCTTCCTATTGCATGCAGCTTCTTGTTTGCATAACGGGTGACTGTCCATCCGGGGAGCGGCTACCATCCACATCAATCTCAATTCTTTCAGGAATGAAAGTCACCCACCAGAGCCCGCAGCACCGGGATCGCAACTTGTGCAGCCCGGAAGGCCGCATTGAAGTTGACGTTCGGGTCGTTGAGCAACCGAGCGAACACTGTGCTCAACTCCGCTTCGTCTTTGCCGCCCGACTTCAGAGAGTTGAAGTGATATCCGAATCCTGCGAAAATCAGTAAGCGTGCCTCGCAATGTGTCTCATGTGCGCCACGCACCAGCCTCTCCGATGATGTCCAGCGTGAGCTGACGAAACCAGTCTGAAATGTTCGCAGTCAATTGCCCACCGGCAATGTCGACCTCTTTCGCCAGCATGTCACACAACTCCGATATCGCTCAGTAAAGTCGTGGAGCTTCGCGAAATGCGCTAACTCACCAGATTACCTTTCTCCACGAATACTTCATTCATCAAGCGGAGCTGCTGAGGACCAAAGGCGGGGCTCTATGCACACAAATCAGCGGACTTTCGACCACACGTGAACTGTTGGTAGACAAACCAGAATTTTACGCTGGGTTCCGGGCACGAGGCGTCAGCGATGAGGGAATCACATAATGTAGCATCCAAGTTACCTGACGTTTGTGAGGATCTTGCTCCACCGAAAGAATTCCTTCGCCCAGGATCACTCGCAGGGCGGAAAGAACAGCATACGGCTTCTGGTAGATGGCGCCGTGGGATAGGATGTGAGATACGGCTTTCACATCCATCGTGTGCAGATCGTCCTCCTAGAAGTCAGGGCGGGGTCAGCTCCAGAAAACCATGTCTGTTGACAACTTACGCCGAAAATACCTTTGGCCATGAACGTCGGGCCGTATTTCTCTCGCCACTTGTCCGTGATATCCGGGACATCCTGGATAGACACGAGGCCAAATCAGCGCCCAAACGACTTGCTGCGGTATATCTGCCTCACAAAGACCAATGCGAAGTGTCCCAGGAAAGGATTAGCGCAGGGCGGACCGTCTATGAAACGGAGGGGTGAGGTCCAGTTGGTGTACCAAACCTTGAGAGCATAGCAGGCAACCGATGCGAGCAGAGTAGCCACAGTCGGGATAAGGATGCTTGAAATCATGGCTGGAGTTGATTCTAATGAGAGAATGGGTGCAGGAGGAGACTTTATGTCTGAATTTCCTGATCACATGCACGGACCGTGTAGTAAACTGAAATGACCGGTTTCCCAAGACTAGCGCTTCGACGCTTAAATCCACGCCGGCGCTTACACTACGGATGCCGAAAATAGGTCGCAAACAGAGATCAGTCATAAAAAATGACCTCCGTAGCGGTAGAATTTCGCTTACTTGGCTTCTCAGAGGGAAGACGGGTTGCCTCGAAATGTCTTGTGCAACAACCATCACACTGAGGGAGAGAGAGTGTTCTGTAAAGGGTAGCCCGCCGACGATGCCTGCTTGATGTAAGGGTATGAATGTCCTCGTTTCAAAGCCGGAACATCGGCGATGAACGATGTGTTCTCATCGGGGCGCAGAGATGTAGAGTCCAGACCACATGTGCATTCAGGGCCCGAGTTGTCATTGTTTGGTCTGATCAAGGAACGCATCTTGTGATGGCTGGCTTGAAGCGATCGGTGATCCCGAAAAGCATTTCCCAGGCTGAGGAAGAGCAGCCGCCCGTGTGATGAATGGCACCATTCTCTCCCAGAGACGCGACGCGTGACGCTTCGAGCTTCCGTTCCCACATTTCAACGATGTCAGCGAGCAGCTCACACCGGGCCCGCGAGGTGTTGCAGCAACCGTCAGTGCTTGGACTGAGTATTTTCAGCAGCTTACCAACAGTACGATGCCGAGCGGACGACCAAAAGGAGCCAGAATTACATACATTTCTCCAAGTGTCATCGTGTGCATGGTACTACACTTTTTTTTGCTCCTCTACTTCTTCGCTACTTGCATAGGTATTTCGACTCTAACCAATGTCAGAAAGATCATCATCCGAGGCGTCTGCATATGCCTGTGAATCTCACAACAAGGCTCATGTCGGGGCCAGAATCATGCTGACATTGGTCCACATTCAATGTGGTGAGAAGCCCGAAACTCGAATCTCTTCGACTGTGACACATGGAATCCGTCAAGCAAGGAGGCGGCTGGGGCTTATTCGACGCTGGCACGTATTCCATCTACCGTGCTTCCGTCTCAAAATCCCGCAGATCCCGCCGTCGTCGATGTGCTGTGGGAAGGAAGGATCATCAGCTCTGTCCGGGAGAACACTGAGGCTGTTGACAATCTCGCCTTTGGAGCGCGAGAAGCCCAGAAAACGACCAGGAACTATCGAGACCAAGTCCTGCCAAAACAGCTCAACGGCCAATAGTGTGTGTCGAACACCGGAGCGAGACAAGACAACGAACATTTTGATTGTTCACCCGTTTGAGATGTGTGACCTTAGAGTCGAAGGAGACAAACGCATCGTCGTCCACCCGAGGCGTCCCAAATGTGACAGAGTTGACGTTGGCCGAGTCCGGAACTGTCGACATTTCACTGGAAAATTCTAGAGCATTTCATGTGGAATAGCTGTGGCGCCCGCTAGAGTGGTGGCGCATCGATCTGCGCCGCGGGATTCATTAAGTCGATTGTCGTCCTAGTTGCGTAGATAGACGACACGAATGAACTTTTCCGGAAGCCCGTTGGGGCAGTAATGACGTCATAGAGACACGGAGGTGTCGTTAAATAATTTTCACGAGTCACTCATTAGGAGACCATCAAGCATGGGTTAGTTAGACTGCGATGGATGCGTATTGAGTGTGTTGAGAAGTCAGAAGCATATCTGCAATCAATCGTTTACGTACCGGTCTCACGGTCAGATCACAGAGAATATAGCAGGCGGACTCCCTTTGTGGTGGTCAGGGTCGCCAGAATCTGTTTGAACTTGATGATGTGACTCGAAGCACGAGAAGGTCAGCGGTCGCCTTTTCCCACCAGCTACCTTTTGCTTTCTGTCCACCATCAGTTATGTCTGCCGACGACGCAGGATACGAGTCGGAGTCTGGGGAGCGCAATAACCCGACGGTTGAGAGCTGGGAGCACAACGTGCCCGTCGAAAACTTTTATCTGACGTCAGGCCCGACTCTCCGGTAAGTATCCTACTTCCAGCCCAATTTCATTTGGGTTGAATGGATCGATGCGGAAGATGGGGTCAGCGCGCACTTAATCGCCAGAGCCGCGCCATCGTCCGCATCGTCTTCAAGCGGACCAAACTCACACGGATCGAAATCGCGAGGATCTTTGGCGTCGCTGCGAGACAAGTAGAAAAGGCCGTCCATAATTCCTATAAGCCACCGGATCGCGTGGAGATGGATTATGAGCACGCAGGGGAGGCTTATCTGCGGCGTTTCCCACCTGATTCCACGGTTAATCTGACCTGGAAGCTCCTGAATACTGCCAACGGACCAGCGACCAGGACGCGCGTAAGCCAAGGTAAGTCTGAACCAACTCGGGGGAAAAGTACATATATATGTTTACTTTCCACTCTGATCAGTTTCTGGGATGCCTGCGGAGCCTCAGTCGCGGGTTCAAAGGCGAGAAATTCAGGATGGAGCCGATACCGAGTCTTTGAGCTCTGCTACTGTTTCGGTGAGTTTACCCATGTCATTTCCTCCGAAGAGCTAGCTGGATTCCGCATGTGTGCGCTAGAATTCGAATGTCCAGTCACCCACGCCAAGCCCTGTAGTCGACTCCTCGCCCATTGCCTCAGGATCTGGCATCCCTCGCACAGCCTCACTTCCCGTCACGCGCAAGGGGACCTCCAAGACGGCCTTGAAAGCTCCCGCCCCGCCCAACCTCGTCGCGTTCCTTCGCACTGCGGGTTTGAGCGACTGCCGCCGCCGCCTCGTCGCGGCAGGGCTGGACATGGGTCTTCTGCGTAAGATGGCAGCATGGGATACGGAGGAGAGACGCCAGTCGATGTGGGATCTGCTCTCGGCTGAGAAGGATGGAATATCGGGCTTGAAGGACGCGGCTTTGTTGCATTTAGATCGGGCGGTCGGGCGGTTGGTGTAAAATGAATCTTGAGCAGGAAAACTGATTAATTGTCTGTATCTCTCTATCCCTACGTATCATGTCTCGAGCAGATGTCTCACTTGCCCTTCTTGGTCCCGAGTTTGACTGATGTGCATGTGACACTCACAAAGTCACAAGAAGGGAGTCACGGAACGGGGACTGCCTGTTCTTCACTTTTGAGCTCGTTGTCAGCCTCACACGGGCAGTCGTTGGAAAGCTGAAGTAGCTGTCCGGACTTCGCAGACTAGCCTTCTGAATCACTGAATTACTCCGAATTACCCCAGCAGGCTCCGTGAACTCGAAAATGCGAACGGGACTCCAAACGGTTTGTTACTGCCTTTAATACTCTCGTCCCCTACTCTGAACGAAACAGCCTCCAGCCACGCACCGACACTTTTGCTTCGAGTGTTAACAATCCGCCAAGGCAACCATCAGCTCACGGCTCCTGTCCGTCAGTCAATGTCTGTCGGGCCTGACAGGCTCAAGGACAGGGAGGCGCTGATGCGGTCTGACTAGGACTCCTGGCTGTGAGATTCTGCCTACGTTCGTTGTTAAACCCCCTCATTCTTCACTTTTCAGACGGGATTCCGGCTGAGCCCCAGTGCCATCCCGACACCCACGAAGCCATACCACACGCTCGCAGTGCCATGCGGCTGCCTACACACTCTCTACCTCTGCCTCTCTTATATCTCTTAATCGCGCTAGCCCTGCCCCTCATCTCCACCGTTTCCGCGCAAGCCAACCGCACGATTGACGATTTCGCACCGTCAGGGATTACCTACACCCCCGCGAGCGCCGTCACACACGGAAACCTGACGGGGCTCGATATCACCAAGCTGTACAATGGCACGGTGTCGATGATGAACGGGAGCATGAATGCGGATGGGTCGGGGACCGTGAACATGACTGTGCGGTTTACAGGTGCGCTTGTTCGCCTTGCATCACAGTTGCGTGCGCTGAGGGACCGTTGCTGTGCACAGGAACTGCGTTTTGGATCTTTACTGTGAAGCCGCTGATGGACACCTCGTACGGCAATTCATTCAATGTCTACGTTGATGGTGTTCCTGCGGTCCAGTCGGCGTCGTTCGACCAAGTTCTCGATGCCGAATATAACCAAGTCGCGTACAACGATGCGGGGCTCAAGTCAGGACCTCACGAAGTGTTGTTCTCGGTAACGGAGAGCAGTGTCGTGTGGTTGGACTACTTTGTTTTCACGTGTGTGCGATCTCCAGCAAACGACGCGATGCTGATGTGTGCGCTCCCAGATCCAATAGCGCTGTAGCGCAGGCTACGATTCCGCCGGTACAGTCTTCGGTTCCGGCAACTTCTTCGTCAACTTCGACAAAGAGCAGCGAAACAGGCACCACTGCGACCCCAAGCAAGCCATCGTCATCAAGCAAAGGCTCCGCGTCTGACACCACGCACATTCACATTGCTATTCCAATCGCCGCGGCCGTCGTGGGTCTGCTGGTGATCGGCGCAGGATGTAGCATCTGGTACATCTGCCACAAGAAGCGCCAGCGGAGGGGGTCGAATGGCAATCCTGGAGGTGGAGAGTGGCCTTATGGTAGACCGAAGCCTGAGGCTGATATCAATGTCTACGGGCCTCCGGTGGTTTTGCCACAGACAGGGAATGCGTATTCCCCGCCCTATTCTCATCCTCAGTCGGGTGGTTACCCCCAGGCGCAGCTCGCCAACACATCCACAGTCGAGTGTCTATCCTCAACAGCAAAGCCGATATCGAGAGGACCCAGGGGCACAAGAATCGCAAGCCGCGTTGCTTCGAATGCCGTCCACACAATCTGTCGACGTGTCAGGGCTATCTTCACCAATGAGCGGCAGCAGCGGCAGCTATCGCGATCCGGGATCCGCGACATCTCCCATCGCCTATCTGCCCTCACAAGCATCCGCATACTTTCCCCCGACACCCATATCGCCAAGCACATACACTTATGAAGCCAATGGACGAGCGACGCTTTCGTATTCGCCCGTCGCCGGCCCGTCGTCCTCGTCTCGAGAGCCGGAATCGTCCGCCCAGTCATACGTCCTCGCGCAGCAGCGCGCGATCGAAGCGGAATACACGCCACCGCGACAGTGGATCGTCGATGAGAAAAAGCAGCCGGAGAGGGGTGCTGAGTCGCCGATGGCGTTCGCGGCGAATCCCGACAACGGGCCGCGCGCGCATGCCGCCGTCCCACCCCCAGACCCGGCATTGTCCACGATCGCAGCCGAGATGCAGGCGTTGAGGGCCCAGGTTGCCCGATTAGAGGGGGAGAGGAGTGCGCACAGTGGGAATACGGACGGGGATGTACACGGGGTGCCAGATGTCCCGCCGCCAGCGTACGATTGAGGTGCTGTGTCATTGTCGTTTGAGGCTATACCACGCTTTCAGATCAGAGTGCCAGGTGTTTCGGTTTGAATTAGCTAGTCCGGTGCCCATCCGAACTGCCCCCTGCCCTCGATGTGCCAACCAGAGCGGGTGCATCTTGTTCGTACCCCGATCCATTCGTATGGGTCGTTTGCGCTCAAGCGATCGCGATCTGTTCTGATTCTCAAGTCTCATTCACTTTCCATCGCTTCAAGCAGACGAAGATAAACAAAACTGCACGATTTGAGCCTGGAAACAGCTTGCACACTTCTCCATTCCTATCTGACTTACAATAGAGCAAGATCTCCGTCAGAGGCAGTGATTGATAGACCAGGATGCATCGGCTCTTCACGGGCAATCACTGCGTGCTGACCATCTACAATCTTATCTCAGAAATCATTGACCCTGTATTACCTTGGACCGTGATTTCGGATGGCCAACTTTCGGCACCAAATGGATTACTTCGAAGGATTTGGATGATATGTGCTACGTATATGCTCGGCTCGTATTGCACTAAGTAACAAGTCCTGCCTGCGAAAAGTGTCGATACATCGCAGTCATTAGCGAAAAGGATTAGACGGAGGAGTTTGCAAAGAGAGGGTGATCAGAGATCCACTGAATGCTTTCTTACGCTCGAGTCTGTGGCCCATCGAGATATGTACATAGGCGTTCCAGCACGGTCATCTGTATACTTGACCGTAGATGGACCTGGGTCCTGGTGTGCGGTCTCAGAGAAAGAACCTGAGTCAATCACCGGGACGGGGGAACTTCCAATTCTGAGCGCCTGACGGTCTCATCTCATCGCGTGATGATTCATGCTGCACATGGGGTTGATCGGATGACGTGGGCGCGAAAGCTAAAATCACGCACCATGGCGCAAACGAAGCGCTGCGGCCCCCATCTACATCACGCCTCATTTGAAGCAGCAGCCCGCGAAGCAGGTTGGCTCCAAATCGACGTCGAAACCGTCCCCCTGCCTCATGCAACCGCCCGCTGACTCGAGCCACGCGGTGCACCAAGTCATCCACGCCCGTCCCGTCGCGCGCCGAGCATTCCACGTACCCCACCGCGCCGACCCGGCGCGCCACCGCGTCCGCATCGTCGCTTGATACCGGCAGCTCTCCAGCCAGCCGGAGCTCCCGCACGACGCGCGAGTCTGTGCGCAGATCTGCTCGGCACCCCACCAGCAGCCGCGGCACGCGCAAGTGGCTCCCCAGCAGATCCAGCTCGGGCGTCCATCGGGTCAGAATGTCGTGCAGCGAGTCGGGCGAATCGATGCTGAAGCACAGCAGCACGACCTGGGTGTGCGCGTATGCGAGTGGGCGGAGGCGGTCGTAGGTGTACGAACCGGGGGTGTCTTGAAAGAGCAGGAGACTGGCATTGGGGTCGTCGCACACGGAGACGGGGTATACGTCGAAGCTGGCGTCGCCGTTCGAATCTTCGAAGCCTGAGCTGCAGGACGTGGATGTGCATGTGCATGTGCATGATGGGCAGCGAATCGTGTCCTCCGCCTGCTCCTTGTCCTTTCCCTTCCGTTGCAGCTCGATGCATGCGCGCAGCAACGTCGTCTTCCCACACCCCGAGTCTCCGATCACGACGACTTTCGTTGGCAGCATGTGGGTCCGAGCGCGGTGAGACAGCAGGTAGGTGGTTGTGTGTGAGGGAGGGAGATCGTGGGATCGTGGGCAGACCGATACGGGTGGTGCCCGCAGGCACTGCTCCTGGCCGTGTACAATCGACTGCGTCCCTTGTCACAGTCCCCCTGGCAAGTCAGACGAGGCTCGATGCGGCGCCAACTGAATGGAACATGCCACGGCCATTTCCGTATTCGTCCGTCTAACTCCCTCGCACCATCGCAAGCAAGCGAAGACACAAAAAATATGAGCGAGGCCGCGGTCCGTTGGCAAGTCAGTCGGCACCCACCCGGCAGTGAAGCATCGCATGTACAACCGCCACTCACAGCGCCGTGAGCTAGACCAAAATCGTCTACCCCTACATCCCGAGAGACCATTATCTGACCTCGAATTCACCCTCGGCTCGAACGGACCAACTTCTCCCACACAGAATGACCCCTCCTGGCCATGGGTCTGTTGACACATGGAAACATACACGTCAGACGTGGTAGGCATCCTGAGTCGAGACCCGACACCGACATTTGCTGACATGACGGCGTCAACCTTGGAAGCCATGAATAGCCTTGACTTGCATAGATATACGTAAACAGAACGGGGACTTGACGCAGCAAGGATCGGCTTTGTGGATTGAGAAAGGCTGTGGGACAAGCATACGATGCTGTGTCAATCACTCGGTAGTCTCCGTGATCGCAACACCTATCCCATCATTTCTGGACAACCAGCACGGGTTTGTGCGCGGGAGTGAAAGGACGTCATGTTGGCGATTGAAAATTTCATTCCGTGATCAAGTGGTCGAGCAGAACTTTGGAAACGTTGAATTTTGGAAAGGTTGCGGTTGGAATCGGCAAATTAGCATGAGCGGATGTTTGTTTTTTTTTGGTTGGTTAAGTATAAAAGATTTCGGAGTAAGTGGTAGTCTCATCAACGCATAAATTAGAGCACATTCTCCCAGATACCGTAGACTGAAACCCATGGCCATGAGCACCGGGCTTGTGCTTGATGAGGAAGTCCTCATGGCACCCATTCCAGTCTGTTTAACTCCTTACGCCGAGATTGTGTCGCACCAATATGTCGGAGAAATCTATTATATGTCCATCCTTGCATGGGTAGGAACGTTTTTTCCAGAAAACGCATCTGGGTAGTCTTCTAGACTTGAACCGAGATCACGCGACCACCAGAGAGCACCCACGTGACTCCGATTGATCGCAAAATCATTTGACCGATAGCCAAATCCCGGGTTGATCCTGACCAGGTCTCATCCCACTTTCCACTCGAACACCAGACTTGGTGGTCTCTCCACAGATTACTTGTCCGCACCCGTCCTCTTCGATGTCTGACCGACGAGCCCAGCGCTTATCAAACGAGGCCCAGACTAGTTCAGGTCGGACACACCCTCCCCGCCTGCTCCGCGCACCGCCTTGACTCCGCCGGGATCATTTCCCGACGCACTGCCATATGCTCTCATAACGATCCGAGGGCTTCGAGGAACGTACGTATCAGGATTCTTTTGTCTGCGTTTGGACATGAACATTCAGAACGTCGTCGAGTCGTCATGGCCGTTTAGAGTTGACTGGCAGTCCCCCATTCCACCAGGAGAGAGCCGTCCCATATGGTCTGCTAAAAACGAGGGGGACCACTCCTGCTGTCCCTTCACCTCCCAACACTCCTCTACTTTTGCGCAAACGAACCGACATTTGGCGGATTGGTCGAATTGCAAGTTGGATCCGGGAGGCAGTGACTCTCGGTTTGACAAGTTCCACGTTCCATGGCATCATAATCCGCTCTCGACCTTTGGAGCCCAACAATCCAGGCAGATCCTCTTCCCACCTGCCGTAAGACTGGTCAACGTCCAAACTAAATGAAACCGCGTGGAGACCTAGGCTGTTCTTCAGAGATGATCAACATTCGTCGTTTCTCTGCGCGCTAGTTGGCTGATGAAACCAGCTTGCACAGAGATTGTCCCTCCGTCTCAGGAACTCTCCTTCGTTTGAGGGTTTCTGTTTCCAGTGCATCGCGGATAGGTATATAGAGAGCGTCCTCCATCTCTGTTCGTCATTCCCAATCATCTCCACCCAGATGTCCCACGCTCGACAGAACTCGGCATACCACCGTCCGGCAGGCGCTTCTTACGAGTCGTCCTCGGGTTCATCGCCCGGGGAGTTTTCTTCCACAATGTCCCGAGGCAGCTCGGTACAGGGATCAATGGACGAACGTCTGAAAGGGTCCCTGCCAAACATCACCAAGAAGCGGAAGACATGGAAGAAGTCGAGTGATGGACAAGTGATTTGGCCGCCCGACCTGGAGGCTGCTCTGGTCAAAGGTAAGCCCTCCGATTCACTACTGGCATCTCCTTTTCCGACATAAATCCAGGTCTCGAAAAATACGTGCCGCCACCCAGAGCGGGCGCCGCATTCTCAAACCGGTATCCAGGTCGCAATCGATTCCTGTCGAATTTCATACTGGAAACGACGGGCGAACGGCGGAGTTGCAAGCAGGTCGGCAGTCGGATACAGCAGATTCGCGAATCAGCCCACAGTGGGCAAAACGGTGCGTGCTGATGTTTCGCCGGATACGGCTTTCTTACATTGTCCAATAACAGAGCTTGACCGGATGTGCGGGATCCCATCGACGTCTGACCATCTCTCCCCTGCGCCTGGCGCCTTCGCCCCGGCCCAGGAAATGATCGTGAATATTCCGATATATCCTCAGAGCCAGCAACCCTCGGTACACGGTGCGGCAGCCTTCCAGCCCCAAGTGTACAGCACATACGCTTCGAAAAATCAGAGACAACTCGCCACCATCGATCCGACCATCTGTTTTTCTCTCCCGGTTCAGTCGCAAAGTCTTTCCGCGCGGTCAGCAGAAACCGTGATTTTGACATCCAGCCAAGCCCCGGTGCATTCCGAAACTACGCAGCTTTCTTTGCGCCCAGGCCCGGAGGAGGGGAGCTGGGTCTACACCACATCACTTGTCCCCAATTTCTGGCAGGTATTTGTTCAAGATCCAGGTCCGGTGCTATTCTTTCTCTCCGTTTCCAAGCGCTGAACCTGACGCGCGACATGCAGATCCTTCGCGATATGAGATACGGCAGCAGGTCGTCTCCAATCTCGACTCCCGGGTGCTGTTCTCCGCCACTTATCGATTCGTGTACCATGGCGAGCCCTCGCAAACCAGCGCTTTCCCGTCGCCCCAGAGTCAGCACGATCGCGGTGATTATTACGGTCAAACGCAGCCATACAACGCCCAGCAGATCGCGGGCAGCTCCCATATGGGCGCGTACGGCACGTCTGGCCAAGGACACTATATCAGTCAATTCAGTGACAGGGAACGCTACCAGGCCCCACAAGCGCGTTTCGGAGAGACGCCCATGCGCTGGCATGGCAGTGCCTCCCACTCGTCTTTTTCTGGCCCTCACTAAGGCTCAATCTAAAATTAAAACATTAACTTATTCACGAGGACTTTCGTAGACTTAGACACGAGCGTAGAACGTTCTACTGTACACCCCAAAGACGCTTTTTGTACAGTGTGTAAAATCATTATTAGACCGCTGGCGATGTTTGTGTTACTGTAGGATCACCAGATTGAGTACAGATCCCGGGTAGCCGTGCCGACGACCTCGGCGTCAAACATGTGCTGGATCGACGGTAACGACGTCTTTGGCCCCGAGCGCTCCTTCTCGAGCTCCTCAGACACGTCCTTGAACGAGAACTTCGGACGGGGCCACCTCACGCCATGGATAACAACCCTCTCCTCCATGCCGGCGGGCAAGTCCACGTGTCTCGCCTCCCGATCTCGGGGAAATGTCTCTGGAATGGAGCGCCAGCCAACGATCTTGGCTGGGGTGCCGATCGGATTGTGTGTAGGGCACGCACGTGATCGACAGCGGAGGGGCCGCCAAGAGCGACCTTGCCCCGGCGAGTCGGTCGGCAACTCCAGTGTGCTCCGCTCAACCCCCAACAGCCGCTCAGCAACAGGATCCGGGAGCGGCTTTCCCTGGCGGAAGTTGTGGATGAGCAGGAACGCTGACATCAGAGGATGAGCCCCGAAGTGCGAAAAGTGGCGGGGATCCGACTCACTGTGCTCCCACAGCTCAAGCTCGTGTGCGTGATTTTGGCCTACAGCGGCGCGCAAACGCGTTACATATGGTGTTATTGGCGTTTCCGCTGGACTCGCGTTCCCCGGGTACGCGGGATTCGGCAGGCGGGCTACATCCTCTGCAAGCTGGTCCAGATCGACGCCGGCATTCAGCGCTGTCCGTTCCGGGTACTTGCTGTTGATATGTGAACAAACATATAGCGTGGCTAGAATCCATGTAGGGATCAGTGCTCCGGATCAGAGCGCGCGCAGCAGGAGACGCACCGGCGCAGAGCAGCTCGATCACACCCAACCGCGTGTGCAGGACATCTACCGATCTTTCGGGGAGCAGCTCGGTCTGCAGCCGCGCAAACCACAATCGATGCCGATCTTGGGAGTCCACCAGCAGGCATGGCACCACGTGCCTTGACAGGACAGCAACACTCAAGATGGGCATTGGAGCAGAGCAGTTGGAGGACATTGGCGTTATTTCGAGTAAGTGCTGTGGACGGATCGTGCGTTCATAGTGAGATTTATAGTGTGCGCGGCATGACCTGGAGTCCCAAGCGCCGCGATACCTGGCTTGTCTTTTCCTGAAGGTCCCGACGCGATTTAAGGCGCGCGGGCTTTTTCTTAGCTTTGTTTTCCCTGGTCCAAGCGAAAGAAGAGCCCTGTAGACGAGACAACATTAGGCTGTGCGTGAGAAGTTTGATCTTGCACCGCCCCCGACAACATGGGCGACCGCCGCGGAAATGATCGAGCAGGATGATGGATATCAACGGCACAAATGATTGAGGATCCTTTCGATCCAGACAGCCCACAAGTTCGCAAAATCCTTTCTACCCGACGAAAATGCGCAACGAATTCAAAGTGTCAATGGCTCAGATCCATTTCGTGAGTAGCGTATATCGAATAAACAACCTATTGCAGAACGTGTTCTAGTCCGTTACTCTGGTACAAAACATACAAACCACCTCCTCCTAATCATTAGACAACAAAGAAACCTGTTGTCCACGCAAATTCCTCGTGAGCATCACAGGTATGGCGCGCCAGCCCACAACGCTCACTTCCCCCCCAAATGGATGGTGCGAAGGACACACTCTGGAGGGACACGTGATCGGGACCCAGCGGTGCTTGGGACCGGGCGAGTGTCTAGGCAGAGTGAAAGTGCTGCCATTGGACTTGGCCATCGTCGAGACGGAGGAGTGTGGGGTCGGCAACGGCTGGCCTGTCTGGAAGTTATCGATGAGTCGAGAGGCTACAGTGGATCGTCAGCAATGCAGCGGAAGGGGCGTAAATGTGAGCATGGCATGATTATAACGCACCGTATTCACACATCTCGGCATCATCCAGGAGCTCCTGACCCGTGACCAGGCGCAGGACGATCAATAAAGCCGTGACCTCTTCTGGCAATTGTTCGTAAGACGACACGGCCGCGCCACAGCCCCGCGGCGCGGCTTCTTCAGCAACACGGGCCAGGTCCACGCGGGAGTTCAGCGCCCTTCTCTCTGGATCGCAGGCGTTAATCCGGTGCCCAACATAGAGAATTACTGTCAACGAGTCAGATTCGCTCCCCGCGCACATCCAGCACAGGTCACCAACCAGCACGAATAAGTTCGTATTGATGGAACGCAGAGGACAAATCCGTCAGGGGCTTCCCGAATGAAAGCTTGTACTGCAGTTGCACCATCCAGAAACGCATTCTCTTGCCGGGAGGAAGGACGCAGGGAGGGGTGCTCATGGGGGACATCGGGGGCGTCGAGCAGATTGCGAGTGAATACTCTGCACCAGTCCTCTGCGACGCTTATAACCAGCCGCGCTTTGGCCAAAAGACTCGCGGGCATGGATCCTGTGGATGGCTTTGGGATCCAAATGCCAACGCTTGGTCCAAAGCGAGAAATGAGAATGACACATGCATGACACATTACCATGACTCAGTTTATCTGATTTACAGCTAGTCTATCCCGAGTCTCCGCGCTGGACAGCCGACGAGCCACTGCCAATTCCCTTGTCCACTGAGATCCAGTCAGGGCTGACAGGAGAAGCCACAGCACAATCACCCACCCGTTTCTCGATCTTCTCAATCTCAGCCTCCTCCCTCAATTCGACGGACGCTCGCGCAGCAAACAACATCGACCGGACACTAACGTGCGCAGTCGAGACGGAACTCGAGCGGGCTTCCAGTCCCGGCGGATTGGGCGTACTGGCCCTGCTACCAGTCTCATTGGTTCGGGCCGCAAAGTCGCCATCGGTGCTGGATAGCGCATAGCTTGCCGTTTCGGCCACCACGGATTCCGGTGGCATCCACGAGCCTGGTCGGGAGTGAAAGGTGCCCACCTCAGAGACGAGTTCTTGCAAACCGGCGCCGGGATTGGAATCGAGGGCATAGAACGCCGAGCTGCGGCGAGACCGCACGCCGGCGATGGCGCGGTGATTGAGTGTCGCGAGTAGCGTGTTGGCGTAGCTTGAGAGGGAGTGACTGTCAGAACACGCTGACAGAAACAGCCGGACACGCACATCCCGGGCAAGATCATCCCCGAACAGCTGAAATACCGCCTCCCTGGAAACGCCATGATCAGCGCAAAGGCGACGATCTCCACAATCGCGGACATCGCATTCGTTTCCGCGATGAGCCAGACGAGGTTCTTGAGCACCATCCGCGTGGCGGGCGTGACGGGCGCGGTAAGCAACTGCGGCAGTCAGACAGAGCTGACGGAGAGGGACCGCGGCCACGCACGATGTACGACGTGGTCCCGGTGATCAGACCGGCGGAGACGACCCCAGTTAGCAAGAACGCGCGCGTGAACTCGAGGAACGTATGGTGTCGGGGGTCGCTGTGCGGATTTGCGCCGAGGTAGTAAAACAGCCCCGAGGCAGTTCCACACACGCATTGCGCGAAGGCAATCTGAGAAACAGGCGTTTGGTGGAATGCATGCGGACGAAGGGGAAGCAGGAACGCACCAGCGCGATGCCCAGCGCCACCGGCCAGGCCCTCCGCTCGAGCAGCACGATTCGGTAGCAGAAGAACAGCTCCACGAGCAGCGCAGTGAGCGGGCCGATGACGGGTGTGTATATGCGCAGGTCGTGCACGTCGATGAAGCGCTCGATGTCGCCGAACCCCTCTGCGAACCAGATGTGCGCCTCGACACCGGTCAGAACGGTGCGCAGAAAGATGAGCAGGGCAACTGCGTGCACTGGGCGGAATTGGGAGTTGAGTCCACGAGTCGGTTTATGCGCGTGTGAGACGCACCCAGTGCCCTAGTCGGCCAGCGGTCGCGCTTGAAACATGTGTGGTAGATGCCTGCCAGAGTAGTCGCTTCGTTAGCGATGGTAACTCTAGCAAGAACAAGCAAGAAGACAACGCACAGACTTGCACAAAGAACATCCCGCCCAGTAGAAACGACAGCAAGGTGCCGATGAGCTGCGAACTGACTCTGCGCCAGGTCAGAGACGCGGTGCAGGCCGAGAGACAGCAAGACGCACTCGGGCCCGTAAGCCGGGGTTGGTCCCTGAGGGAGTTCCGGTATGTCCTTGAGCGAGGTGACCATGTGTGAGAGGAGAGAACCGTGCAGCTGGAACGCGTTTAGGAGGTGGGGTAGTCAGCAGCATGTTCCGCTTGTCTTGGAAAGTGAAGTGGGCGAGTGGGTTCGAAAGCGGGTTGCAGGAGAGTTGAGAGAGGTTGTCTCGCGTCAAACTTCATTGGGTCTCGGGGGTCGGAATGCCTCTTGGTCGGACTGAAGGCTCAAACAATCGAAGCGAGAACCGAAGGGCTAAAACCGGCCCGCACTATTGATCCGATCAGTGAATCGGCTAGCTTTGCATGGAGTACTCATTGGCAATCTGGGATCAAGCCTCTGTTGCGGTTGCAGCACGGCTACCCGTGACAGCGGTTCGAGAGTCCTCTGTCTCCATCTTATCTCATTGGGATCTGTAGTGTGACTCGAGCAGAATTAGCACAATTCTCGTAAGCATTCATCTACACGCCCATGGGGATCTTTATTGAAAGACAGGTACATGCATCGACGGCTAGAAGTTCAGGACTTGGCCATCGAATACGAAGTTCTGCACGCCAGGATGCAACACCCGGACTCTGTCGGCAAATACTCTCCGGTCCTTCCGGATCTGCTTCACCGAGAGAAGAACATCCCCACTGCCACTCCAGGTGTAGTTCACCTCGACTTTGCTTAACGCAGGAAAGGTTTTGGGCGTCATGATCGCATCGAAGGATCCCCCCGACGCAGGGATCCGGCACTCATTGAAGGTGATCCGGCGGAGATTGGGGAGCACGGGCCACGACGTGAAATGCATCGCATGGAGGGTCCACAGCGTCAATGCGGACAGGGTCGGGAGGTGGGAGGCCAGCAGCCGGAGGCAGTCCGGCAGTTGGGCGTGCTGCCGCAGCTCGATATGCGCAAGATGAGGGAACCGGGCATCGGCATCCCCCGGCGACAAGACGTGCAGGACGAACGGGACCAGCGCATTCAAGGTCTGCAGTTTCGGGAGACTGAGCGGTGCGCCACTGGCCTCAAGCACGGAGTACGCGGTCATGTTCTTGATGGTTGTCACTCTGCGGTGGCGATTGAGAAAGCGCGTGCTCGTCTCGACACTGATTTCCGGGGCCCAGAGACCGACGCATACCAGCGCGGGCAGATGGAGCGAGCCCAAGACGGCGTCCCACTCGTTTGGAGCGAGCTTGATTGTCAGCTGCAGGTCAGTCAGAGTGTGCGCATCAAGGACGACCGTGTTCCAGAGCTTCTCCGCCCGCGGACGGAAGGTAGCGCTGAGGGTCTGCATTGTGCGGATCGTCGGCACACTCTGCTTCGAGCGGTCATGCATCGTGATGCTGGCGTAGCTGTTTGCTGCCTTCCATGTGCCATCATAGTTTCCCGTCGACGGCGACCACTTCTTCAAGCCGTCCGGCCGGCAGGTAAGCAGTCCGTCTGTCATCACGACCGCCGTTACCGCTCGTGTACAGTCGGTCGTCGCACGAAGCAGAAGCACGACCGCACGGGCCATAGAGCGGGACGTCAGCGCTGCCTGGATCCCATCCATCCCTAGGTCGATGTGCATTGAGAGGCCGACGTCGTCCGGTCGAGACAGCGCCGCAGCCCAGTGTACCACCGAGGCGAGCTCCTCCACTCCACGCACGTCCAAGCTATCTTTCTCTGCGATCCAGCGCAGCTCCTGCACCCCCGGCCCATCATTCGTCCGGAAGAATAGCGCGGACTTGAGCGCGTGCGCAGCTGCCTCCGAGTCGTCCGTCCTGATAGCCAGACATCCCGTCGCGATGCCCGCGGCCGTCACACCGTACAAGCTCAGCCACGCCCGCGTGGCGAGATCATTAAAGCGGCGCGATACCTGCGCGAGATTCACGAGCGTCTTTGGGGGCTGGGGTTCCGATAGGACGAGGTGGGAGAGAATGGAGGGTATGAGCTCGTTGGGGAGGGCCGCGAATCCGTGTTCCGATTCCTGAGGTAAGATGGGAGTGGAAGATAATGGTGTTTTCACAGAGGACACTTCGGAAGAAGCGATGGGTAACCTGAGTCCCCATTTCTTGAGAAAGGATGACATGCGGAGAGAAGAGAGATTGTGGGGAAGTGAGAGATAAGCAACATTACATCATGAGCGGCATGTCATAATTCCCACCAGAGACCTACATCTCCATCCGGAATGGTGTAGGGGTTAACATTGTCGCCTCTCATGAGTTGCTCGCGACAGCCCGGGGTTCGATTCCCCGTTCCGGAATGTTTTGATCCAGTCTTCCCCGAGTCGATCACGGAGGGAAGATCTATTGACCGAAGGAGCGTCCGCAACATATCTTCGATGTTGACAGTGGAAATTCCGCCGGATATCGAACAATGGAATCATCATTTCTGTGAACGAACAAGCGGGTGCACACACACACTTTCAATGAAACTCTAATTTTCCGGCCTCCCCTGTTGCGCCTCAAACAATTAGTACTCTGACACTTGTTTAGAAGTTGTGGTCCTCTCGGCCTGCCTGCATTGTTTAGGTATCGACTCTTGTACCTAAGTTGTCTATGGTGAGTTTGTTTTGGCTCAATGAATTTGAGTTGAGAGGTCGATGTTGTTGTCATGAGTCTCTCAAACGTGTTTGGGTTCAGCAGAAGTGGAGGACAGTTCATGTAGCACTGCCCCCTGTGGAGTTATTCGGTTACAGCCCGGTTGCATGGTAACAGAGGTGGACAGCGGTTCGACAGCTTTCTGTCGCTTGGAATAACAAGATTGATTTAGAGAACATTACTGAGCAGTATCGCTGGAGCAGTAGTTCCATCGCAGGAACAAAGATTCATCGATGGAGGGCATGTAGCTCAACAACCCATAACGAGCACATTCAGGGTGTGGGACTCAGCCTCCGAAACCATCTTCCATGACTAACTATTTGCCACCCTGCGATTCCCATCTGGTATAGATTCCAGATTTCGGTTAATAACCAATATCTCAAACCGCAGGGGACGCATCAGCTCGATCTTCAGCTCTCCCTTTGCGGATCCAGCCACAATTCTGCCCCAAACTGATGCAGCCAATACTTCTACGGGCGCTTTGACCTTCAACGGTAGCTCCCCGTTATCAGCCAGCACAAGACGTTTGGAAGGAGGCAGGATCTCGCGCATACTTTGGTCCTCAAACGTTCATCTGGTCCCTGCGCCCGAGCTGGTAGAGGAAGTCACGCTGGGACGCGCAAAATACCATCATACTTGCCCGCCTGGGCTGCCAGCGCTCCAGCCGTTGAATTCAAGCCCTGCGCCCACTCCGCCATCGATCCCGTCGTTTACGCGGTCTTCGTTTTGTCGGATGCGCAGGATTGTGATTCGAAGCAGGAGGCTCTGACCAAGTCGCCCGCGTTTGAGGGTGCTCTCCCAGGTATCGGGATTCCCTAGTGCCGCTGCTAATGCCAGTGCGCGATGGCTTGGTCGATGATGGCTTCCAGCCTGTAGGCGACGAGGGCGGTCATGGACTTGTTCAAAGCGACGTTGACCGAAACGGGAAAAGCGTGCCGGGAGATTGGATTCAAAATGAAGTCTCCGAAAGCGAGGGTGTGGCATTTGGTCAGGGCACTGTGTAACACCCATTAGATCAGATTCGCTGCGCAGATGATGATCTTTGATCGGCGATCTCACATCAATGATGGTCCGCACGACCGAATATACAGAGCGTAAAGCTCCTATAAGTGATCAAGCTCGCATGGATCTGGCGCGGATCCACCTCTTGTAGGTTGATCTTCCCGTGGCATTTCTGGCGGATGACCCCGCTTCCACCGGACATACAGATCTGGTTGCCGTGAAGACCCCGCGTGCGAGATTTCACGCCCGCCCGATGACATAGGAAATAAATCTTCAACCTTGAGTGAAGGACTGTTCTGCCTTGATTTGCATCTACTGCGATTTATACACAGAGGCCGAATTTACAGCCATTCAATGAGTGGAGGAATGCTCGATTTGGGCAAAGCAGTCGGCTCCGTTCATCCTCCGATGCACAACAAACGGGGTGCGCAACTCTAACGTCGCGCATCCGCCCAACCGCTCAAAAGCGTCATCCGTCAGCTTTTATAACTACTGGTGGACAGGGATTTCTCCCTTGGCACCTCCGGGCTTGAGCGATCCAGGGCGCCTGGAGAGCCGCACCGTTTGGGGTGACAACTGGCTGAACGCGATCGGAGGATGTGTTCTTGGGACTAGGCTTTCGATCTGCTCTGAATGCGATGCTTTGGGCCTACTTCCCTGGTGACACCCAAACTGCGGATCGATCATGGGTTTCGTGAGCCGATGAAAGGTGTGAATGGATGGGTTTGACTCGGGAATTGAGCAACCTCGAGACACACAACTAGCTCATCGACAACTGATATTATTTCAGAGACTTGATTAGGAATTACATTTACATTCTGTTTAATTCTCCGCCAGGCCATAAATACTTGAGAATAAATATCAAAGCGACTTAAAATGATCAATAGGGAGGAGAGGATTCCAAGAAGGAAGGGAGATCCAATCGAGTTACGACTGCGGCGCATGCTTGCATCGGGGGCGGATTTTGCTTCTCCTCAGCGCCAGAGGTCGGTCCTTGCCCCGCAGCCGCTGGTACACTCCGCAGGCATTGCACACCTTCTCGCCCGTCTTGCTTCTCCGCCACACGCTCGTCTTGTGCGTCCCACAGTGCGCGCACTTCGGGCCGCCGCTGGCCGCACCCTCGTCGTCGTCGTCGTCCGACGGCGCCTCGGGGCGGTCCGCAGCGATGAGCGCAGGGGGACGCATTTTGTTGCGCTGCTGCAGATAGAGCCCGCACGCGTTGCACAGCGGCTCGTGCGTCGCGGGGTCGCGGCGCCACAGCGGGGTACTCGTGGCTGAGCAGTGTGCGCAGATTTTTGGGCCCGTGGTACGCGACGATCGGCGGGTCGCAAGTGACCGCGGGGGAGAGGAGGAGGAGGACGAGGCCGATGAGAAGTCGGATGATACGAGCGGAGAGAGCCGTCCGGAGGAGCAGCTGAGCGCGGGAGACGGGCATGGTGGGAGCAGCGTGCTATTGTAAGCAAGCGGTGAAGATAATGCGCTCGACATGCCTCCGGCCGAGTTGTATGGATAGGACGGGAGGAACGGGTCTAGATTCCACCGGTCTTCGGGCAGGGACCACTGCGCAAAGCTCGTCGAGTCGAATGGCGGATCTTGCCATTGTCCCCCGTAGGATGCGTATTCCGATTCCGTTGTCGTGTAAGGAGAATAGCACGAGAGAGACGGAGAATAAGGCATGGAATCTATCGACAGCGAGGGGGATATCGGCGAGAAGTTCTGCTGCTGCTGGGGGACGGCGAGGTACGACGCGGGTGCTGGGGGACATGAATGAGCACAAGCGCGAACACGAGGCTCCCGACGTACCGGCCCAGTGTTGCGCGTCATATGATGCAGTATAGCGAGCCGTGTTCGAGGCACGTTCACCCTGTCCCTGAAGTTCCTGATCGAAGCTGACGTCGTACGGATAAGACAAGGGCAAAGTCAGAAAGGGCGACGACGACATCGTGGCTGGTACTGTTGGTATGACGGACGCGCTGCATCGCCTGCTCTTATATACGCTCGCGCTGCGCCGCCGAGATGACTCAAACCCGATGCGTGCAAAATCAGAATCATTTCGTTGCTGGGTCCTTGCTTGACAGACGACAGAAAGCTTCCCACAGTGAAGCTCCTGCGATTGCCATACTGGGAATTTTGACAGATGTCAGCTGAGTGATGGCAGCATGGCTAGCCAGAGATGAGCGCCTCGTTTCGTCTCAATTGAGCAGGTTGAAACCGGAAAGAACGGGCGCTGGGGCCCTGCTAGAGAATACCTAGAAAATCTCCCCTTGCTGTGCTGCTCCATGGGGCGACGGATCCCTTCCTCCGCGGATTAATGAGATCAGTTTGATCCCCGTCAACTGTCCGTTGAATCGAGAGTGACTCGAGTCCAACTGCCAAGTACTCAGGCAACACTCTTCCGGCGCAGTATTGGCCAATGAGATTGACTCAGTTCCCTTGTATTCCCCGGCCGTGAAGCTTGCTCCCAAATTTGGAAAGCTGGAGCTCTTGAGACGAATGGCAATAATTGTATCGGTGCATCCTCGCCTCCCAGATACTGACGAAGACTTCAACCGCCGCTCGGGACGGAAAGGAAGGAGTGGGACACTCGGACTGGGCACAGAAATTCCGTTGGACTCGCCCCCAGACGGATTGTAGAGATAAGTATCCACCGTGCACTGGAGGAAATGAAGTTCCGACCCGACAAAAAAATCCCGGCGCCCTCAAACTCCACAATTCGGATGAGCTCATTTGGCTACGTAATCATGCAGAACCGACTGTTCGACAGAAAGCGGTGCACTACAGCCTCCGCTTCTCGACTTCAAGCTACAGTGTCAGAGACGTGAATTCCGCCTGGCGTACACGAAGAGCGGTGCAACAGCTTGGATAAAGGAAGTTTCCATCAGCCACACCCGACCTGTGCATTGGCAACCGAGGACTACGCACTGAGCGCCCTTGCGATCCATTACGACACGTCCCTGATCTTCTCCCGAAGTTAGAACGGGCTAATCCAATCACACGAACCACACGCACTCAGGGTACCTGAAGATATAGAACCGGCCCGCTCAGCCTCCCCCTTCGCCCGAGAGTATTCACGAGTGTGCATCGTGCTGCAGAATAGAGTACGGGTGATGACTGATACTCTACAGCGTGACGAACACGCTCTCTTCGATTGTTTGGCGGTGCAAGCAGGAAGCCACACAGCCCTGGCTAAGACCGGGAATCTCCTTCCAATCGGATGCTGAAACATCGTTCTCCAGTCAGCGCTTCTAGTTGCCTCACCCGCAGGCTGAAACAGAGCTAAACGGGAGGGACTGCAGAGCGGAGAGCTCCATTCTTACCTCAGCGTATCGCAGGAAAGAGAATTTGCCGATGCTGCGTCTGCTCTATCATTCGAGTCCGGAGCTGTTTCCTTCCGTGCATTGAAGCTACGCCGGCCCGAAAACTTGAATGATAGACACCCCCGTCCGATGCGTATCACCACACGGTTTGCTGCGGAAAAACACGGGTGGGCAGTCGGAGAACCACGGACTGGAAGGTCATTGGTCCGAACCACCAAGGGGTGAGGGTGATTGTGCTTGGAATAACGAGACATTGGCGAAAGATCGGACCTATGGGCCACAGTTCCTGGCTGCCGCTTCATCAAAGATAGCCGGATGGAGAAAGACGCAGGCACCCGACGATGAACTCAGTTTAGTCGTCCTCTCTAACTCATCACATGGCTGTGGGCAAAAGAGCACATGAGCCAAATAGTGGCGCAAGGGATGCAGAAAGCTGCGCAACAAACGCCATCCGATGCAACTGCGAACAGCCGAATGCAGGGTACACTTGTATTTGACAAGCCAAGTCACATCTCGTGCAAGGACTGGAAATAACCAGACCTGCGAGCGACCTTTCAAGTCCCCTTCCCTCTCCGGCGACTTCCCACACTTGCCCACATTGCAACAACACCAGGCGGAGCGTTTCATGCCAGATAGGGAGTGACACCCGAAACGATTAATTGTGGGGTAGGATAGATTGACGATACGTCCGGACGTGGTCGTGAAATGATCAGGATGACGATGAAAAGTCGACACGCTTGATCCTCGGCCGTTCACGGCGTGGGTTGACTCTCGGCCGGTAAAGACGCCAGCCGCTCTCGCTCTTTTACAATCTCCATCATGTTCGCTGCGACGAATGCCTGTGGGACATGCGATCTGTGAGTTCCGCAGCACAGGCCCGAGAAGACGAATTTGATCGACCTGATTGAAGTAGTACCCGGACAGCACACCGGAACCTGGGTCACGAATCAGCTGGCAAAGTGCCGTGTGAGCAACTGCGGACGTACCCAGACCACTCAATATCATCTGCACACGGCCGAATCTCAAGAACCGCGAGCCAATGACAGCTAGTAACATGCCAAACGATAGATGAGCTTGAGCGACAGGCAGCCAGCGTCGATCAGCGCCCAACCCAATACGCACCGGAGAGCAAACCAGCGGACATCCCAGCGAAGATCGCGTCTCTCCTAGCGGCCTGTGAAACGCGTGTCACCGCGCACAGTCGTGCCCCCCGTCACGGCGACGTACATCTATGGCTTGCTGCTCGACGTCTGAGGGAAGCGGCTTCGAGAGGTCGCGCTGCGTAACCTCCGGGAGTTTGAATTGCATGGGTTCCGGGGAGATCTCAGATCACCAGCTCGGGCGGTGTTTTGGGTGGCTCGTGGGCAGCAGAGGACAAAGACGTCACGCAGTGACATGACGTGTCAGAGAGTGACGGCTTTGCTGTGCCCGTCCGAGTCGTGTCATGGATTCCTCGTCCACGATGACGTTCAGGCAGAGTCTCCAGGCCGCGTACAGTTTCGCGCAGGAGGCCTCACCCTATGTGAATCGTGCCGCATCTCTCACTGCACTGCTGCTCGCCGCAATTGCACGTCTCGTCATCGCCACGGGAAAGGCAGCTACCTCACTGGTCGGCACAGTCACCCCCATCTCTCTTCTCTCGACACCCATTCCCCCGGTGCTTTATATCCTCGCTCCCGCCATCGTGTTCTGCCAGGTCGCATATCAGATCATATTCTACTCTCCCTACCAGATCCTGCGCTACATCGCAGACGCGCTGTTCCCCCTCTACGTCTTCGTTGGTGTCGCTGCAATCACGGGTGCAATTCTGGGCATCGGCGGTCGAATGACGGTGGTTGGGCTTCTCTATGTTCTTGATCCCCCGCTCGAGGAGGGACCATGATCGAGATCAGCGACGGTATCGCATTCAGTGCGTTACGATGCCTTCCAACAGAGTTGCCACTCGCTGACTGCCATTTCCGTCATTCCTGCAGGTTCGTCGATTCACGTCTCAAGTGTCAATGAAACTTGAGCACGGTCTTTGACCGATCCTATGAATCGACGAGTGCCCAAGACTCCCGAAACGGACTGGAGCTCATTCGCATCGTTCTTCATCCAGTCACACCTCAGTAATCCATCGGGAGAAACGGACCTGTGTCAGATACATGGACTTCCTGGACACCTCAACCCCATCTTCCAGCGAAAGCACATATGTAGTTGTCGGGCATTCGATCTGTAGGTTACAGCAAGAAGATAATCAGTACAAGTGATGGCAGCAACATAGTAGTAGTACAGAGGGTATCACACTAGCGAGTAGTACAAACACATATCTCACAGCAGAGGCATTCGGGGGTAACGATAGATAAGAAGCAATACAGTAGCATTCCAGGAAAGCGGGCAAGAAAACGTAGCGGTCATTTGCACTTGTCGCTGGTGCCCTCAGTCTGAATCTCCGTCCGTCAGATCCGAAAGCGCACCCGTCAGTCCGGTGACGTCGAGCGCATTGTCCGGCTCCAGCTCGTCCACTTGCTCCTCTTCCTCGGGTTTCTCGGGCTCCAGTGGCAGGCAAGCAATGGTCGGGTGCGAGTGTTGTGCCGTCGCGTCCCGCGGACGACCCGACTGCGGCTCCGCGTCCAACTGACCATCATCGACAACCTCGTCATCAGTGTCCTCCCGGATCTCGTCTTGTGGTTCGGACGGAAACGCGTGCAGCTCGGCAATCTTGGCGGCGAACTGCGCATTGTAGGCCACGCACTTCATGCGGACCAGTCCGATCGTCTGGGGGAGCCCCAGCGGGTCAGCGGAGGCTAATTGGGAGACAAAACAAAGGCATAACGCGCCTCGTCACCGCGACACAAGGCGTCAACGATGTCCGCAATCGCTAATGGGATTCCCTGGCCCTTCTTGATCTGAGCAACGGCTTCGAGCTCGATGGCGTCCCCCGGGACGAAGACAGTCCCCAGTTTGCGCAGTCCGATACGGGCTCGCATCGCCCGATACAACACCTGGCTGCTGCACAGGATATGGGCACCCCATATCGCTTTGACCTGGATATCGCATGAGGAAGTGCGGGCTCGCCGCAAGGGACCAGACACGCACCGAGGCAGTCTGCGATCCAAAGATTTCCTTCGTCACCTCTCCACGCTGCTCGTGCTCGTAGTCCCCCATGTACCGCCAGACTGCAGGCCCCGAGCCGTGCTCCTTACAAAACACCACCAACGGCTGGTCTTCGTACCGCGTGACATCCGGCCTGGAAGCGAAGATGAGGCCCGGTTTCCCTGGGCGGCTAGGCAGATGCGGATTGAACTTGTGGTCGGGGAACACGGCGATGCGGCCTTGCATGCCGTGCTGCTTGAAGCGCTGGATCAGCTGTTGATCGCTCCCGCCGAAGTGGACTCGCAAGAATCTGCGCGGGATCCAGACCTCGATTCGGTCCGCGAGGGGGATGCGCAGGTCCGGGGTGCTGGTCAGGTGCGTGTCAATGACGTCTGGGGGGAGAGCAATGGCGCCCAGTTCTTCCTTGATCTTCTTGACTTTTGGGATTCGAGGCAGCTCAGTGAATGCCCGCTTTGGCTTCTTTGAAACTGGGGGGTGTTCCACAAGGGAGGTGCGCAGGCGTTCAGATGGTTTACGATCCCGTTTTGAAGATATCGATTGCTGCTGCTGCTGCTCTAAGTAAGCACTGGAGTCAGTGTGTGAATGACCTATCATACCTTCTCTCTGATAAGGGGATCCTTTGTTTCAGTGGATGGCGAATGTGTCAATGAATCGGCCTGGTTGCCGTCCTGACGCCGGGGGCGCTTGAAAGGTCGAGGTAGCAGAACGCAGTCCATAACGTAGCGCTTTCGCTTCACAAGACGAACTGGCGGCTGGGATTCGTATTGAGCATGCGAGTGGAAGAATATGCGAGGGTTGTCTTACGAGCTCTGGGATGACGACATCTGCACTTTTGATTTTGACTGGCTTTGAGATGCTGACGGCGTCGCTTTCGTGCTCGACGATCTTCCGCTCAGGTTCTTCTGGCTGCCGATTCTCCACTGGGTGGTTACCATTGGGCATGAGGACAATCTGAGTAGTGTAAATCGATGCCCGCAATCAGAGCAACAACACGCACATCGACAAGGGTGTCCTCTGATATTGCACGCGTCGCACTCTGTTTCGCGTGCTTCTTCTCCATCTCAGCATCGCTCTCACACACCTTCGGTCCTGTATTGGGCAGATATCCCAGTGGTGCTGGGTCTTTAGACTGTGTATACCATGGGCTAAGCATTGTAGGCGGCCGCGTTGGTATTCGGACGCACCATCGCGATCTTGGCTCGGCCCTGTGTATCTGGAGGCGAGGAAGGCATTTCCTCAGTCAGAACGGCCTACATAATGACCAGAAGAGTTGCAAAAGGTCAGCTCGTGCATACCAGCGCGCATATATCGGCACTCCTACCGTTCGGCGCGCATCATCTTCCTCGCCCTCTCGGTCTCTGCTCCTCTGCTTCATCGACAGCTTAAGCCCACTGATTTCCGCTCCGAGGTCCTCCACATGCATAGTCAGCTTGTGCTTCGCGCTTTCAAGTTCTGCGATGCGCGCGCGGGCGAGACAGAGTTCAGCTTCCTGCGCATCGCGCTGGCGGCGGAGGCGCGCGACCTCGGCCTGGAGGTGCACACTTTTTGGGTCCACGTCGTCTGTGGACATGGGGGACGAGCCTGTGGTGTCCGATACGTATGCGAGAGGAGGAGGAGCAGGTGAGAGGACGGGAGAAGCACGATCGAGCACCGAGTCTGGAGGGAGGTGATGATGGCACGTGCTGATCATTGATTGACGGGAAATCGCAACGCTGCGGATTCAGTGGCCATCCAATTCTCGTTGAAAATTGGGATGTCGGATGCCCGCTGTCCGGAAGTAGGGAAGATTAATTCATTGCCAAATGAGCTCTCGATATTCCCCGCTCTTTATAAGAGGGCCATCGATTCTGGACCATATTCAAAACTCTTCGTCTACTACGGCTGGGAGCTCAAGGATGCGCTGTCGTCATCAGAATCTGGCCAGAGAAGCGCAATCGGAATTGAGAAATCAGTCCTCCCTCGATCTTTCTGTGGGAAGGATCTGAAAATTCATACGAATTTCAATGTGAGGGACCAAAAGGGACTCGGCCCACTACGATATAAATTCAACCGCTACGATTCGACCCCCGGCTGCAGCTTCGCGTCTCTCCCATCGAGCGTACGAGGAAGCGAAAGCCGCTGCTGCAGTTTTTAGAGGCAAGACAAGAGTCCTCAGCCGTGGCGACGCGAATCGTACCTGAGGCCTGGGCCTGATCGACGATCGTCGCATGTCGACAGCTTCAAAGGCTGTGTCGCGAGGAGGCGTGGCGGACTACCGCCATCCGGCGACGGCGAGACCCCGCTTTGCCCATACCCTCATGCATGCCATTGGCGCCCTCATCCCGGCCGTGCGCAGATGGATGCGAGGTCCGTTCCCTGTGCTCCCCACCGAGCTGTGGCTCCTCATCCTGGATGATCTGCCTTTGTCCACCCTCGTCCTGGTTTCGCGTGTCTGTTGGGAATTGAACGACATATGCATCCGGTCCTTCATCCAGCAGAGCGGCGTCCCGTCGGCCTTCTACTGCCAAGACGACCCATCGTCCACCGAGCTCCAGCTGGACACGCCCTCTCTCAAGGTCGTCCGCCTCTCCCGCGTCTTCGAGTACGAAAACGTGTCCTCCATCGAATGCACCTTCCATCCCGCCGATGTTCTGGAGGGGTTGTGGGGGATCCAGAAGGTCGTCGCGCGCCATCCCAGGATAGCAGACGTCAGGCTGTCCCTGCACATCGCCGAAGACACCGCCTCCACCGCACTCGACGCGATCTACGAGCTCGTGCGCACGTTCGCCGCGCGCGTCAAGAACGGGCGCGTGGCCGTCGCGGCGCGCGAATCACTCCGCGTCTCCGGCCCGTACTCGTGGCTCGCGCGCGCGTGGCGCGGGTTCCACGTATCGGACCTCGCGCCTGGCCCCGGAGGCACCGCCGATCGCAACGTCGCGCACGCGCCGTGGGGCACGGAGGCGGCTGCGGTCCGCTCGGTGCTGTACGCGCTGCATCTGCGCGCGGGCCGGGAGTGCGCCGTCGTGCATGTGGATCCCCAGCGCGTCTCGCGCCTGACCGTGGAGGTGGTGGTGGACCCCGGATGGGCCGCCACGGCAGATGGCGCGCGGCTCATGTGCGATGTTATGGACAATCTGCGGCTGCCGGCGCTCGCCGTGCTCACCGTCCCTTCCACGTTCCACTCAGGCGCGGTGGACCTGTTTCTTGCGAGGCATCCCGCGGCGCGGCTCGAGAAGAGAGCCTCCCAGACTGCGTCGAGCGGGGGTTCGCGCCATTGCAACCCGGCCGCAGCTGCATCATCATTTTATCGAACCTACCTCTCTAAACTATGGGGGGACCAGCTCTGATGGATTCAATCCGCGAGAAGCGCGTTCCCATCATGCGGAGGGCCTCAGCAGTCAGGGACGGTGGCACCAACTTTGTTTTACACCGGTGCTGAGCGACGGGCGATGTCCTATCGGTCCGCAGCCTCCCAGCATACTTGGTCACCCAGCGGCAATTCGTCGGCACTGATACGAGATGGAAGGGCCGTCCCGCCAGACCTTCCTCCGAGAGAACTACATAATCGCGAGGCTGATTACCGACGCGAACCGACGCGAGAGAAGCGGACGGAGTTGCACGAATTCACAATGACCTCGAATCCGAACTGATCGCGCGAAAGGGATGATGCGGGTTCGATGCACTTTTTTGCGCGGAGAAAGAGAAAGAGATACACAATACAGTACTGGGGTAGGGGCAACTAGGGATACAGCAGGGAGATGTAAAGAAGCGAATGCGGAACGTTCCAGATGCATCGGAAGCGGGTATAGAGTCTGGAGCAGAATGAGCACAGAAGATCACAGAATCTGCAAGCAAGTCAGTCTGCATTCTCCGTCGATCACTGGTGAGACGGCCGACGCACATAGGGAAGCATCGGCGCTGAGGAGGCGGCGGACAAGTGCGAGGTGGCTTCGAAGACCCGGCTGGCCAGGCCCATGTCGAACCCCGTGCCGTCGAAGAACGACCCCCACGGCATGAGCGGCTGCGGCTCGCTCAACGCCTCGCCGTTCCACAGGTCCGGGATGGGTCCTCCCGCGAAAGCGTCGTACGGCTGAGCCAGGCCCAGACTCTCGGGGGAGCCGTCAAACACTGCAGTCGGGAGAGCGAAGGCCGGGAGGGACACGCGCTGCGGCGCTCGATATCTGAACTGGTATCTCGTAGAAAAGAGCACCTCGGCGCCCTGGTGCTGGACGACTAGGTGGGTGATAGTGAAGCGGGTCGGATCTGCACGGATACCGCGTCCGTCAGCCGCAAAATCACTCGCGCGAGGGAGGAGGGGAGGGGAACGTACCAGGACAGCCCAGGATAACGCGCCAGTACTTGGGCACCAGCGCCGTGCTGTAGATGTAGCCCACCCCGGCCGGCGACGTGCCGATCTGCATCAGCGGCGCCGTCTCGGCGTGCAGCACGCGGCCCTCGGCGCGCACCGTGAAGCACGAGTACGCGTCCATCGACGAGAGCGACGTGAACGACACCGTCGGGTTGATGTCCTCGATGCGGCGCGGTTGCGCCGCGCCGACGAGGCCGACGAGGCCGTCCTCCGGCTCCTCTGTCCAGCGGAACGGGTCGGCGGGGCCAATCAGATCGATGTACATGACCGCATCCGGCACACAGTCCTGCCCGAGCTCGACGGCGGGCGGCGGGAGACGGGGTAACGAAAGCGGGCTGCTGGACGGCGACGACGCGGACGAATGCGGCGTGGGCGAGCGCGCCGAGGATGCCCCGAACGGCGAGAGCAGCTGCAGCACTGGACCGCGCGTGAATAAACGAACGTCTCTGCGCGGATGCACCGCAGGGGGGGAACGAGTCTACGCACGTCGTTCACCTCCGCACGACTCCCGCATCTGCTGCAGGCGGCTCCCGACCTGCTTCGGCGACCGTCGCTTGCCTGTCTTTTCGTAGATGTAGTCCGATATAAATCGGTTTCGCCGAGGGAAGCGTCCGAGGAGCCGCGTTTCGCGAGAGTCCCGGGGCTCGTATTTTTCTAGGCCTTCGGAAAGCCCGTCAGCCGCCGAAAGAAAGAAGAGAAGAAAGACAGGACAGGACGCACCCTCGAGCAATGCCGCCTCCAGATCCGGCGGCCAAACGCATTCGCCGCCCCGCTGCGTCTTCCACGTCTTCCGCACGCGCAGGACATTGTCGAGCACCTCCTGCGTGGCCGTGCTGGCTTTCGGCCGATCCGTGCGGCCCCGGAACGAGCGGGAGGACCCGGCGGAGCTATCAGAGAACGGCGAACCCGGGGTTGGCGATCGGGAGGAGGAGGAGGCTGATTCGGGCGTGGATCCACGGTGCGACCAGGCCATGTGTCGGGTATTGACAATATACGTCGGGCGCGGTTTTAGGGTGGAGTGTGTCTGCGCGCCTGGGTCGAGGCTGCTGTTTGGTCTGTGGCTGAACGCTTGCAGAGAGCCTTGGCTTTATGCAGCGCTTCGCGTGGGCCAATTACTGCCGGCCCTGATGTCGATTCGATCTTCGGAGATAGACACACAGCCTGTCTGCGCATTAGCCGAGCGGTGAAAATAGCCAAAAAAGAACAAGGACCACTAGGCAAGAATCATCATGGTGCAGAATGGTGTGTTCAAGTTCGTGAAGCGGTGCCACCCCGTCCGTTCAATGCGTGGGTGCGTTTCAACTCATGACGCGTCCCAGGATGCTCACGGGGCTGCCTTGCCTCACAAGGTCTGGGGAGATCCGCTGCCCGAAAGGGCAAGTCTCCAAAATCTGACCTGACAGACCGTGAGCGCGAAAGAAGCATGACAGTCGCAAAACCAACCGCAAAAGTGATGTCCCCGGATGCCATATGGGGCTAAGTGTGTGTTCCGTGACACTCCGGTGACAGAATTTAATTAACGGCCGTGCTCTGGCGGTGAATTCGCCGATAACGGCCGACGGAACCAGATGAGAGTATGGCGCACCGAGGCCTGAGAGAACCACAGCCTTGACCTCATCGATGGCGCTAACTCCGGCTGAAACTCAGCGATTGGCGGGGTGCAGCCACGAGGCAAGGCGGTGCCAGAGAACGTGGCAAGACAGCACAGACCGCGCCTCCGCTCTCTGCCGTCTCTGCTGCCATCGGACGTTCAACCTCGCCGCGACAGCTCAATCTCAAGGCACGATCAGGGAGAATTCCGCGCAATGAGGCCGGCATATGTCCGTCAATGACAGATGGCAGCTCGGAAACGTCACATCATTCGCTGAGTCCCATCACCATCCAGGACTCATCAGAACAACGTTGGTGAATCCGCTCATTTCGATGTGTTTTTAGGCATCCGGCAACCCACGAAACGGCCTGCAGCTACATCAGAATAGGCAGATGGGATTGACGCCCATCAGGGCGCTTCCGGAATCCGGGGTTTCCTTTAGTGCTGGGCTAGCTATGAATGAATTCATAGCATAGCAATCATAGCACAATATTTAGCATGCTATATAGCAACCTAGCAATTCTGCCAGAAAATGGTGTGCTATGATTTGCTATAAACTCCCTAATTGATTACTGATAACATCGATCTGCTGTTCACATGAATCACATCTTTTGTTAATCAATCTGCCGTTCCCTGCCAGAGCAGCACGGAAATGATCCTGACAGTGCCAACACACATTCCGCGTCTGCCGTTGTTGTCAGAAGACCTCGGCCATCTAATGATTGCATGCACCACTTGCATTGACAAGGAAGACTTGGTCTACCACACGATGGACGGTCGCTGAATTTGTGCGTCTTTATAGCGCTTTGCTTGGACAGCCAATCCTTGTGACTGCTGGCACACCTGCAGTGGCATTGGTATAACCCAGCGCTCCGAAAACGGAAAAAGAGGTCGCAAATCAGCCCTGGGATCCTGAGGACAATGACAAGTAGATATCCATACTTTTTCACATTTTACACTCCAAAATCAACACTAGCAGTCCATGAGAGGCTTGTAAGGTATGCCGCATTAGAAACCAGCACCCATGACTAAGTGTCACACCGTGACAAACAGCGACGGAAAATGACGGCGCCCCCAGAGGGAATATAGCCAAAGCACTCACATGAGGTGTTTCTAGAGGCCTTTAGAGCACCTGCTATCTGAACCGAATCTTTTATTATGCCTCCTGGAGAGCATGATATGAGGCTCAAGCATTTTGCATCAAAAGTTTCCTTTTATTGTAGAAAGTGATTTCCCACTGAACTGAGCATTTTTTAATTTTGGGTCGGAAGATTTGACCATTCACGTGACTTCCTAATTGGGAAGTGGCAGTGCTACTAGCGTCGAGAACCCCTTCTATAGTCATAGTAGCCATACAAAAGCTCAATTATCCTTGGGACACCCATTTTGGATCACTTTTGGTGCATACAAGTCCATCGTTATACCAAAAAAGAAGGGCTGCATTTTTCGGACCGTGGATTTGACCGTCACGTGACCGTCACGCGCTGCTTACTAAGGGGTGCTGGTTCTTAATGCGGCATACCTTAGCAGCAAAATTTCATTCGTGCTAAATATTGTGCTAAAATTGATATATAGCAAGGATATATAGCGTAGCAACCTGGGCCTCTGTTTGTAGCTGCTATGAATGTAACCTAGCAAGTTCAAAATAATATTTAGCCCAGCACTAGTTTCCTTTCACCGTAACGCCCTGCCCTGCTGCACGAGAAGGGCGGGACGAGGCGACCTCCGTGCGTCCATGTGGGCCAAGATTCACTGATGGGGAATGTCCGGAAAGCCAATCATCCCAGTCACATCGATCTTCCCATCTGTGTCACCGACGTCGTTTGCCGTATCTGAGCGACACCGCGCGCCGTCGCGATTGGGGCTTCGTATATCAGTATGGAAGGAAATCTGTGAGCGAGAAGGCAGGATGTCAGAGATCCGACACAGGCGCACCCCTTGCTCGTTCGCCAAGGTTGTCAAAGGCAAGCAAGCTCGAGAGATCCCGGCAGCCGCGGCTCGGCGGCCCTGAGCGGACCGGCACCTGTCAACGGTCGAGTCCCATCCGATTTGCACCATCACAATCTAATCCAATCCACATCGACGATCTTTGGAAATCTGTGCATTCGGGCTCCGGAGTCCTCAAGGCCCAGGGTCGCAGTATGAACAGCCTGGGAGGGGGGCGAGCATGCACTCCAGACGGTGGGTTGGAGCAATTGCAGCCGCCCGGATTAGCTTTGTGCCTCGCGAGCTGTGAGTGAGGAACCTGCGGATCTCCGAAGTTGGGAGGATCGAGCACAAGGGTCACGAGGAACCGTTCGATTGTTCTTTTCAGATTTCCCCATTTGGGATGCACGTGCCTTTGCACTGCCTCACCGCCGTCGCTTGCGGACTGGCTCCGCCGATCATCATATCTCCATTCCTCAGTGCGTTTACAGGCGCACGGACACTCCCGCCTATGTCAGTCCGATTGAGTGCAAATTAAGCCCCAAAATTGGCCTTATCTCAGGGCCAGATTCAGTGCAAATAGGCCCAAGAGCCCAAGTCCCAACCCCAGTTAGAGCAAATTGGGGGCTTTGCCGGTGGAACTTTTGGACCATATATGTATCATCGGTGAGAGGGTCAGATCAGCAAATTTTGACCTATTCTTGGATGAAATGGAGAGCTTTTGAAGCATATCAAGAGTGCTTCAAAATCAGGGCCATCATGGGCAAGAAATGGGTAAAAACACCTGAAAAGGGCTAAAATGATAGCATATCTCAGTCCGACTTAGCACAAATTAAGGGCTCCAAAGGCCAATTTCATAGTGCAAATCAGGCTGGCTCGGCGGACTGACATAACGGGGAGTGTCCGTGGGCCTGCGTTTACTGACTTCAGCAAGCTCTGTTACATCCCTAAATGGGTCACAACGAAACGGATAAGTATTTGTCAAGGCACATTGATGGCACAACAAGGACATTTGTGGGTACCAGAGGCACTATTTCACTTTATCGGCAATATCTCACTTTATCCGTTGCGGAACATCGCCGCCCGATTGATGCCTCCGGCCGCTGACAGCCCGGTTATGCGTCGGTTACCGGTAGCCGAAAAGAACAATCGAACTAGGCCTCCAAGGGTCACGGTGGTTGACTGACGTATCAGTGGCCGTGCAACGGATCACGTCAGTCGCGCATTGCCGGATTTTGCGAGCATGAGACCCTGCGAGGCCCCCGGCTACTGTCTACGAGGTCGGTCTGGCTCAAGAGGCTGATTTGAACTACCAAATCGGCTGTCCTCAGCGTTGATTTGCATTATATCGGACTGAGTGAGGTTCACCGACATCTGGAGCTTTTCGTAGTGTTTTGAGCAAATTTCCGTCCGATTTGGTCCTCTCTCAGCCTGAGCCACATTCCATAAGATCGGGTATATCACAGTGGGTGAATGACTTCATTTTGACTCCCATCTGGCACTCAAGGACGACGGCAACTGCATAAGAGACCCTGTATTGCGATGCGTATCTGACCAGCTGGGAGATGCCAGTCATCAGCCTTCTTCTGCCTCGTAATGTCCAGTCATGACACATTGCGTCCGGGGGTATGATCTCACCGAACACAGAGAGTTGCGTGATGCGAGCGTCGCGCCTTGTCGGTAGTGGAGAGCGAGCGGAGCCCAAGTGACTGATCATGAATAAGGAGTAGTCTACATTAGATGTCTATAAGGAACTTCTAAATCTAACCAGAATCACACTCCGGTGGAGTACTTTATATGTACGCTTTGAGACCGTCCATGCCACCAAGCAAGCCGCCCTTGACGACGAGCTTGCCTGCGCTGCCGTAGTCTCCCTCAGCAGGCGCCTGCCCAGCAAATGAGACAAGCCGCTGCTGGCGCTCAGCCTCACACGCGTCGAATGCGTGCTCCCAGAAACGCTGCTCGGACGGATACTACCCGATTCCATCAGCAGCTGCCAAAAAGAAAAGAAAGGAGCAAGTCAGAGAGTTACTCACATCGCGCCAGCCGCCCTGGTAGAAGGCTTTCAGCTTCTTCACGTCCCTCGCCAGATCCTGCACTTGGGCCCAGTAAGGGGGCGGGACGCGCGTCATTGCGATGCCGTTGGTCGGGACGCCGAGGCCTGGCGTGCCGCGCGCGGGGTGTTCCGCAGACGCAAAGAATCCGCTTGTCGCGAGCACGATGGCGGGCGGGATCGTGATCCGGCCCTGCTTGTACACCAGCTGCGAGACGGTGATCGCTGGCAGGGGGGTCAGGACACAAGGGGATGGGGAGAGACGGCGGTGCGCACTGTAGACGTCGGCCCCGTCTTCCTCTTGCAGACGGATCGCCTTCTTGAGAAGCTCTTGGCCGACCGCATCGGCGTTTCCGTTGGCACTGACGACATGCCCAGTGATAGGTGCTTTCTCCCCCGCCTTGCCTCGTCTTTTGGATTTGAAAACAGGTTTGACGAAGCGGGCGACGATCCAGATCTAGCGGGCCGCGCAACTCATCCGTAAGTGACACGACCAGGCATGCGACGAGCCAAAACACCACCCACCCATTTCTCATCCCATGCACCGACCTCCGCCCGCACCTCATACGTGCTCAACATCGGTATCTCCCTGATATAGCTGAAATGGGTCCCCGCCAGCGCAGCCCACCCGCCGGTCTTGAACACCAGTGGGAACATCGCCAGCGCGAAGCGGAAGCGCGCCGAGTCGAGCGCCGCGGCGTACGACGAGTTGCTCATGTGCAGATTGAAGTCCGACGCGTAGGGCCAGACGAACCCGCGCACCGCCCACTTGGCGCGGAAGGGGTGCAGCCCCACGGGCTGCCGGTCCTCGAAGAACTTTTCTAGCGCGGCGGTCTTGCGTTTGCGCGGCAGGTGGATGTGTCGGATGTTGTGCCAGAGCTGGGCCAGGCGCAGTTCGAAGAGGGCGCTGAATACGCGGACTGGACGGGGTAAATTCCCTTGAGCGGCGAGAGCGCTGAGGGAGGATAGAGGGACGCACAGTGCCAGATAAGCGGCAGGCCACCCGCATTGACCACTAACAGCGCGATGCCCAGCCACTTCGCGACCCGCGGCGTCGCCCCCACGACGCCCGCCAGCAAATCCAGAATCTTCGCGCTCATCTTGCGCACCAGCGGCGCAAAAACGGGAGACGAGAGCGGCAGGGAGGCGAGGAGAGAATGCGCTTGCGCTCGGGGTCGGACTGCGGTCGGCGCGGTCATTTTATCCTGTGGGGCGGCGGCACTGTTTTGGGGGAGCACTCGGTACCGGCATCAAAAGCCGGTTACTTAGTGATCAATCACGCGCGCGTGCAGCCTTTTCTACAGGGGTAGGAGAAAGGGTTTTTACGTGGGCACTCTGCAGAGGGCCGGATTCAGAGTCGGAGACGGGCATGATCGTCGGTCCAGACGGTTAGAGACGGCTAGCCGGTTAATCGTGAATAAGAATGACGTACAGAATCAGAGAAGGGACAAAATGGCCTTGCGTCCCGTGACTCAAGTAACTGGTAGTTGCCTGCACCCACTCGATTCGTCGAAACACAGGCAGACCCCCTATCACAAAACGATCTGCAGCAGCAGGGTTGGTTCGATGTTTGAACATACACTTCGATATACAGTAGAGTTGTTAATAAGGAATAAAGTTGGGAAGGGTCCTGGCATATTCCTTACCACGGGTATTCCGTATCACATATTCCATTAAAAAATGTATAAAATGGTTGTTTTGGTGTATCTGCGGCTTCTACTTGAAGTACTGACTGAGTTCCGTCTGTTTCTTGCCCTGTTCAATCTCCTTGGTGAGCCCAACGTGCATTTTACGAAGTTGAGGGCCAAGGGTCAGCGTCGAGTCGAGATCAGGTCAGTGTCGAGCGATCTGCTCCAGGAGCTTTATTGCCGCGATGGCTTCCTTCTTATCAAACGAGAATTCGGGCTCCTCCTCCTCCTCGATCTCGGCCTCGAGCTCCTCCTGATCAACCCTGCGCATGTGTTGAATGATCTCATTTGTGTTGTCTCCATCCGCAAAGCCGAGAACACTGGATCCCGGCTCTTGTCGTTCAATGAGTGGATCCAGAATGTCGTCGAGCAAAGGCAAGATTCCGCGGATGCAGCGCTCCGTGGCAAGTGTTTGAATGGTGTCAGACAGCGCATCCTCGGCCGCGCGGAGATGGCGATCGCAAGCAAATCGGCGCAGAGGACCCTTGGCAGCAGCTTCAGTCTGAGCGGCCATGAGATCCCGAACGGCAAGCTCAGCCTTGATTGAATCGCCTTCGCAGGCCATGACAGCGTCAAGAGGCGCATTCCAGTCCTTGGGATAGTAATCCGTGCCAAGAACGCGTTCAAGCCCCTGTTCTGCTTGTGGTAACGACATTTCGGTTGTTGCGAATTCCAAGATCACATCCCAGGCATCACTGTTGGCCTTCGCTGATGCCGGCTTCTCTGGCGACGCTGCTGGCTTGTCCATTTTAGGTTCCTCGGACTCAGAGTCGGAACTGTCAGGCGCGTTGGGATCAACAAAGATTTCTTCCCATTTGTCCGTTTCCTTGGGTGTGATTTTGGTGTGAGTCCAGCAATTGGCAATGGTTGAAGGCGTGTGTCAGGGGAACCCCCGCTTCGGACCGCTCTGCCTTTGATCAGGCATGTGATCGCGCTCGCGTGACCTGTCAGCTGTCACGCGCCGCGGCCCGGACTGCCGCGCCAAGCGCTTCTCTCTGATGGGCACATGGTCAGCTGTCCCATCGTTTCCACTGTCTCGGTTTCCTGTTGTTCTCCAATGGCCATTGTTCTTTGTTTGTCGCTGCGCGCTCTATTGTTCTTGTATCATATAAATAGTGGCGCCTGGCAAGGAGAATCCCCAACACGGTTTCTCTTTGGATTCTCCCTTGCCAGGTATGCCGGTCTTGTACCTAGCTACCACTATTGACACTTTGGATTCTCCCTTGCCAGAACTCTGAGATCGGGTCTCGAGGTTGCCCTTACAGCAGAAACCGTGTTCCTAGGGATAACTGGTCAAGATTGCGAGGTTCGACGCCGACAGTAACAGCGGAGACGAGTCGACGAGCGACCAAGACCGCCAATCCGTCACCTCTTTTCTTGCCCCCTCCTCCCCTCCACAGGCACACTCGACCAGCATGGAAGACGACAACTCCCAGCATCGACTGTCTGCCCTGGAGACCAGCATCCAGAACATCGAAGCCGTACTCAATCAGCTCCTCAACCAACCACAACCCCCTGCCCCTGCGCCTGCACCAGCTCCGGCAGTGGGTCCAGGTGTTTCTGCTGGCCCGCAGTCGAACACTGCGCGCCCCCTCATCCGTCCCAACCCCCCCTTCTCGTTCGATGGGGATCGCACCTTGGGCAAGAGCTTCTTGCACTCGGTGAAGCAGTACTGGCGACTGCTTCCTGAGGCGTTCTTCGTGAATGGGGTAGTCGCGGAGGAGAAGGTAGTCCGCTTCGCCCTCTCCTACATGTCCAAGGACTTGGCGGCCTCCTGGTCTGAGCGCATGTCCGAGCGCACCCCGTTCCCGTTCCCCACTTGGGCTTTGTTTGTCACCGAGTTCAAGCTCCGATTCGTCGAGGAGAACGAGCAAGACCACGCCTTGGCGCGATTGGAAACCCATCAGTATTATATGGGCTCCCGCGACGTATTCAAGTACACGGACGAGTACGACGACCTCCTTGACCTCGCTGGTTATACCGACAACTTGGTCAAGGTGACCAAATATAGGACGGGCTTGGACCCGAAGATCAACCAAGCCATCACCACCTCTGGTAACCCTCCCAGCCTCACCGACTACGCCGAATGGCGTGTCCGTGCGTTCCGGCAGTACAATGCGGAACTCGCTGCCAGAGCTTCTCGAGGCCACGCAGCGCCTCCTCCCCGAGCGCCTGCTGTTGCCCCCCGTCCTTGTGCCCCAGTGCTCCCTGCTGTAGCACCGGCCCTCGCTGCCCGCCCGGCGCCCGCCCCTGTCGCCCATCCAATTCCCATGGAGGTAGACCGGGCCCGGCTCCGTGGTGACATTCGACGCACCTGCTTCCGCTGCGGCAGTCCGGGTCATCTTGCCCGTGACTGCCCCACCCCAGCTGACATACGTCACGCTGATGTCCTTGATGAGGTCATCAATCAGCTGGGGAGTGATCTGCTTTCCGAGTTGGTTGCTCAGGTTGCGACCACTGCAGCCGTTGCGGATCATGCGTCCAACGTCGCAGCCGAGGAGGAGCAGGGTTTTCTCCCCAGCGACGAGTGAGTAGTACGCCCTCGTTCGCTTCACGTAATCGTTTCTCCTGTTTGTATGATGAATCCAATTCCCTCCACTCTGCAACAGTTGAAGCGATAGACGTACACCCTGCTCCCCCTCTGACCCCACGAGTCCATAAGGAGAAGTGGGAACGCAAGCTCCCTTCCTGCTATGTCGCTGCCGCCTCTCCCGGGGCCAATTCTCTCCACCTCCCCCTCGAGATCGAGTCCACTGACAACGCAGTGAAGTTATCTCTCAAAGGCCTGGTCGATTGTGGTGCCACATCCGACTTCATCGACTCGGCCTACGTCCTCGAAAATCACCTCCCCGTTCGTCGCCTCACCCAGCCTATCCCCGTTTACAACGTGGACGGCACACCGAACGAGGCCGGTTCCATTCGCGAAGTTGCTGATGTGGTTCTCCGTTACCAGGGCCACAGTGAACGCGTGCAGCTTGCTGTCACCCGTTTAGGCAAGCAGCAGCTCATTCTAGGGTACTCCTGGCTCCGGAAGCACAACCCGGAGATCAACTGGGATACCCAGGAGGTAAAAATGAGCCGCTGCCCTTCTGGTTGCTCCACCTGCCGGGAGGAACTTCGCGAAGAACGTCGATCTGCCAGAACCGCAGCCCGGGTGCTCCGCACCATCAGACAAGGTCCGGTTCCATCCATCTGCGCTGTCGACGTTGAGGACCACGAGGACGAAGAGATGCCGGAGCTTTCGCCAGACTCGGACGATTATGACCCTGAAGATGTCGAAGAAGATGACGACTCCTTGGAAGCCGGTGACCGTATCTTTTACACCCGCTTCAACCCTTCTGAAAACATCCGAGCCACCAGCACCGTCTCCCAGCGACTCGCCAAGGCGTTTGCTAAGAACTCTGCACCTCCTCGGGATACCATCCCTGAGTGGGCCCGCGAGTTCAAAGATGTTTTCAGCAAGGAGTCCTTCGACAACCTGCCAGAGCGACGCCCCTGGGATCACGCCATCGAACTGGTTCCCGACGCAAAGCCAACCAACTGTAAGGTCTACCCCATCTCCCCTCTCGAACAGAAGCAGCTCGACAGCTTCATCGAGGAGGGCATGGCTACTGGCAGGATTCGGCCGTCAAAATCGCCCATGGCGTCTCCCGTCTTCTTTGTGAAGAAGAAAGATGGCAGCTTACGGTTTGTCCAAGATTACCGAGCACTAAACGCGATGACAGTGAAGAACCGCTACCCGCTCCCCCTGATCAATGACCTCATCAACAAGCTCAAGGGAGCTCGGTTCTTCACCAAACTCGACGTTCGCTGGGGCTTCAACAACGTGCGCATTCGTCAAGGCGACAAGTGGAAGGCAGCGTTTCGGACAAACCGCGGGCTCTTTGAGCCGTTGGTGATGTATTTCGGCCTGACCAACTCCCCCGCAACGTTCCAGACAATGATGAATGACATACTTCAGGACCTCATCCTCTCTGGCGACGTTATGGTGTACCTCGACGACATTCTCATCGCACATTCCGATATCCACCGTCACCGGGAAATCGTGAACGAAGTCCTCCGACGTCTCCGCGAGAACAAGCTCTACCTTCGCGCGGAGAAATGCGAGTTCGAGATGCCGTCGATCGAATACCTTGGGGTGATCATCTCCCACAACCATGTGGAGATGGACCCGGTCAAGGTCGCAGGTGTGGCGGAGTGGCCAGCTCCGGCTAACAAGAAGGAAGTGCAGCAGTTCCTCGGCTTCACTAACTTCTACCGGAGGTTCATCCGGGATTTTTCGCACATTGCCCGTCCTCTCTTTGACCTCACCAAGAAGGACGTGGCATGGACTTGGGGCGCCAACAAGGCAGCTGCGTTTCTTGCACTGAAGAACGCTGCTACCTCTACCCCAGTCCTGCAGCTCCCGGATGCTTCCAGGTCTTACCGCCTCGAAGCAGACAGTTCGGACTTTGCAACCGGTGCTGTCATCTCGCAGCAGTCCCACGTGGATGACAAGTGGCATCCGGTTGCCTTCTTCTCGAAGAGTCTTAACGAGGTCCAGCGGAACTACGAAATCCACGACAAGGAGATGCTTGCCATCGTCCGCGCCTTGGAGGAGTGGCGACACTTCCTCGAGGGCGCCGAGCACCCCGTTGAGATCTGGACCGACCACAAAAATCTGGAGTACTTCCGGAAGGCCCAGAATCTCAACCGTCGTCAAGCCCGCTGGTCCCTCTATCTGTCTCGCTTCGACTTCACCCTGCACCACCAACCTGGCCGCCTCATGGGCCGCCCGGATGCTCTCTTGCGCCGCCCCGACCACGGAGTCGCTTCGGACAACGCAGACGTCACACTGCTGCGCCCGGAGCTGTTCCATGTCCGGGCCTTAGAGGGTCTTACTGTCTCTGGACCCGAGGCCCCTCTCCTGCGCGACATCCGGGAGGCCCTCGCCGGTACCCCCGACATGGAGGAGCCCATTGTGTTGGCAGCACGTGAGCTCCTCAAGGAACGCGGAGTTCGCTCTGCTCGGGCTGCGGAGTGGCGAAAAGAAGGCGGCCTGCTCTACTTCCGTGGCAAGCTGGTGGTTCCACGCAACAACGACCTCCGCCGACGCATCCTCGAGCAGCACCACGACACCCGCGTCGCAGGGCATGCCGGCCGCTTCAAGACGTTGGAGCTGATCTCTCGGAACTACTGGTGGCCCCAGTTGTCTCGACACGTCGGCCGGTATGTGGCCACCTGCGACCTGTGCTGCCGAACCAAGGCGCTCCGCCAACTCCCAATCGGGGAACTCCATCCCACGGAGGTCCCTTCGGAGCGCTGGGAAGCGGTGTCAGTTGACTTCATTGTGCATCTGCCAGACGCTCACGGGTATGATGCTATCATGGTCGTTGTTGACATGCTTGGGAAGCGCAGCCACTTTATAGAGTGCCATACCCGGCTCTCCGGTGAAGGTGCCACCAGGCTTTTCTACAAGAACGTCTGGCGCCACCATGGGCTGCCGTCTAAGTATGTCTCTGACCGCGGCTCCCAGTTCATAGCAGAGTTCACGCAGGAGCTGTGGAAACTCGTCGGGGTCTCATCGGCAACGTCTACCGCTTGGCATCCACAGACGGACGGCCAGACCGAGCGTGTGAACCAGGAGCTCGAGCAGTTCCTCCGGATCTTCACCAGCTACAACCAGGACGATTGGGACGAGCTGCTTCCCGCTGCAGAGTTTGCCTACAACAACCATATTCACTCATCCACGCAGCAGGTCCCGTTCATGACAGATACCGGTCGACTCCCTCGTATGGGCTTCGAACCGAATGGACTACGCTCAGCTGTGAACGAGTCGGCAAACGACTTCCGCGACCGCATCGCGTCTGGAGTGGCAGAAGCCAAGTCGGCACTGGTGAAGGCAAAGGATGAGTACAAGCAGTACTACGACCGCCGGAGGGTCTCCGCTCCAGACATCAAGGTCGGAGATCGAGTCTGGCTTGACGCTTCTGACATAGCAACAACGCGCCCGTCCCTCAAACTCTCTCACCGACGGCTGGGTCCCTTCAAAGTCACCCAGGTTGTTGGGCGCGGTGCTTACAAGCTTGACCTCCCTCGCCGCCTCTCTGGTCTTCACCCGGTCTTCCCCGTTGTCAAGCTGCAGCTCGTTGAGGACGACCCGTTCCCAACACGCCCGACTCGCGAGGAGCCGCCACCCGTCATGGGCCAAGGAGCTGGCGAGGAGTGGGAAGTCGAAGAGGTCCTGGACGCCAAGATGCGCTACCGGAGCATTTGGTACTTCGTGCGGTGGAAGGGCTACGATTCGTCGCACGACCAGTGGGTTAAGCACTCTGATATCTTCGCAGAGGACGCTATAGCGGCATTCTACCGCAAACACCCCAACAAGCCACGCATCATTGCCGCCGCCATCTTCGACTCCCTTCCGTTCCAGCACCCCTCTGCCACCATCCGCACGTTGCGTCGAGGCGCCGCAATCCAAGGGGGGGGTGATGTCAGGGGAACCCCCGCTTCGGACCGCTCTGCCTTTGATCAGGCATGTGATCGCGCTCGCGTGACCTGTCAGCTGTCACGCGCCGCGGCCCGGACTGCCACGCCAAGCGCTTCTCTCTGATGGGCACATGGTCAGCTGTCCCATCGTTTCCACTGTCTCGGTTTCCTGTTGTTCTCCAATGGCCATTGTACTTATTGTTCCCATTGTTCTTTGTTTGTCGCTGCGCGCTCTATTGTTCTTGTATCATATAAATAGTGGCGCCTGGCAAGGAGAATCCCCAACACGGTTTCTCTTTGGATTCTCCCTTGCCAGGTATGCCGGTCTTGTACCTAGCTACCACTATTGACACTTTGGATTCTCCCTTGCCAGAACTCTGAGATCGGGTCTCGAGGTTGCCCTTACAGCGTGACATGATTCCACGCATTCTCTAGCATTCGCATACCACTGAGAATATCAATCTTGAAAGGCTGAGGATCATTGGACTGATAGAGATCGAGTGCTCAGATGGCCAATGCGCGGCGATAATGAACTTTAAGACATCGAATAATTCCAGCATCACATGGTTGCACAAACAACGTCATGTTGGGCTCCAGGAACTCGACGCGGATGTGGCTCGGCTTGTAAGTCATCACAACATGTCCCGGACAATTGTCAATCAAGAGCAGAATGTGTCGCTTCTGGCGCCGCATCCGATCATTGAGCTTTCGCATCCATTCGGTCCACAGCTCTGCCGTCATCCAGGCCTTAGCATTGTTGCGGTAATAAAGTGGTGGGTCCATGTTTGCTGGATTGACTCCTCGGAATACGCGAGGCTTCTGCGATTTCCCAATGAACATGAGATCAAGCTTCTCTGTTCCAATCGAGTTGCACGCCACAAGAGCAGAAATGCGAAACTTGTCCCATTTGGTTCCGCTCATGTGTGTGGTGCACAGTGTGCGATCCGGGGGCAAGGATGGGAGGAAACTGGTCTCATCCGCATTCCAGATGTTCTCGGGGGCGTAACGGGAGGTGAGTCAAACCAAGCGCTTGCGTTCAACTTCAACAGCTGCCAGATCAACAGAGCCGGCCTCGCCGTGTCTGCGTCTCTCAGACAGACCATGACTGCAATTGAAATCAGCACTGTTAGGGAAAATGAAAAGATGAACACACGCTTTCTTGAACGACTCGAGCCATCCTGTTCCTCTCAGGCGACGCTCTTCAGGAACATTCAGAGCAATCTCGAGCCTCTTCCGTTGCTTGATCAACATGGCACCTGTCACAGCACGATTCTTTTGTTCCATATCAAGTGCCCAGAGACCAAGGCCCCGATCAACTTCGGGTGAAGTGACAACGCGCTCACGCTTGAGCGAAAGTGCGGCAGAGTTTTCAGCAGCAAGTTTTAGAAGGGCAGCCTTCTTCTCTGGATTGAGGTGTTTTGAAAGTGCGCCCTGGGTGAAGAATAGCTTCCCTCCCTCGGCATTAGATCTCGAGGCAAAGAATTCTATGACAGCTTTCTGCTTTGTCCCCGGATTTTTCTCGGCATACTGGATAACCTGCAGCCAGTCATAATTTGTGAGATTTTTGCGCCCTTCCTGCCCCAGAATAGCAGATGAGCGATGGGTTCCGTTAAGCTTTGGGCCAGGCTTCACGCGGGTAGCAGCTTTAGCACGTGCCTCAGTGGGATCACGGTCCCGAGCGCGGACAACACAAGATTTTGCAGTAGGCTCAACAGGCATAATGGATGGTATGGATGAGGGAGAACCAAAATTCAGGGCTCATGCATTATATTCTCACTTACAGGACTCATTGTTCGCCCAAAAAGCCATTCCAACCTGTCAGAGAACACCTGCCATCACCCCTAATAAGGAATATCCCCGCGACAGAAATCACCTGGCCGTATTCTTTATTCCGGACGACAAACAATGGAATATTACTGCCTTCCCAACATGGGAAGGCCGATTTTCTATTCCTTATCACGGATATTCCACATCACATTATTCCTTATTAACAACTCTACTGTATATGCATATTCAGGACAAAGCCGCCAAGCAGCGGAAAGCAAAGCATTTGAACTGCGGTTATAAAATTAAAAAAAACCTGCAGTCGCGAGACTCGGTTAAAGTGAAACAAAAGAAATGGAACCAGTAGCCCACCGCGAGGGTCGAACTCGCAGCCTTCAGATATACTCTGACTATTCGTAAAAGTCTGACGCTCTAGCCGATTGAGCTAGGCGGGCCTTAAGATCAACGCTCGTGGCAGGTTTAATGTCGCCAATGTTGAGCTTGTTCTTACACCGAACCGTACTTTGAGTAGTTCTGAGAACTTTAGCATTACTAATGGCTTCATTTCAATCCCGGTAACACAATCCTCGGCAAAAGACTATTCCGACAGGATATCCATCTGTGCAGTCACCAATGAAAGTAATAGAAAGTACATATGATGTCATCATTCACGGAATACGCGATAGGACTCCGTCTTCGAACGCACCGATTACGTCCGTCACGACGTTCTATCAACTGGCACACATGGAAATCCACGTGTAGAGTGTTGACGTCCTTTAGCTAATGAGGACTACACGGCTTCGAAAGCACGAGGAACCCCTTTTCTACTGCTCGAGCCAAACTACAGCTCGATAGTAGTGCTAACTGTATCTTGATGTGCGGAGCTGTCAAGTGAGTAAGAGCAGGTACTTATTAAAACGTCTGGCGGGGATATGGGGGCATCTTGATCATGGCATCCCTGCACTCGCTCTACCTGCTGTTCGCTCTGTCTTCAACCGTTAGCGCCGTGGTCATCGACACGGAGGGTCTCCCCGACACCGGGCTCGACACCTCCAACTGGACGACTGGCGTTGCTCCGCCACTCGCCACCATATTCGACCTCAACGACATACAGATCGCGGCCAAGAACACGCTCTCTCCCAAGCATTATGGTGTGTGTGGATGATCTCGTCGTCGTCGTTGTCTCGGCCCTGGTTGAATCGCCTGAACAGCGGAGTTTCGTACGGGAGCACTCAACGACTGGACTTACCAGGCCAACTTGAACATCTGGCCGCAGGTCAAGTTGAATGGGTACAGTTTCCGCAACGTCCAAAATCCCGTCACGTCGTGCGTCCCGTTCTCGACCCAGGATTGCTGCTCAATGAAGCTTGTCTCAGCACCACCATCCTCGGATATAACTTCTCGCAGCCCTTCTTCATTGCTCCAGCCGCGGATGCCGGACATGCCAACAAATCAGCGGAAGCGTCGCTGGCTGCTGCTGCGGGGGAAGCTGGGATCCTGTATACGGTTCGTCAGCGACCGAGTAGGCATCCGCGCGCATGCTCATGGCCTAATCCCAGCCGAGCATCTCGTCAACGCTCTCCATTGAACAGATCGCCGCTGCGGGCCTGCCCGGGCAGATCATGTTCCATCAGGAATACATCTGGGCCAACCAGAGCCGCAATATTGACGAGCTGGATCGCATCAAGGCTGCGGGCTTCAAGGCGATTTTCCTGACCGTTGATAACACCGGAATCAACGGTATCCGCACCCGGTCGATGCGTTTTACAAATCCCTCCGAGTGCGCTGCGGTTATTGCGTAACGGAGTAATGCGGCTGACGAGCTGAAATCGAACCCCAGCACCGGCCATGCAGCCAATTTCGACCTCAACTCGCTCGCAGCGTTCCGCAACCTGACCACGCTGCCGATTGTGCCGAAGGGAATCAAGACGTGGCAGGACGCCAAGACGTGTCTCGACCTCGGCTTTCCTGCGATCTACGTCTCAAACCACGGCGGACGGGTGCTCGATGGCGTGCCCACGTCGGTCGAGGTGCTGATGGATATCAGAAAAAACGCGCCGGAGGTATTCGCCGGGATGGAGGTCTATGCAGATGGAGGTGTCAGGCGGGGAACTGACGCGTTGATTTTGTTGGCGCTGGGTGCCAGGGCCGTCGGGCTGGGTCGATCGTCAGTGTCTTCTGCATGTGTTTGATTCCAGTGCATGACGTTATCCAGGCCGATGTTTGCCAACATCTGGGGCCAGCCCGGTGTAGCAAGGATGATCGATTTGTTCGCTACTGAGATGAAGACCAGCATGCAGCTGATGGGTCTGCAGAATGTGGACCAAATCGACACCACTTACGTGCGTCGGCCCCATTGTCCGCCTTCTTCACCTTGTTGACAAGTCTCCAGGTGAACACAAATAGAATCGTGTCGTGATGGAATACTTAGTAGTAGCAGACAATCAATCCAGGATGTAATCAAGTCCTATGCCGTCGAACCCGCTCGAAAGCACCGCGGAACTGGAGATACGTCGGAGCATCCAGAATTGCAAAAGCCACGTACGCAAACGAGCGAGAGAATCTCCCCGCGTTCCCGACGAGCAGCTCCGCCCAGATACTGGCGACCGTGTCCACATCGTTGCGAAAGACGCCGGTCCCAAACGATCCGAGAACGATATTGCGTACGCCCCTGCGCTCGAAGAGAAACAGAATGCGAGCCATGCGCTCGTGCATCGCCTTCCTGATCCGCTCGTACGAGTCGGAATGCGGCGCAGCACTCTGGGATAAGACAAGTTCCGCATTGACGGCAGCGCTCGTGACGACCTCTGCCTCCATCGGCGGCACCCACCGCCCATCATCCTCGCGGAAGAAGACCACATGCGGCGAATACACCATCGCGTGGGAGTAGAACCCGTCCTCGCCCTCGCCGTCCGCGTGCAGTGCGTGGAATTGCTGCGCGGTAGGCGTCATGAGTGACGCGTACAGCGTCGAGCTGCGTGTCAGGGACTCCTCCTGCGCGTTGGCGCCGTTGATGAACCCTCCGCCGGGCTGCTCTGCGGACGCGAAGTTGAGCATCCCGAGTGGGCGTTTGTAGCCCTTCAGCGCGGCCTTCCGTGTCGCATCGAGTGTCGTCGTCTCGAGAAACTCGATCACGGTAGGTTGATTCGTGCTGTTCGATGTACTTGTCGGTATCGGAGAGGAGCACCAAGCCGACAAGAGAGAACTGGGAGAGTAGTACGCCGTTTGGTAGCGCGATTCATCGAGTTTTGACCGGATGTCATAGGCGAGCCCATCTACGACAAGAGATCCGGATGAAACGGCATCGAGCGTCGTTTTTGCGATTTCTCGAAGTGCAGCAGTGCTCAACGCCATTTTGACTTGCTGGGGTATAGAGAAGGTCCTAAGTGGCAGTGCGGATTGCCGAGAGAACAGAACCGCACCAGCACAGGTGACTTCTGGACGAAATAGAGAACTTAATTGACGGCACAGACCCCAGGTTCGCTAGTTTAGTGGTTATAACGCTCGCTTCACATTACCATTTCGCGAGAGGTCCTCGGTTCGATCCCGAGGCGAATCATTTTGTCATTCGTAAACTCGTCGCGGGTGTGCATGACCCACAAGGATGCGCCCCATTCCATCCATCAGTACCTTGCCTGTTTTCCTCACAAACTCCGGGAATCAAATTACCCATGATTTGTCCTTTCCCGGTGTTTGTGCCAAATCGGCCTCTAATTTGGGCATTGGCGCGTACTTTTAGTCCACCATCTGCCCAATTCAGGCTAAGTGCGTTGGAAAGGCTTCCCTGCCACTGCGGTTTCATTCGGGAAGAGTGATTGATCGTACAGGATCTGACAGGTGCCCGTCTGCCTTACACCGCCGCCCATCCCTGCCACTCTGACAGCGTCATGCACTGGCACGACCTCCGCCTCGCTCTCCGCCTTCACTCATGCGACCCCCCACCATGTACCTACCCTTCGAACTCTGGGACATCATCCTCCGCCAGCTCCCCGACCAAGAGCTCCTGATCGGGGCACGAGTCTGCAAAGCATGGAACACGATCTGCATCGAGAAACACCTGCAACGCAGCAACATCTCCCTCGCCTCCTCTTCCTCGGCATGCCCCACCCCCACCCCGCTCGTTCTGTTCGCACACCAGCTCCGTGTCGTGCGCCTCGCGTGCTGCATTCCTGCGGCGATCCCAAGCCTGACGGTGCAGTTCTGGATTTTCGCCGTGCACCGCGACCTCGCAGACCTCCTCGACCTGCTGCGGCGCACACACATGACGGAGCTGAAAGTTTCCTTCCGCTCGAACGTCCTGCGTCTCTCGCACGCGGAGGCGCTGGTCAAGCTCGTGTGCGGGATCGTCCAGGCGTTCTGTTCCCAGGGGAGGGTCGGTGCTGGGCAGCTGGACGCGATGGGTGTTCTGCTGCGTGGTGAGCTGTATCCCGTGCACTCGACGTGTCTGCACACATGGGGCGTGCGGTACGAGCGTCTCCCGAACGATGGGTGGACGTATTACGCTCCGCCGCCGCGGAGGAAGTGGTCGATACTCAAGCGTCTGACATCGAGGGGGGGAAACACTTCCGACAAGTCCGCCCTGCTTTCTGTGCGGCTGGACGATCGGAGGGTGGCTACTGTGACGCATCTCGAGGCTTTCCAGCTGCGTTGGATCTCGTCAACCGCGGTGGAGGTCAATTTCGAGCCTGACCTGAAGCGGTTTACGATTGGTGCGGATTCTGACTTGGAGGTCTACCGTGAGATCCTCCCGCGTATCTGCCTGCCGGTGCTGGAGACGCTGTCTGTCGAGCTGCCCCTGCCATTGGACGTATTGGCTGCGTTTCTGGCCAATCATCGCAGTCTCATATGCTTGCGTTTGCTTTCATCCCTCTCGGGCAGTCCACTGGCTCCGGACATACAGCCGCTGTCGCTCCCGCATCTCTCCACGATTACGGTCGCCGACTCCGCCATGCTCCCACTCCTATTTGGGCTCATCTCCATCGGCCCGTCACCGAAATCAATCTCGGTGACCCTCCAGCGCCCGCTGTTCACCGAAGATTCGGCAATGTCTCGACCGGTTCTCAGTACCCTTGCGCAACTGCGGCCTGAGACGCATCTGTCCCTGGACCTCTGGATCACACTCGCGAGTGCGCGCACGGCAGACATCCCGGCTGACCTTCTCGAGCTCGCTGCGCACACGACGTGCATCCACACCCTCGTCGTCCATGCACATGCCATCTCCGCTGTCCGCGCCATCGTGCCGTGGGTGTCGGCTCTGCCGAGTCTGCGCACGTTGGAGCTGCGTGCGCCGGAGCCCGTCGACGACGTGGCTGTCGCTACCTGCTTGCGTTTTGTTGAGACGAGAGTTAGGCAAAGGAATGTGCCCTTGACGGTGGTGTATATGGAAGTGGTGTCGCCGGTCTCTCTTGCTGGCAATGCTACTGTCTCATAGCTGGATTTTTTAGTTTTATGCTGTGAGAGCTCTTCCGACGGGGAATTGAACAGTTTCAAATATCGTTAAAATGTATACATGTGTGGTGCGGGTGTAGACAATAAGGACTGATCTACCGCTCGAAAGTCGTGCGAAACATGTATTTCGTAAACTGTGGGACATACATTGAAGATTACACTATGCAACATGTTCCCTGCTCCGCAGCATGGAGAACAGTTCTTAGCAAAGAGGTTATCCCTATATTAGCATGTATTGGGACCGGGTAATCATCGCGAACAACAGGCGAAGGTGCAAAAGTTTCCTGTACATCTCCTCCGACACAGGCATGGTTCGAACATGCGCCCTCATAGAGGAACAGATACCTGAGATTCAAGTCTGTCGCGTTAGACCACTCCGCCACTGTGCCTGAGGGCCATGGACGCCGGTGCACTCACTCCCTGCCCCCCAGATGTGATCAAATTCTGCATAGTCACAGATAGTAATGTGCCATTCGAATTTATACCCTCATTCTATCCAGACCGCTATTCCCCATCCCTAGAAGACTACGAACTGAAGCTTTGTGCTATCAGATCACCAGAATCTATGGCCAACAGATGCTCCGCTCGGCCACTTATCATCAGCAAATATCTTTGGCCGACCCTTCAATCCGAAATGCCCGCAAAGCTGCAGCAGAGAAGGCTCGCATGAAGAATCTAGTTGATGTGTGACGCTCTTCGAAAGTAGCCACGGCTAAAGCTCTGCAAGCAGGGTAGATGTACGGAAGAAATGAAATTAGAGTCCATATAAAGACGGATTGAATAGTCCGAGAGCAAGTAAGTAAATGCGTCAAAGGTCCGATGCAGGTATCCAATATTTCTTGGGCTCCCCGTTTAGAGACGAAGTCAGCAATCAGGCACCAACGACGGAGGTCGAGGTGTGCACTGCAGCGGTACCAGCTGCCGTGCTGCTGATGGTGGCAGACGCAGTGGGAAGGAAGACGAGACAATTGGTGAAAACGACCGGGGTCCCGACCACGGCCGACTAGTGAAATACACGGTCAGGATCTCGCACAGATGGGAGAGATAGGGACGCACATTAGACGGTGCGGAGAAAGTGGTGGCCACGGTGGTCGGTGTGGAGAAAGTGGTCGCCACGGTGGTCGGAGAGGAAGTCCCAGCGGGAGAAGAAACCACAGAGGAAGTCTATACGAACCAGCAGTGAGCAATCCAGAATGCGCTGAGGTGCGAGGAACTTGGACTGACAATCGCACGCTTCACGACGTTCGTGGGAGCAGGCACAGGCGACTCAACCACAGTCTGGATACGATGGATGAGTCATCCACGGTGTCAAAACCAATGCACGAAACCCGTGCTCACCTCGGAGATTTCAGCGCTAGAGCTGGGGATCGGCGCGGTCGCCGAGCCATCGAAAGTGACCGCGATGCAAGTCGTGTAAACACCCGACACCGCGAAGCCCCCAGTGACCGAAGGAGCGGCGGTGGGGAAGACGGTCTCAGTCGACTGGGAAGGTACTGTGCTGCTCGTGATCGTCGCCTCGGTCGTCGCCCCAACAAGCGTCTGCGTGGGCCCAACATCGATGAAGGACGAGGAGATACCAGTCGTGGGGAGGGCGAGTTCGCTCGAGACGATGGGCATCGTGCTGCTGGTGATCGCTGCAGCTGTAGCGGTTCCGACCGGAATTTCCGCAGTCCCAACGTCGATGAAGGACGTGGAGACACCAGTGGTAGGGAAGACGAAATCGGTCGAGATGATGGGCACCGTGCTGCTCGTGACCGCGGCAGCCGTAGTGGTTCCGACGAGAGTAGTCTCGGGTCCAACGTCAATGAACGACGAAGAAATCTCAGTCGTGGGAGCAGCAGGGAAGACGAAGTCACTCGAGATGATAGGCACCGTGCTGCTTGTGATCGTGTCAGCCGTGGTAGTTCCGACAGGCGTATTCGTGGGTCCAACGTCGACGAGAGACGATGAAATCTGCGAGATGCGCGTCCATCAGAAATCTAGTTCCAGTCTTCGTAATGCAAGGACATATGCACGCACCGCAGCAGCGTTGGCACCGATGACCGCGCAGAGAACAAAAGTGAGGGACAACATGATTGAGTGAAGTGGGAAGCGCTGTGTGGAAAGGCGGGAGGCTACTGAACTCCCCCAGCAATACTCTGAGACTTAAATACAAAAGCTGTGGGCGGACTCCGATCAAGCGAACAGCGCGGCATACATGGGCATTGCTGACCGTGTATCTCGTCAACAATAAAATAACGTGCTTGAACTCCGCCTTGGCGAGCTCCATGGCGATTGAAGATGCCTAATTTCCATGTACACACGGAGTTCCCCTAGGGATAGTTCAATATTCGAACACAATGATAGTTTCGTCGGACCTTGCGTCGTTGGAGGTGTCCTATCCATATCCTGAGGTCCAAGATCCAACGTAGACAGGGATTTTCACCAGCAGCAAATGACCGAACTGTGTGAGGAATGTGATTTTAGCACTGAACATCAGCGGCCTGAGTTGACCGTAGCAAATCCAGTAACCCCAGTTCGCACTGGACACGCGAGATCAAGAATCCGCCGGACTCAATAACAGGACATAGCTGCCTATATTTGCATTAGAATGTTCTTACGCCGCGAATCTTGTTGCGAAATGTTTCGAATCGCAGTTGATGGACGTTCAACTCGGATGGTCATGGGCTGGAAATTCCGATGAGTAACCGCGGACTCTGCCTACCAAAGTCTTAGGCTGATGAAGATGCTGCTACTAGCCGACGGAGATTTCCCACTGCCTGGCAGGATATGAATTAGCAGGATTCAAATCTGCAGATCGATGCGCGTCCTTACGAGTGGTTTGCCTTCCCTGCATCACATGAGCTTTACCTACCAGCTGCACACGGTCAGTCAAAGGTTCCGAGTGCGGGCCCCGGGGATGCGCACAGGAGTATCTGCTTTAGACAGTGCTCGCGCTTCCGAGTGATGCTTTGAGGGATAGATGGGTCCACACTTGCGGGTTTGCTCGGTCTCAAGAAAGGTTGATGCGCATGACCGCTTCAGACAAGCTCGAGTTAATGTGGCTGTACAAATTCACGTGAGGTCGGACCGATGGCCGCGAGGGGTCGGTCCCTTCACCCTCTACCACCGACTGCATCGAATCACCGACGCGTTACCTTGCGGCCCCAGCAATTCACTGAAGACATCATTGGCTTTATTGCTTGTTTTGGCTTTCCCCCACCAGCTCTCAACAAGCTGCAATGGCATCTCCCTTACAGTACGGCCATCCCATTTCCCCTCTACCCCGCCATTTATCTACGTATCTTGACTTTGCCCCATGTATCTATAGTCTCCCGGAACTTATTTTTCATCTATCTGGTACACTATTTAGTCTCGGAGACATTCCCAAGAACAATTCAATAAAATCGTCACTTTCGAATGAATCGTAGTACATCGCGTTGGTCGAGCAGACCTCGTTGCATCAGATGGATTTATGTACATATCGACTCGCCATACGCACATCCGCTCTTACGGGTATGTGCGGTGTCAATTGACTACTCAGATCGGGTCGTTCAGCCGACCAAATTCGGACATACTGAGCCGACGAACGAACGTTGTTCAATGCACATTGCGAAGATAGCGGCAATCAGCGATACGAGATGTGGCTGTACCTTCATTCTCCCCTGGTGCTAGCTGGCATCCGCATTACAGTCGTCGTCGTGCTGAATTTGTTTCCGGCTGTGAGAGACAGATACTTCCGCTGCTCCGTGCCGATCTGTGCTCCGTGCCGATGCCGCCGCCTCCTGATGACCGCTCCACCGACAGGACGTATCTGGACATACTATCGCTGGCTGCTCAACTTTGAGACAGATTCCAGACCGCGAGATCGAGAAGTTAACAGCCGAATGACAATCTTGCCGGGCATGGTGGTGCTCTTATCGTGCCCTGGCTTCTAAGAGTTGCTGATTCGCTCCATTACAGACTCCGGAGAGCGACCCTCGCAAAGCCTCGCATTCACTCGCAGTCCGAGCAAACCGTGCCCTCTTCACGCTGTGGGATCTGCATGCCGCGCAGCGCTGGCCGCCACATCCGCGACACCCCATTCAATTTGCACCCCACCGTCCCCCGCCCGAAACACCTCGATGTCGGCTTATCACCTTGCAAACAGCGCGGGATTCTCAGGACGCGATGCGATCGAAGGGTCTGCACGGCGCGGGAAAAGCTAGAGATGGATAAGCTCTCGGCTGAATGACCTACCACGGCCCTCCTGTATATGGCATCGCGTCAAAAAGAAGCTTCGTTAGGCTCCCACACTCGGGTGAGTATAAGTAGCTCGGTGTGACCTCCCCCACCTGAGTCTGAGCGTGTCACACTCCTGTCCCTCTTCCTCTCATCTCGTCCGATATGAGCAGCAGCCAAGACGACGACAAGCGGTCCAGTCTCGAGAAGGGATCGGGCATCACCGAGAAGGGCGGCCTGCACGACCTCGCGGGGGTGGAGGTATCTGTGTCCGCTGTGGACACGGGTGCAGCGCTTGTGGCGGGCGAGCACGGCACGTTGGACCCGGACGAGGCTCTTCGCGTCAGGTGTGTCCTCGGTGTCTTTCTGCGCATCAGAGCCTACCACATCCTGCGCTTCCATCGCCGCTGCTAACCATCGTCCAGGAAGAAGATCGACTATCACATCCTTCCGCTGATGTGCGGTATGTCCCATCTCTCGCGCACGGACGCAGCCCGATCCTGACACTAATTGCGTCTGTGCTAGTACTGTACTGGTACGTTACTCGCATACCGCATGGCATGGTGGCTGACCCAGCGGCGCTCCGCAGGATCCAATTTATGGGTACGGCCCCCCGGGGAAAGCGGCTGCCCGCGCATTGTATGCTCACCCCCATCCCCATCTGTGCACAGACAAGACGACCTTGGGAAGCTCCGCGATCCTTGGCATCCAGTACGTCGCTTGCCCATACCCCGCATCACGACATCGTTATCTTATCACCCGCATCTAGGAAGGGGACGCACATCAGCACTAACCAGTCGGTCATTTTCGGCTGCTGCGGAGCGGCCTGGGCTCACGCTTATCGCAGGTACAACTGGCTCGGGACGATCTTCTATCTCAGCTATCTCGTCTTCGAATTTCCCCAGAACCTGGCGCTCCAGCGGTTCCCCGTCGGCAAATGGATGAGGTGCGCGGGTTCGAATGATGATGGGATGATTCCATCGATCATGGTTTGTGTCACCGCTCAACATCGCACCCCATATTCAGCATCAACATCTTCACTTGGTCGGTGGCGCTCTGCGCTCATGCGGCGTGCAAGAGCTTCGGTGGGCTGTTCGTCGTGCGGCTGATTCTGGGCATGTGTGAAGGGTGCGTGACGTGCAGCTAGTATACCATCGCTCGCTTGTTGAGCACACTCACCACAGCTCGATCACCGCTGGGTTTATGATCGTGTCCTCTATGTTCTACACGCGGACGGAGCAGACGTTGCGAGTGGGCTACTGGTGTGAGTCTGTCGTCTGATTACCTGGTGCTGTCCCCCTTGACCAACACTCCAGTCCTCATGAACGGCACTGGTATGTAAAGTACCTGGAATGGTCAGAGTCCCCGACATGACCTCACCCCAGCCCAAATCATCTCCGGCTTCATCTCCTTCGGCGCTCTGCACATCCACACGACGGGCTTCGAGCCCTGGCAGTGGTTGATGATCATCACGGGTGCCATGACCTTCGTCACGGCCGTCTGCTTCTGGTGCGTCGAATCTTCCCCATTTCTCCCCCCTTTTCCGGGAGCAGGAGTTCTAAGCGGCTCAAAAGGTTCTTGTTCCCGGATTCGCCGACGAATGCCTGGTTCCTGACACCGCACGAGCGGGCCGTGGCTGTCATGCGGATCAAAGTCAACCAAACTGGTATCGAGAACAAGCATTTCAAGAAAGAGCAGTGCGTCTCTGGTGTCCTTCCGTCCCCACTATCAGCCTGCTCACTCTGTATGGCAGGCTTATCGAGGCGCTCACTGACCCCAAGACGTGGCTCTTCGCGCTCTTCTCCATGCTCGACAACGTTCCCAACAGCTTGACGTGCGTGCTTCGGCTTTTATTTATTTGACTTTGCACGTTGCCGGTGCTCACGTGTGTGTGTCTTTCTTGACAGGAATCAGCGCTCCCTCATCGTGTCAGGCTTTGGGTTCAGCCCGCTCCAAACCACTCTGCTGGGTTGTGTTGACGGCGTGGTTGAGATCGTCACCATCTACACCGGCGTACGACTGTCCGCCCGCTTCGACAGCCGGGCTGTAATCGCGTTTGTCTACTTCATACCCAACATCCTCGGTACGATCCTCGTCAACGTCCTGCCCTGGAGCAACAAAGTCGGGCTTCTGTTCTCTGTGTGGTTGACGGGTGTCGGGACCACCGGCTTTGGTGAGATCTCTTTCTGGGTTTGATTTGGCGCGGTATTCATCCAGTCTCTTTCCAGTTCTGTCCCTCAGTTGGCTCTCACAGGCAACAGCTGGACACACGAAACGGGTCACGACCAACGCCATCATGCTGGGAGCCTACGTGCGTCTATCTTTCATCCCACCTCAGCCCTCGCAATTCTGATGAATCTCCCTGCAGTGCATCGGCAACTCCGCCGGTCCGTTCATGTGGCAGCAGAAATACCGGCCCCGGAACCGCATCCCGTGGATCGTCATCGCGATCTGCTACGCGTGCTGTATGATTATCGTGCTGGTCCTCCGTGCGATGCTCAAGCGAGAGAACGCGCGCCGCGACAACGAGCCGCCCGCCGTCGGCCACGCGGCGTATGAGGATGTGTACGTCGAGCGGGTCGTCGAGGGCAATGTCGAGCGCGTCAAAGTGGACAAGGTGCGTTTCGTTTTCCGTTTTTCGTTTTCCGTTTTCCGCGAGTGTGCTGACTGGCTCGCTTTCCTCGCTTGTAGGAATTCCTCGACCTGACGGATAAGCAGAATCGGGACTTCCGATATGTATACTGATGCTACGAATGTTATGACTTGTATTCTATATCCAGCCATAGACGCACTACACGACGAATGGTATTGTAGGTTCTGAGCCTGTCTGCCTGTGGGCCCCCACTGCTGTTTTCGGATGGAAATCTGTATACATAGGACGCATTTTTATGATTTGGCTTTCAATGCATCGAGACGAGTCATCGATTCGAATTGCCACAAGCTTCGCCAAGTGCCAATGCTCTCCTATCTATTACAGATTGGTTAGAAACAATCACGAAGAGAACGTTTGTGCGTTGCTTCGCGACCCGTCTCATGCACCGACACCCCCAACCATGTGCGAGGCACCAAGAGTGCTGTCGTTGACATTTCCATCGTCGGAAAGGGTGCACGACATATAAGAAAATAGTTGACTTCTCGAACACATCAGCATTTATCCTCTAGATCGCCCAATATGAATAGATCTGAAGATGTCCGAAAAGGGAAAGAAGGCTCCGATCAACTGATTATCTTACAGTAGGAAGATGTGTTTATATTCATCTCGATGTTCGCAAAAGAAAGAAAAATGCTCCTATTGACTATCGGTCTCAGCACTTTCGTCCTGGAATGTAAGCTAAACTTTGAACTGGTTCTGAGGAGATAGAAAGATGAGCTCGAGGAGCATACACATGGGGCCCTAAGCAAATGGGGCTCGAGTTGCCGATTCGCCTGACTGCGGCTCAGAGGCGGCAGCAGTCCTGTTCGTCGTTGCGAGGGCACAGAGATACAGTACAATCGGGCCAGCTGAAACAGGCTGAATTCAGACGGAGACGAAAAAAACGATTTCAATCGTGTCTCACACGAAGCTTGCTTGAGAGGCGCTTCGATCCCCTCAAGTGTTCGTGAGAGCTTCATTTTAATGTGAGAACAATCATCATATTTCCACACACACACAACAGGAGACAGAAAGCACGCAATCTAAGTATGTATCTGCAGTGTTCGCGAACAAACGAAGAGAATTCTATGTCCGTCCGAGTAATTAATTATATACCCGTTTCGTGCATTTTTGCGCGGCTCCGCTCAGATGAACGACCAGGTTGCGTCGTCCATCTCGACGGCCTGGGGCGTGCCCGAGATGGAGGTAAACGCGACCGGGCTCAGCGCGATGTTCTGCGTGCCCTCGCCGCCATCGAAGTACCCGGAGAACACAGCCGTGGTGCTCACCCCGCCCACTGGGAGACACCGGTCAGTCCAAGGGCGAGAGAGAGCGCGGGGAGAGGGAGAGCACAACGCACTGGTGACGGTGATCTGATCGTTGCAGCAGACGAAGCCGTAAGTGAGCTCGATGGGCATGGCAGCCGCGAACGGGCCGTTCCAGGGCGGGCAGTCGCACGCCGTGACTTGGTAGAACCCGAGCATCGCTGGCGGAGTGGGCGGTCAGCCAGCGCTAGTGGGCACATGGGGGGCGGTCCAGCTCACCACTGCCGGTGTACACCGGGTTTGCGGCTGCCGCAGTCGCGACAGAGAACGCAGAGGCGAGGGTCACAGCGAGGACAACGGTCTTAGTGAACATCTCGGGAGTTTGGAGATCGGACGAAGAGGTTCGGTGAGGAGGAGGAAGGAGGAGGAGCTTCGACTGTAGCTGTGAGCTTGGAGACTCCCCCTCGTCCAGTACGCGCTTTTATCCCTCTGCCGTCCATCCCTAATGGAGCTGCAGCCAACACCTGCGGACACGATTGTCGAGGAGGCCGTAAGGCGCTCACCCCAATTCCACGCCTCGCAATGACGCATTCGCACAGGTCCAGATACGCACAGCACGGTCGCGGTGGCGTGAATGCGCGCGCGATTACACGAACATGTGCAACAGAAGGATTGGGAGGGGACGGCGCGATCAGGAAGCGGGCGGAGTGGAGCCTGGCCTGATTACCGAGGAAGGGGTCCTGAGGTGGTGGACAGCTCCGTTCGTTCGAGGGCGCCAGTCAAACGGCGGACATTGGGTCGAGAACACGGTCGAGGGGAACAGGGCCTCGGCGCCGGCCAAACCGCTTCTATCTCGAGACTCCTCATCAACGATGGCCAGGGGGGTTGACGAAATGACCATGGGAGAAGGGGAGGAAGCAGGCTCTGGGAGAGTGTCTCAGCGGAGGAAGACCGCTTCGCTGTCGTTCGGAGCAAGGGTGGACCCGACGGCCGACAGGTGCCGACGGTCCGTCCCAAGGATGTATAAGCCTTCCATGACGGAATCCTAGCAGTAGCCAGCCAACTCTGCGCCCATGAGACAAAGACAGAGAGTGATAATGGTCGTCTCCAGCCCTAATTCCTGGTGCCAGGAAAGCTTTGGATCAAACAAGGGTCCAGCTCGAATGTTTCCAGTATTGCCCGGACCCGAGACTTGCGCAAGTAGAGAGTTCCGACCGTGAGAGCCCGAGGGCTCGACGTGGGAGCGCATTCTGCATATTCGCGACACTCGCGAGAGTTGAATGCCGATGAGCATGCATCCTATGTACTAGTCGGAATCGGAATCTGTCCATCACCATCCAGGTTCACAACGAGAATGCGTCACTGCTCCCGGGATAGATGGAAAGAGGGATAGCAAGTCAAGGATTTACTTCAGTGCATCCTGCAGAAACGACTGACACGCAGAGAACTAATAGACGATCTACACAGAAGGACGGTAGCGTACACGCACAGATCACTCCGTGCTTCCATAGCCCTTGCCATTCTCCACCACCGGAGTCAAGGCTGCAGGGCGCCTGGGACGCGGACTTGTCGAAAGATCAATCAACGGCGAACGCTCGTCCGGCAGACTCCGCGGGGCACTTTCACCACCACCGTGCTCGTTCTCGTCCAGATCCGACCGCAGGGACCGGGCCACTGACACACCTCGCCGACGCTCCACGATTCTAGATATGCCCTCAGTTGGGGTGTAACATGCTGAGGAGATAGTTCGCAGAAACACACCCTCGCATGACATCGGCAGTCGTGGCCCGCTTGGCCCGCTGTTTTGAGACGTTATCCGCATAGCGATCTGTCTCATCGACAATCTCCTCTGAGATGATCTCTTCAATGATATCTGCAAAGAGTCTCATTCATTTCGATTGACACATCAAGACACGTTCACTTGCCTTCAAGGGTGAGCACGCCAATCGCACCGCCAGGCTTGCCCGGGGTGTGGCTCACAAGCAGAAGATGCGCCCGTCCAGTCTGGCTGTGCTTGATTCAGTAACACGATGCTGAATGCATCGAGGATGAACCCGTACAAGTAGTCGAGAGCTTGGAAACAGCTTATAGTTGGCCGCGCCTCGGGGAGAATGGAGAGCGGGAAGCTGGACACAGGCAAAGCTTGGGAGGGATCGTATTTCAAGAGCTGCAGGCGTAAGCGAGACGATCTTAGAAAGAGGATACCCTTACTTTTTTGATAAGCAAGAGACCAACGAAAGCCTCTGGTTTGCCAGGCTCATGGACAGGGAATCGCGAGTATCCGCTGAGTAGACTACAAACGATCGAGGTGAGCTTCAGACAACAACAGGAAGGAACGGACAAACATGTTCTCGACGAGCTTATCATCGAGCAGTGCGTCAGCAGAGAGAGTCACTACGTCCTGTGGAGCGGTGGTAAGTCTCATGGACGGGAGAAGGACTGGAGCCCAATCTACCCACCGTCATAGGGGTCATGATCCGCTCAACCTTCTTCGTGCTCAGCTCAAGCACCCCATTGAGGATGCTGATCTCGTCCTCCTGCAGTGGTTCGTCGCCCGAGCGATGGAACTACTATGGCGTCAGGTGCATTTGCTGGGCATGATGAGCAAGCGCACCTGGAGGAAGGTCCTGAGCTCCGCCTTCTTGTACGTGTGTGTTTCATGCACACCAAGCACTGTGTCGAGGAGCTTGGCGATCGGCCAAGCAATCGGCGCAAAGACATACATGAGCCCCAGGACGAATGGGGCACACGCTGCCCCGATGGCGAGACCGTATCGGACAGAGACAGCTTGTGGAATGATTCTAGACGTGTCTTGGTTGAGGGAGAAGCCACCGACACGGAAACAGAGAAACTCACTCTCTGATTTTGCCCCGTTAGCCTGATCAATGTGAGCGGAGCCGAGAAAGTACGAACCCAAAGATGACTGGAGAAGCAGCATGAGGATTATGCGTACTAGTGGAGTCGGAACACGCACCAATCATAGCGGTAGATATGGCCACCGCCGCAATTCCCCCGCCGATCTGCATCGGGCGCACCACGCGTCAGCATGTCATCCGGCTGAGAGACTAGAAGCTGCGCACCGCGCTGTCGAGAAAGATAGGGAGAGACTCGTTGATGATCTAACGAATGTGAGCGCTGGGTGGTCTGGTGCCTTCGAACTGGATACGCACGACGTTGCCGAGGAGAAGCACTACCAGGACCCAATGCCGGCCTTTCTGCATGAGTTTGAGCACTGTGTCCACCCGTCAGCGCTAAGGTCGCTCCTTCGAAAGGACCACGCGGCACACCTTTCTTGGCATTCCGCTTCTCGTCCTCGTCGTCGCTCGCGGCCGCTAGGACTTTGAGGTGCAGCTCGTCGAGACCCATCAGGCCGAGCGTCAGGCCCGCGAAGACGCCGCCCAGCAGCACGAGCACCGCGCTGATGCTGATCTTCTCCCAGAATTCGGGCGACCAACGCTCTGGATGCGTGTGTGTTTTCTTTTCTTTGGCGGCCAAGGCGGAGGAGATGGGCGTGGCGAGCGCGGAGAGCGCGCGCAGAAAGAGCGGGAGGAGGAGGTGTGTGGTGCGCGCGCGCATGGTTTCGAGATTTCGACAAGCAAAGAGAGGCAAGGGTTGGACAAGTACTACAGACTGAAGACGGCGAAGAGCTAGTTCCGATGATGGATGGATGTCGAGAACTTGGCCTTGATTTGAGTGTCGCGGCGACTCGCGGCTGTGATGCGTATGCTGATCCGAGGAATCGAATGGAGCTGGTCGCTTTGACCGTCGAGATATTCACTTAGTCTGTAGCTTTGGGAGCGTGGGATGTAGCTGGCTGTATTCGGATTCATTCACAACTCTCTACTCGACGTACTACGTTGTACGCAATATACACTCTAATTGAGCGAGTTTCAGGTCTCAGGTGAGGGGAGTGTGACAAAGCGTGTGAGTAGCGTAGTCACACTGGTCACGAGGGCCCCTGGTATCATCCACCCCACCCACAGGCGCGTCTCATCCCAGCGTGGCATACGACTGTATCACTCTTGTTGCGCACAAGCAGTACCATCTCTCACCCTCCCTCTCACATGTCCGACCGCAACCGCTCGCGTCATATACGCAATCAACGCGCTCGGCGCAAGCTCAAGTCGGGGGACTATCCTGTCCTTCCTGCCGGCACCGTCGTGATGGCGCGCATGCGAGGACACCAGGAATGGCCTGGGATGGTCGTAGATACGGATACTCTCCCCGACAGCGTCCTCGTGAATCACCCTGGCGCGAACAAGATCGCGTTCCCCGTGCGGTATTTTCCTCGAGGCGAGCAGTAAGTAAAGATTCTTCTTCCATCGTGTTGGATTTCTCGTTGCCCTCCATCCTCATCTATTCTTCCTATGCTCAATGAAAACGTCGACTGACTGTGGTTACAGCGGCTGGATCTTTCCACCAGACCTGCGCGTGCTCCCTAGAACGGAGATCAGGGCGTTCCTCAAGGGCGTCAAGGACGGCACACGGCGGCCGGTGAAGCTGCTCCTCCAGGCATACGAAGCAGCGGATGATCCGAAGGAGTGGTTGCGCAGGATCGAAGTGCTGCTCTCATACCTACCCACCGACGAGGAGGGCGGTGGCATCGCCCAATCGCCGACAACAGCTCAGCAGAGTGCGAAGAACAAGGGCAGGGGAAACGCGGAGTCTGCGTCTGCCCCGGTCGCATCGTCTTCGAAGAGATCCGCGACGCCGCGGCCAACGCTGTCCGCGCGCCCGAAACCAGTGATCAGGCCGACCGCGAAGCGAGGGATGACGTCGACCCCCGTACCTAGTCTCAAACCAACTCTCAAACCGCCTCGAAGGCCGTCACAAGCTGCATCGGGTTCCAGACCGAAGAAGCCACGCAAACCGCCCGCGGAAGTCCTCATCGAATCGAATGCTAATGCTGAGGTTCCGACTGTCAGCGCAAAGGACGACGAGCCGGCAGGAGATGTTGACCCAGACAACGCCAACGATGCGGAAACCAAGGAGGGGCTCACAGCGACCACAAGTCTCCCACCGGACGTTCCGTTCCCCACGACCAAAACAGCGACATACCTGTCCCTCGCCCAGCTCACCCAAGCAGTACTTGCCTTCGACCAACTGGCCGCCGAGCTCGTCGTACTGAAGGAACAGCACCGGGCTGCCTGCTCTGCGCATGACCTCGGCCAGCTTCGCCGCGAAGCACTGGAGGCATCCGTGGTAGCGGCCACCGAGGTCCGCACTCAGCGCGAGGCGAAGGAGAAAGTGGTCAGAGGTCGGGCGGAAGGGCGCGAGGCTGAGCTGGAAGAGAAGGATCAGCGGATCCGCGCGGCGCAGGAGAGGATCGAGGTCGGAAAGAAGAGGAGAGCACAGCTGGAGGTGGAGAACCAAGAGATGCGGACGGCATTCGAGGGATTGCAAAATGCTGGGAGCAAGCGTCAAAAAGTAGAGTGAATATGTGTGCTCGTCTTTACGCGTTCTTGTGCAGATTTGGGTTATACGAAGCCAAAAGGAAACGACTGTGAGACAGGGGAGGTGGAATGAGAGTAAATAGAGCCTGACGAGAAGGGAACAAAAAATTCGACACAGGCATGGTTCGAACATGCGCCCTCAGAGAGGAACAGATACCTGGAATTCAAGTCTGTCGCGTTAGACCACTCCGCCACTGTGCCATGTCGATTGTTGAGGAGTTGAGCTCTAGAGGGCGGACATGACCAAGGTAGATATCCACCAGTTGATTCAGTTCTCGTTCTTTCTCAATTCCTTCGCATTTCAGAAAAGCAAAGACTCATCTTCCAAAAGACTTCCAAAACTAGTGAATCCGTGGAGAGAATCATGCAATGTCTAACTTCGAGCAGGATGGTGATGGAGGATATTGACTGACATGGCACCGTACCTTTACTGATTTTTTGCTACTCAGCGCTAGAGTCTGATTCGATAGGTGGGATCCAGAATAATTCCTCTGCACTCAAATTTTTCACAGGAGGGTTGGATTGGTTTAAAGCCCAGAGCCCCCACCTGTCTATTTCATTTACTCTAGATTTGGCTAAGTCCTGGGAGTCATTTTGCAGGTGTTCCGAGATATCGAAACATCGTCTGAGTTCCTGGTTCTTCAATTATCGCTTGAGGAAGAGCCCCATCTCCCGAATATCCGCCAAAAACTGCGGCGGATTATCCAACCCCGCAAAATGCCCGCCGAAATCAGCAACTGCACAGTACGAGGTTTTCAGTCGACATACACTTCGCTCTGGAGTTTGAACGCACCTTTATAGGAAACAAGGTTGCCTACCCGCGCGACCCACTGCTCAGGCCACAGTCCGACATTGTATTCGTACTGCGTGAAGAACAGCGGAGCTTCCGTGGGCGCTTTCGTGTACGTCGTTCGGAATCCGTTGGGATTCTGCGCATATATCCAGACGGAAGACTCAAAAGTCCCCGTGAGGTAGTACAGAGAGACGAGGTTGAGGATGGCAGTCGAGTTCAAGACTGAAGGGGAGTGACCGGCATGGGGATCAGACCCTGGGACCGATCAGTCAGTGCACTCGGGTGTGAGTCTGCTCTAGACTCACAGAGTTTGACCTTCTCCCCGATCCAGGCCAGTTGTCCCACAGGGTTATCGTACAAGGCCAATCCAATATCATGGGGCTAGGAGAATATCAGAATCATGTCTGGCTTAGATTTCAGTGCACTGACCTTGAAGGTTTGCTCCAGGAAATAACCGTTGCCGATAGTCGACCATTTGGTGCCACGGGCCTCTGTGACTTGCTCAGTCGCCGTGAGTGTTACGTTCGCCGCGGCGATTTCGGCGAAGGTGGGCGAGGCGAATGGCAGGAAGACGAAGCTCGCCGCGGACACGGTTTGGTTGAAGTTGCTGTAAAGCGAGTACGCCACACCACTGCCCTGAAATCCACGAGTCAGATTCAACAAGACTGCTAGGAAAAAGGTAACAGAGAAATACAGACCCAATCAGTCCCGTGAATGGTGTAAGTAGGATACCCCAGTACCTCAACCATGAGCGTATTGAAGACCCGCGCGGTGTCATCCACGGTCCAATTGAAGGGCGGTGCAGATGAGAAAACAAATCCGGGCAGGGAGGGAACAATAACGTCGAACGCGACTGTGGATCCATTGGAGTCCGTGAATGCTTCCGTGAGAGACTCGATGACGGGGTCAAACTCATAGAAGGATCCTGCACAGAGAGAACACTGCTTAGGAGGAGTCGGCTTGTGATAAGAATTCACAAACCTGGCCAGCCATGGAGAAGCAACACGGGGACGGCACCCTTCACGTGGGACTTCTGGTGGACAAAATGGATGGAGAGACCCTCGATCTGCGCCGTAAAGTGATCAAATCTGGTACTCACGTTCAATCGACGAATCACACAAGAAAGCCATACGACACGCGCACCTGTTGAGCAAGACCTCTTGTGCCGTCCAGTTGTACCCATGCGCCCACTCTGCCTTCCAAGCTTTGAGGTCATTCAGATCGACACCGTAAGTAGGGCTAGTCCCGGGATATAACGGTGCTTGGGGCAGCTTCGTCACGTTGAGCAGGGTTTGGAGATGTGGAATTCCAGCACCGAGATCGATGTGGAATGAATTGAGGTGATATTTGGAGTTCTGGGATCCAAGGACTTCTGTGATGAAGTTGAACGCAAAGACCGCGCAAAGCACAGTAGTAATAGACTTCATGTCGCCTGTGTCGTCGTTGTCGGAGTTGATACAGACTTGACGCACCTTCTCCGTCTAGTATTTATCTAGCTTCGGAGATCTATAAATGCCCCAGCGTTGCTGAGGAATGCCGAGCATCCAGTGTCATTACGAATCTGCGCTCGACGTTAGCACATATGTAAGTGGCTGTCAAAGCTGACTGAGCAGATGCGGGCTCGAGCCCATCAGGTTATCACACGCCCCGGCCCGCTTTCGGATTGCACTCAATGGCCGATGCTGACCTGACAGTATCATGATCCCCCTCTGTCACTGAAGTGCAGTTTCCTCAGAATAATACTGCGGCAAAAACAACTCACATGTTCTCATCCCCGACAAGGCTATCCGTTCCCCGCGCACCAGAGCCGTCGAAACGGTAGGCACTATTGATAAGGTAGCGTAGCGCTCCGGGACTTTGTCAGGCATGGTCCAAAGATTGGTCAAAAAGAGAGTGTCAGGACCACCTAAGAGTGGACTGCTCCCCCTCGAAATGTGCAATACTTGGACTTGCACCGGTCCAATCGGCTGGAGCCTTGCTTTCATCCTCGATGCATGCGCAAACGAATTTCTGTGTAGCATGAATGCAAAAGTGAAATAGGATTGCCACCCTTCACGGAGGGTCGTGCAATGAGTGCATTGCCATCCAAGTTCGTGAACGTCCTTTTTGATCCGTAACACCCACCTCGATCACCTTCAAGCGGCCCGCCGCTGAAGCTCGCTGAGGGCAGGAACTGAATGACAACCCAAAATGCGGCTCATAAGCCGGGGATATTACCCAAAACTACACCGAGAACGCCCGCTACTACCAAAACACCTCAAAGGAGAAACAGCGACTTGAGCTACGGAACAGGTAAAATCACAACGCCCAGACCAGCAAGATTGTACACCGCACTCTCGTCACGGCCGCAAACACCCATAAGCGGGAAGGGTAGGTCGGAAGATGGAGACCGAACGGAAACCACACCAAAAGGAACAACGAGGAAGTTACTCACACGGGTGAGTGACGCGCTCGGATTCTCACCGCCCAGGAAGAACAGAACACAACCCCCGGACACGGCAGCGAACACCTCGGAGGAGGCACTCGACCATACAATAAAACACCGAGCATACAACATCCCGACGTTCACCTCCGATGAATACCGTACCGCGACACACGACCACACCCGAGAACACGGACACATATTCGACGGCGCCTCCGACACCAACTTTAGCGACGAATACGGACAAGACATGGAAATCGATCTATACAGCGGCGACCCCGAAGGAATCATCAATGCATATACGGTATGCATGAACGACGCAAAGGTGGCCCTCAACCGACTACGAGCCACCATACCCGAAATACTCGAAACCGAAGGATTCCCACAAGAAGTCGTCGACGCTACGCGGAACATCCACGAGAGGGTAACCGGTAGGGAAACGCGGGCGATCCTTGCTGAACTGGAGATGCTCCGACTGGAGGCGTCATCCAGCCGGAACACCGCAGAACGCAAGATGAACAGCCTACAGGACAAACTCGCAAGCCGCGACCAGCTCATTGACAAGATGGGCACGCAACTCGATAATCTCAGCACAACAGTAACCGCAATGGCAGCAAAACTAGACGCAAACTTCGAATGGATCCAAAAAGCGCAACAACTTGCAAATACCCGGACAACACCAACTAACGCAGGAACCCAACCACAGTCGACCCTCGGCCCGACATATAGACCGACGAAGACAATAACGACGACTCCGAATCCCAAAGCGAACAACCCCCTGATGCCCCACCACCCGACACGACTCATCATAAAGTTCAACGCGAAACCAACTGAAGAGGAGACACGAACGCGGCCCGACCAAAAACAGCTAGTGACACAGATCAACGAGGCACTGCAAAGCGACGAGAACGCAAAACACTTACGAGTAGTAGCCCTGAAATGGACGGCAAATGGAAACTGTGTCCTGCAGACACGCGCCGACCAGACAGGAGAAGAACTGGCCAAGTTCTCTTCACTGTTTCAAGACATACTCACAAAACCCGGACAGATTAGCACCATCCAACTAGACCGGAAATGGACGAAGATACAGGTCGACCTCGTACGAACGGGAGCTTTCGATATGAACCCAACTATCTATGGCCAAGACACACTCATGCAAGAAGCGCTGATAAACAACCCGATCCTTAGCAGACTCAAGATCACAAATCAAATGCGATGGCTCCGACGCCCAGAAGATCTCCTGACGACCAACCACTCCTCGGTCGTCCTAGCAGTTGAAGAATCAGACGAAGCGAACTTCCTACTCCACGAGATGAAGTCGCTAGCGATGTTCGGACGCTCCTGCCCTGTACGTCTGTTTGCCGACCGCCCACCAGTGACACAATGCTCCAGATGCCAACGATTCGACCACGTGGCAGACAAGTGCTCACTGGAAGTCCGCTGCAAATATTGCGGAGAACCACACTCGGCAAAGGAACACCAAGCAAAATGCACGAACTGCATGGCAGAAGCCCAAGCAGAGGACACAATGGATGTTGATTCAGCAAGCCCATGCACGCACCGACTATGCTGCATCAACTGCAAGGAGAAACGACAAGAAACCGACCACACAGCCGACTCAAGACGGTGTCCGGAACGAACATCAAGATACGGTGCAGCGCGAGCAAACGAGAAAAAGAAAGCACTGGACAGTAGCTGGCAGCAAGTGAAGACGAGGGGCGGGAGACGTCGGGACACCCAACTACAAGCCCAACCCGGGGAGAAAACGAGGAACCGCTTCGAACCAATAGAACCAGAACGGACAATGGATGACCGAGCGCAGGACCTCGTCAGGGCAGCGGCAGCTAGTCGTATCACCATATCGAAGGACGAAGCACTGGCCAAGCTGTTAGCGACGAGCAAATCAGTCTCGGGCCAATGAATCAACAACCGCATCCACAATTCACGCGCCCAATCCGGTTCGGACAACTGAACACAAACAAGAAAGGTGATGCTGTCCAGGCACTCCTTAATCACCGAATAAAAGACTTCGACGTCATCTTTCTACAGGAACCCCCGTGGCACCGAATTGGGACAGACAACAATGGTGATGACACTATCGGACCCATTGGACACGGAAGCTGGACACCGATTCTACCAACTGACGCGATACCACAAAACCAAGCACCACGAGTCATGACGTACTATAAAAGACGACCTGACTTTGACGTCACCCTACGGTCCGATCTGGCACAAGACCTCGATATCCAGATCATCGAGGTGTCAAGACAAAACGGAAAAAGATGGCTGTACGTGAACACATACAACGAAGGCGGACATCGGCCAGCCGCGGCAGAACGACTCATAAACATCAACCTCCCCCAAGACATCCCAATCGTATTCACCGGGGACTGGAACCTCCACCATGAGTTGTGGTCGTGCCCCAATAAGAACGGAAACCGCCGATCCAATAACTTCGTTGAGTGGATGACGGAGAGCGACGCAGGACCACAGTGTGTCCTGGTCAACAAGAAGGGCGGGGTAACCTTCACTCCACATAACGCAACAAGCTCAAGCTCCGTGTTAGACTTGATGTTCATCAATGGTCGAGCAGTAAACGACGACACAATCCAAGAATGGACAATTGACAGATCTATGTCGTACGGTTCCGACCACCACGGCATCCGATGGTCAACAGACGACGGAAGGGAGGAGATCGAGAACATTACCGGGGTACAATACAACATGAAAGAAGTCGACCCCATGGATTGGACATCGGCTTTCCGGCAGGAACTAGACGCCCGACGACTGGACATCGACACGATCCTGAACCCGGTCCAACAGGTATCAAACGAGCAACTAGAGAGAGCCGCAACAGCCCTCACCAAAGCGATGCAAGCAGCAACAGCCCGGGTGGCCAAACCGAAACGACAATCGAAGAAAGCCAAACCATGGTGGAACGACAACCTCCGAAACGCAGCCAACAACCTCAGCAACGCACAACTGGAACTGAAGACATACGAAGAGGGACATGGAGTGCGCTCCGCTGCTCTGAGGAGGAAGGTCAAAAAGATGAGTAACTTCTTTAAGCGCCTATGCAGGGCTACCAAAGCGAAATGGGCAGTCGAAAAACTTCAAGAGGCAACCTCATCCGACATTTGGGGATTCCGGAAATGGTCTACGGGTGTACGCAACTACCCATCACCTGCAATCAAGAGGCAAGGACAGGCACCTGCAGTAACGCACGCAGAGAAATGTGAGGCTTTACGGAAAGCCTTGTTCCAGCCACCTCCCCCATTGGAAGATGAGTATAACCCAAATGTATCGGACAAACTGCCAGGCGACCTCGATTTCCAGGACGTAACAACAGAAGAAGTACGCGAATGCATATTTGAATCGGCCACAAACACGGCACCAGGAAGCTCACAAATAAAGTATCAAGTACTACGATGGGCATGGGGCGAAGCCCACCACGAAATATACACCCTCATCAAGCTGTGCCTCGGGAATGGTTTCCACCCCAAACAGTGGAGATGCGCGATCGCAGTGGCACTACGGAAACCACGGAAGTCAGACTACTCAGAACCGAGAGCATACCGACTGATACAGTTACTTGAGTGCCTCGGCAAGATCTTGGAGAAAGTTGTGGCACGACGCCTAACCTTCCTGGCCGGCAAACACAACCTCATCCCTGGAGGGCAGTTTGGAGGCGTGTCAAATAGATCAACGGTAGATGCAATTCTGACCTTCACGCACGATATTGAAGCAGCCTGGAACAACGGAAAGGTCACGTCAGCACTCACATTTGACATTAAGGGATACTTTGACTACGTTAACCACGAACGACTACTCAACGAGCTACGACGCAAAGGGATACCACTCCCATACGTGAAATGGGTGGCCTCTTTCCTTGAAGAACGGGAGGCGGCGGTCTGCATCGATGGAGTCCGTGGAGAGATGAAGCACATCGAGAACGGGATTCCACAAGGATCACCGGTATCGCCAATCCTGGCCGCTTTCTACAGCAGCTTCCTGCTGGAGATGTTCCCAGCCACGCAAAACAACATCCCACTCCCGGATGAACCGACATGTGTCAACTTAATCATGTACGTCGACGATGGGAAGATTTATGTCTCGTCAGATGCAATGGACACAAACATCCGACTTCTTATATCAGCATACAAGAAAGTAGAAAAGGGATTGAAAAAAGGTGGGCTTTCTATCGACCCAGCCAAAAGAGAACTGATGCATTACACCCGAAGAAAACAGGACAAAACGGCACCAGCAATACGATTGCCAAACGACGATGGCTCAACAACAACGGTCGCAGTAGCCCCAACAATTAAATGGCTTGGAGTGTACCTAGACCGGAAACTGACGTTCAAGCACCACGTGAAGACGATAGCAGCCCGAGCAATGACCAAAGTCAACGCAATGACAATGTTGGCAAACACGGTGCGAGGCCTATCGCAGGTCCACCTTAGGCAACTTTACAAGGCATGTGTTGTCCCTGTTATGACATATGCGAGTGCTGCTTGGTGGACAGGAAAGAAAAGCCACGAGAAGGAGCTAGAAAGAGTGCAACGACGCTCGATGCGACTAATCTGCGCAGCTTTCAAGACGACACCAGTGGAAGCCTTAGAGATAGAATCGTCGACACCCCCAATCCGTCTGGTACTGGATCACATAAACAGGACAACAGCAATTCGGTTCAACAAGCTAAGCCTATACAATCCTGTAATCGAACGACTACCCAACACATGGCGAGAGAAACATCCATCGAGCCACCCTCCTCCAATCCCAGCCCGGCCAAACAACCGAAACAGAAAGGACCAGAGGAAAACGACACACCTCGAACGACTCAGCCAACACTCCAACCCCAAAGGCGAACGAATCCTTCCCTTCCTGACCCCTCCCTGGCGACGATCAACAGGCGACTTCGGAGAACGGCTGAGGATCCAGAAGGGAACAGGCGGAGTGGAGAAAGAAGAGGCAGCGGAGATGCACAAAACAAGCATAAGAGCATTCACTGATGACCCGGAACATCTACTCGCATACTCGGACGGATCCTTGACGAAGGTACACGGGATACGGCGCGTTGGAGCGGGATTTGTGATGTACAGAGGGGGTACAGAGATATGGGCCAAATCCGAAGGACTAGGCGGACACGCGGAGGTATACGACGGGGAGATGGCGGCGTTGTGCCTTGCCGCTGGTGCAATGACATCAATGGCGAGAGCAGAGCCAAACATTAGACATCTTCATTTATATGCTGACAACACCGCAGCTCTCATGACAATATTCGACCCCAAGCCACGCGCCGGACAACTATTCGCATACCAATTTCACAAAACAATCTGTGACTTCCTTGATCACGATCCAGCCCGAACCGTGGAAGTGGGGTGGTCACCAGGCCATTGCGACATTGAAGGAAACGAAAGGGCAGACGAACTTGCGAAAGAAGGAACGCGCCTCGCGTCAACGACATGCATCACCCGATCCCACGCACTCAGAAGATCGAAAGAACGCATCCAAACAACATGGCGCCGAGAATGGAAACAACGCAAACGAACGGGACTATACGCAGACGCTAACCACATCCCACCATCGACACAACCCAGCCAACACTTCACGGAACTCGGCGGGAAACGTGAGTTGTTCGGACGGCTGATGCAATGCAGAACAGGTCACGGATACACCGGCGAGTTCTATAAGCAATTCAATATACCGGAGGACATTGAATGCCCATGCGGAGAAGCAATACAGACGAGGGAACATATCCTACGCGAGTGCCCCATATACGACGACCAACGACCCATCATACGAGCCACATCTGCCAACTTCGGTCTAACGGAGATGCTGGGCACGAAGGAAGGGATAGTCGCGCTAGCGGAATTCCTACAGAAATCGGGGGCGTTCACGAGGAACGGCAGGGCTTGGAAGGATCGCGAACTCCCCGCGCTGGGAAACGAACCGGAACCAGACCTATCGGACGACGAAGGGGACAATGTAGACTCCGACCACGGATGAACACCAAGAGACGCGGCCACGACCGGCTCTGGCCAAGCCAACCACCCCCTTCCCCCTATGATCATGTCCCATGCATATTACCTATGTCTATGCGGCGTCCCGAAACACCCTTGGAAACCTGAACAAGCGCCATCCGCGACACCAAACAACCACACTCCCAACGGCTGAATAGACGGGCTCATTATACATTACATGCTGCCCCCGGGCACCGCGTCTTAGTAGTCAGTTTACTTGCTGCGGTATAAAAATGCGGATACAAACAAACAAAAAACATCCAAGTTCGTGACATCGGTCGTCCTCACGTGCAGCCGCGCAGGGTTCTTCCGGAATCGATGATGCGCTCGATCCCGCTCAGCGCCGAAATAATCCCACTAAGACACTTCCAAGATTATTCGAATAGCCGTAGACTGACCAGTCTGCAAAGGGTTTGGTCTAGAATGAAACTGGTTGATGCTGCCTGACAACCCGTCGGATTTCCGCCTGCTTTTCGACATCAGCCACAGACTTCTGACTGCGCCCTATCACCTTGTACAGAGTACGCGAGCATGCATCAGTCTCGGCGTAGCCGCGACGCGAGAATCACGCAACCGAGAACAAAAAGCGAGCACCCAAAGGAGCAGAATACAACACATGCCCGATTGAGAGGACAATAGCAGCTTTGGTCATATTTGGCTTACCGCGCTCTCGCATCACCTCTTTGTTCCTGCAGAAGCACGAAGCCCGATGCTTTCACGCGGCGGCGGGTATATATAGGGAGGCGAAGATGGGGGAAACCTCAGACTCTTCGTCCCTACTGTTTCTCTCTTATCTGCCACGCTCTTCTCATCAACGCTTGACGTCTGACCTTTTACGTTCTCTTGCATCCCGTTTTACTTCCGCTTTCTACGCGTACGGGCAGTCTCGTTCGGTGCAGCTGTATGCGTGCTCACACGTTCTTTTCAGACTCAGACTCTCTTGTGTCCTCTGCACGATTCAATTCACGTTTGCACCCATTCATCTACGTTCCATCACCAAGCAACTTTCCCACTCATCCAGCATGTCCACCGCACTCCCGCACGTTATTGCTTTCCTCTCCCGTGGTCTCTTGGCCAAATTCTCTCCTGGCGCTGTGACGTCTCTGCAACTCATCCTCACTGCCTCCCTCCGCTCTGCCCCGTCGACTGCGACCTTCATCCTCACCTCGGCAACGGGCACTCTCCCCGCACCCCTGCGCGCCGCATCCACCGGCTCCGGCATCCCCTGGTCCGCCTGGTTCTCCATCCTGAGCGGCGGCGCCGCGCGCGTGCTGCTGTTCTACGGCCCCGACTACGTCAAGCTGCGCATCGGCGACGGTGCGCTCGTGGACCTGTGGCGCGCGCGTGTCCCTGCCGCGGCGGCGCGTGCTGCGAAGCCGCTGTCGATGTTGAAGGGCGTCGCGCACCCCCTGCTGCAGGCGAACACCGGTGCACGGCTGCGTGCTGCGCTGCTCTCTGCGCGTGTCCGGCACAGCCGCCGGCTCGAGGCGGCCAGCGTGCCCGAGGCGATGGAGCTTTCGGATTCGGACGACTCAGACGACTCGGAGTCGGATATGGACTCGTATGAGTCGCGGTCCACTGTCGAGTCGGATTCCGACGTCGAGTCCCCTTCGTCGTTCTACTCGTATGACGGCTTCGACGCGGACTCGGACTCGGATTCGGATTGCGACGAACCGATCTCAGCCTCAGATTGCGACTCGGACGTCGCTACCTGGTCGCCCTCACCCGCTGTTAAAGCCCAGACGTACGTCTACCAAGGCGGCGTCACGCGCGTCACCTCGGGTGGTGTTATGCTGGGATCTGCCAGTGCTTCCTCCAAGCGCTGGTAAATGGCCCCCTTCACCATCCACATCAAATCATTATCACGACCCATACAAAACGCTTGACACGGACCAACCGCTCACTTATTTGCACCGACGCTGACGCTCAAACTGGCAAGGACCAGTGATGGACTATGATCTCCTGTAGCTCTACGCTGTACTTTACGACCTGCTAATTCCTTGTGTATCCTCCTACTTTAATGTTCTGTGTATATGTAGATACGTATTCAGGGTCATGATTATCCTGCTTGGAGCAGGCGTCTTGGAACTCGTTGACGGCCAGGAATGGGCTGCAAGAGCTCGTTGCAAAACCCTAGTTGAGCTCGACCGCGCACAAGGTCTGATTCTTTGTGACCTACAATTACTCCGCAGCCAACGCCCTCAGTTCGCTCGACTCCGCAAGCCTCTCGAGTACTACGCCCGGCCTGTCTCTTCCTTCGACACCCCGCCCAGCCCGGTTGATCCCCTTCTTCGCACCGACGATCCTCGCCCGCGGGGGCAGAACGATCCGGTGAACTAGCTTATGCCAATAACCCCGCGGCGCGTCCGCATGTACGAAACGCTCGGCCGACCTACTCGGCTCTAGACTGCAGTGCGCACCGACGTCGGCGGAGGCTAGTGCGCACTCGAGTGCGCGCCCGGTGCAGACCACGCGGGCGAGGTGTGGCCGGGGGTCAGGCTGAACGAGGTCTCGAGTTGGGAGAAGCGCGCAGTGGACGAGGCGACTGCGAAAGGAGAACAGCAGGGAGCAACGTGTCTGTCGGGAAACGTGAAATCGTTGCACGACAGCATCGATTCGGTAAATGCGCGGATACGAGCGACGTCCATAGACACATGGCATGGCAGGCCACCCACAATACTCAGAAAGAAAGCAGTTGCCGTCCATATGTGCGACGAAGAACTCCTTATTCGATCTCGAGAAAACGACGACCCGGACGTCGGCGTGTGGACTCTGCAGCTCCTCGATGAGATTAGCTAGATTGAGCATGCAGAGCCGTGTCGAAGACGTTGATCGAAGAGAATGCCTCGCTGGTCACGACGATTATCACACCCGACGCAGTGCCCATCTCGAGCGTTCCAAACGACGGGCAGCGGGCAGCAGAGATGAGCAGGAAAGATGTTAGGTCCAAGGGGCCAGAGGCGAGAAAGATGAAAACATCTGGAGATGCATGAGACCTCGAGCCATCTCACGGTATCTCATATATGTGCGCGAGCCCTATCCAGGGCCGAGATTCATGAAGCGTCAGACGTGGCATGAAGCAAAGCTCGATACAATCTCGCAAGTGCGCGGGGTTTCTATGAGTCGTGGGTGAGAAACGGATGGGAAGAGTGCATCCAGACCAAGAGATTTACCACATACAATTATACATATCATTCATACAGGCTTGCATGACCATCACTTCATTGAGCCTACTCCCAAGCTGCATTCAAGCCGAGTACACTGCGATCCCACCGACCCGCCTCCTCGCCGAATCCCATCCAGCCAAGGGCCGAGCAGGTAATGCCCGCCGCGCGGATCCAGGCCGTCCCATCGAGCTTCGAAAGACCCGGGTGCGTCTCCCTGCCGCTCTCGTCGAACGCACCGACGACCTGGCCCGCGGCGACTTTGCCGAAGTGAATGTGCCCGGAATACAACGCGCGGACAGTCTTCACGACATGCGAGTCAAAGTCTTGGAGCGCGTTGGTGATGAGCTGGGCCCACGGATCTGTAGCGGTGCTGGTCTTGAGGCCCGCGGGGACAGGGAGATTGGGTACGACATCAGCAGCGAGGGGTTGACACGGGGCCGCCCGCGCGCGATGACCCACAGTGCGCAAGCGCGGGCGTATCCCTGCAGCAGCTGGACCTTGTGGAGTTTCTGCGGCAGCGCACGGAGCAGGCGGGGCAGGACGATTGCGCTGGTGAGCGTGTGCATGAGGTAGAAGTCGAGCAGCATCGCCTGCCAGTACGCTTCCTCGACGCGCTTCGCGATCTCCGCGTCAAACGCCGCGCCGTCCAGCGTCGTGTCGATGGACCACTGTGAGTACATACAAGCCGCGCAGCGCATGCGTGCGTGTGCGCGAGTCGCAGAGCTTGTAGAATCCAGCGCCGTTGGCGTCGTTCGGGACATACGGCAGGAGAGACAACAGGTCGGGCGACTCGTACATTTGGCGGAGAATCGAGAAGAGCGTGACGCCCTGGGTGGGGACATCGGGAACCTTGGGCATCGCCGTTGACCAGTGGTCGGCGACAACGGACGAGAAGTCGCCCTCCGTTCCAGCACACATCGCAAGACCTATAGATGCATCAGACAAGTGCGACATGAGTAGAGCCCGCCCGTACCTTGAGCCACCAAAGAGTCGCGGCCTAGTTCCACACCAAACTGAAGAGATTGGGGAAATCAGAGGCAGTCTCTCCACAGCTGCAATGCAGCGCACCCCGATGTGAATGAGGGGATGCATCGCGCCCCCGAAGAGCCGCCCGAACATCGACGCTCCGTTGAAGTTGGCATCTGGCGCCATCAAGCAGTCTTCGAGGGGCTTGGTCACGCCGTGTCTGGCAATCTTCTCCTTAAAAAACACAAGATAAATGGTGTAGGCACTGCATTCTGGTTGGCCGTAGTCTCACGATGGAAGGAAACACATACCTCCGATCTCCGAGCCGCGAAAGCCATCGCCCATCGTCCAGCGGCGGCCCGGGCAACCCGAGGGGACGCCGGTCTCGCGCCTCCAGTGCGTAGATCTCCTCCAGCAGCTGCGGAGAGCCTCCCATGTCACAAGCAGCAATGAGGCTGTGGTTTGAGGTGCAGACATGAGTCAATAAGCCAGCTGGAGTGTGCGACGGCGAGACTGATTGACTGACTGATGTGGCAGGTGGTTGTGGAGACCGCGGTCATCGAAGAAGCAGTAGCGCTCATCGCCATCGCGAATGGGTAGCTCCTACAGCTTCTCCATGCTCTCCGGCGTCGCGAGGGTGCTCACTACGTCAGGGGCGGATCCTTGCGTTCGAGTTCGTGGTCGGCATCGTCGTTGTTTTTGCAAGTGGTCAGGGACAGGAAGCGTGCGGGTGGAGGCTGCAGTGGACGCTAAGACTATGCTTCCAAGCCTCTCCTCTAATGGCCTTTTAAGTGGCGAATATTCCATCGAGAGGTCTGGTTTGACAGGCCGAAGAGTAAAAAGGCAAGCCAGATTACGCAGCACAAATGACGCGTGCGTGCATCGCTCTAAAGCACGTGACTTGCCTGCCCTCTCTTTGCCAGTCATGCCTGCGATCTGCTCCTAAACTAGCTAATTCAAGCGCGCCGAAGCTCCTTCATATCCTATGCAAGCATTCAAGTGGGTCGATACATCCCCCGTTTTCCCGTTAAGCCGTCTCATCCCACGCCATGCAGGTACTCACGAGGCACATAATTCAGCTGCGTGGGTTCAGGGTGAGATAATTCGTCGAAACGTTGTTTTGAGACAGGGAGAAGATGTATCGCACCAGAAAAAGGCCCAGAAGATCGCTCTCAAACAGTCAAGAATACGAGGGCCGCCGGTGTCTGCAGCCGCGTCCAGGACAGAGATGTCTCGAAACACTCACAGAATTATAGGAAATCGGATGCCATAGTGATCAAAACGTTCGACATCAGCCGAAAATGAGCCTCGACTCATGTGCAGAGCCACTCTCTGCATGTACTATGCCCCATGCAAAGCCCAGGATCGCCGCCTTGCTGAGTGAGGAACGCTTATCATTCTCCCGATGTCACTTCGGCTGGGGCGATCTCCCCGCATCTTCCTCCGCCTTTGTTTTTTTATATCCGGAGGCGGTTGGTAGGGTCGCAAGCAACCTCGTGGACTGTTCAATGTGCAGTAGAAAGTTGATCTATCGATTGATCCGTTGATCGGGTCGGATCCTGAGTCTTAATTGAGTTCCGATGCTTCTGCGCAGTTTATTGTAGGGCTGGGTAAATTTCGTTTGGAGACCTGTAAGATACGTAATTTACAAGTGGGCACCCCAGGGCTCTGTAGTAAAATACGAGCCGTCTGTATTCTTGGTAATTTACCGGCGCCGCCGGCCCGAAAAATCCGGTAACTTACGTGTAATTTACAGCTGTATTGGCTTGTTTATTCGCACGTTCTTGAGACTAGTGCTGTGCTTGATATCAAAATGTTTAAAACAGCGGAATAAATAGCATGTTTTAAACATGCTTTAAAGCATTATAGCAGCCAGGCCTCAAATTTGCTCTGCTATTAACTGCTATTAATTTTCATCGGACTTCTACTCTGACTGTAGCTCATCATAACCTGTTACTTGATTGTGAGACGTTATAGGATAATCCAGTCGCTGACTGGTATTACTGACACGTGACCGGATCACGAAGGCGAATTCTTCTCGTACTGCTAGGTCATCACCTCATGCCGCTGTCAAAAGAAGATTTGGGCGGTCTTATCACCGCGCGCACGGCCTTCATACAAGATGATGCCTATTCGATTCCCGATTTCACGAGCGTCATCGAGCTGCACACCGAAGATGGTTCGCAGGAGCGTGCCGATTGGCTAAGTCATATCGACGCGCTTTCAATTGCCATCGAGGAAAGGATGGAACCACCGCCGGTAAGTTCAAATCTATTACTTCACACGTGAACATGTCATAATCAAGCTGTAGCCGCCGGGTTTGGCCAGGGACTCTCCCCCAAAGAAAGCCCCAGTCAAAGGAAAGAAACTGAAGCTGGCCAGTGCCGAGGAACCGAGGAACATTTCGGACGTGCTAGGAGGATCAGAAGCGTTCCAACGGCGGCTTGCCAAGAGAAAGCAGCGGATGCTTGATCTAGAAGCAAACGGCGCTGAGGATTCGAGCCGGACGAAGAAGAAAACAGCTGGTCGACCACGAGACACGCTTGTGGATGACCTGATCGTCACAGAGAGTTATAAAGTAGACGGGAAGCAGAAAGTCTACACATACTGCATTGCGTGCGACCACTGTGAGGTGTTCCGTAATCCCGGTCGGATACGAAAGCACGCTGCAATTGATTGCAAGGTTGGCTCTCTTTTCCGATCGAACGCATGCTGATTATGAGAAATACAGGAGATCGCAAAGCTGTTTCCAAAGCTGCACAAGGAAGTTTGTGAAGTCCTTGCTGCTAACAGCAAAGGGACACTTCCCCGAGTGCGCACAATTGTGAAGACAGCAGCTGTCTCTCCGATCGCGCCACCCGGCGCTATGGCAACGATGCCCATGGATGACATGGATGCAGATCGAGGTGCATCCGCGACAGATGTGGTAATGCTAGAGCCAACGGGTCTTTCATCAGCGGGATCGACACATCATGGAACGATCCGTGAATACTTCGAGCCAATCAAGATGACCGATGTTCGTCAGGCTGCGCTCGACCTCGCACTTTTTCAGCTGGTCATCTGCGCTGCCCTTCCTTTCTCATTCGTCGAGAATCCCTGGCTGGTCAACCTTCTTCTTATCGCAGTGCCCAACTACATCACCCCGGAGCGGACAGCATTCTTCACACGCCAGATTGCTGATCAGGTTGCTGCGTTCAAGATGCATCTTCAGGCCTTCCTCCAAAACCGATTCTACCTCACTCTCTCACTTGATGGCTGGAGTAGCCGCGGGAACGACGAAATCTACACGTTCCATACCACGCTACCAAGTCGCCGTTCCATCTTCACATTGGGACACGTGTTCAAGGCTGTTTCGGTGACTGCGGATGCCCTTGTCAGCGTCGTAAACGACCGCATTTTCAGCGTCTATGGCGCTCGATCCTACAGCGCTGTTGTCGGGGATGGAGGCAGTAATGTCCGTGCAATGCGTAAAGCTCTCTCGGCTGCTTACCCATGGATCTTGAATATCTATGACCCGTGTCATCTTCTCAGTCTGTTCTTGAAAGATATTGGGAAGTTATTCAAAGCGGTACGTTTTTCAGTTATGCATACTCAACAACTTATGTTGACTTTCGAACTCTAGGAGTTGGGTGTGATCTCGGGAATCAGCAACTACTTTGCGCACTCAAATATAGCTACAGCTACGCTGGCTGCAGAGCGCAAGCGTCAAGGAATCAGCACAGGAATAAAATCAGCTTCAGAGACTCGTTTTGGGACTTCATATACACAGACCGTTGCGCTTCGACTTTGCTTTCCAGCCATTGTTACCTGCGTTCTGGCTGGTACAATTGTTTTCAACACAACAGCTGTGAGCTCCATTTGGCCATGTTTGTTAACAAGACTGACTCATCCTCCTAATTGGTGCAGACGAAACGTTTCTTGCCGTACTTCGATCCAGACAGCCTCGAGTACCCAGGCTTTCAGGCAAAGCTATCGGCCATTATCCAGTTACTGGAAGCAGCTGCGAACGGTATCACCAATCTTGAAGGCCAGAACGCGACATGCGCTGATGTGTTCTATGTCTGGATCACCATTGCGTGGCATCTTGAGCAACTTCTTGCCAGTCCAACAAAGGGATTTCTGCCGTATCGAGAACAAATCATCAAGGTTTACAATTCCCGCTTCGAACAGATGATGACACAATCATCACACAATATATTTCTTCTTTCGTTCTTCCTCCACCCCTGTGAGTGATCTCTTATTGTCCGCAAAGGGCACAATTAACGCTTCTTTCTAGTTTACTTGACACATGGAGCAATGAAACTTGCTCTGCCTTCTCTACGTGAAGGTGAGGAGTACAACAGCGAGCGGTGGTCCAAGTTATTCCGAACTTTGCGGCTTTCTGCTCGAGCTGTTCTCCATGGTGAACAGAAGCGAATTGAGAAAAGATCCAAAGTGGATGCAGAACGGCTGACAATGCAACTTGTACGATACGCTGCGGGACATGCTCCTTTCCATCGACAATCATTTGTCATGCGGGACGAGAAGCCACTTGATTACTGAAAAGCAATGAAGAACGATTCCAATGCGGATGTTCTCGCCGTAAGTTTTCTTCCTGCTAGCAATATTATGCTTATCACAAGAATCACAGATGGTCGCAATTGTTCTCTTTTCGATATCCCCATCCGAAATCTGCGACGAACGGACAGCATCACTTCTGGGTTGGGTGAATGCCGCTCGGCGAAGCTCAATGACAGCAGAGAACCTCGTTCATTCAGCGCAACTGGCACAATGGTACAAGTATGGATTGGGCGAGGGGAACTTCAGAGCCATGGCACTAAGATTTAGGATAATGAACCATGGCCCTAGCCATAGGAAATCCATGATAACGTCTGGCTGTAGCCATGGCCGCTCCATGTGACATGGCCATCAATGCACGTGCCACAGAGCCCAAATAAGGAAATGACTTAAGCGTGAATTGAACGGTTGCCCTTCAAAAATTTCAAACGCATCTGATGCATAACCACTACACCACGCATCTGTTCAATCTCATGTCATTTTCCTCCATAGGTCGGGCACTTGAAATGTTTTGGGCACAAAGCCAGGTGAACTACCCTTACCACCTAACCTCCCAACCAAACCAAGCCTAACCAAACCAGAACCTATCTCTAACCCAAACTTAACCTTTGAAAATGACGATATATGTCCCTAATCCTTAGCGCTAACCCTAGACATGAACCCTAACCCAAACCCTAACCGGCTAGCTAGCGGGCCGCAGAGGCGCCCGCCTGTGCCTGCCCATCACAGAAGTTCCTAGATTGTCAGCCGAGTCACGTGCTGTGGTGATTGCATCGAATATCTGTAGCCTAACACCATGGCCCCAGCCATGCCATGGCTACAGCCATACATTATCATGGATTTCCTATGGCTACAGGCATGAATTATGCTAAATCCTAGTACTATGGGTGAACTTCAAGCACGATTCAACTGCAAATGTTCGTGTCTCGAACATCGATCTTTCGAAGGAATCAACCGTTACGCTATCCACTCCTACTCTGATGGATTTACTGAACCCGGAAGACGCTACCCCTGTTTTCGAAGACCAAGAAGCACTCGATAAGTTACTGTTAGAGCAAGAGGACCCTTTCGATCTCGACGAATCAGCCCGCATCAACGACGAGTTCTTGGAGACCCCCGCCCACGAGAAACCGACCGCAACTCCATTCATCATGCGGTCCTCCACACATTGGGCTGTCGAAACGTTTGTACAACTTGACAGCCGGACATTGGCATCGCTCATCGCGCCAGGACCCGGAGTGTCGAAGATGTCAGCTGCCAAAGTTGTTCAACTGGAGCCGGACACCGTGGAAACGGAGGAGGAGGACTGGAATGTCGACGACGATGAGTAAACACCCTTTGTTTCCACCAAAAACTGCTTAGAATACCATATTTCGGAACGTGCTATTTATTATGCTATAAAATGTTTTAAACTGCTTTTTATAGCATAGCAGAGCGTCAAAAAATATATAGCAGCTACAAATAGTTCTTAGCAACCGCCCAATAATTTAAAACCCAGCGCTACTTGAGACCGCTCTCTGGCCCGGGCTTCATGCTTAAATCCGTCATTTTTTTTTCATCGCATGTATCTCTATTATAAATGGTCTATATACCTAGCGGACGAAGAGCCATGTCAGCCCAGTGAAGCGTATGAAGTGGATGGTACTGGAATACCACAGCTCATAGAACTAAGCGGACTCGGATCTCTCAGCCGGACTCTTCTTGATGCTGACCCACTCGACTCCAGCCGCGCCCAACAGCGACAGCGCAGCCATGATCAGACCGACCTGGAACGCCGCCATCAGCGCGGCGTTGTACTCGACAATCACAGCCCCGAAGTACTGCGCGGGGACGACGCTCTTCAGGCTCGTCGCACCAGCGCTCAGGACGCTGAGGGGGTCGACCTGCGGGACGTTCCGCGCGATGCCGGCGAGCAGTTTGTTCTGGAACAGATTCTGCCCGACGGAGACGAAGAGCGCGCCGCCGAGGTTCTGCGTAAAGATGACGATCGCGGTGCCGACGGAGACGTCCTTCGCGGGGAGGATGGCCTGCACCGCGGTGATGCCCTGCTGCATGCCGAAGCCCACGCCGAGCCCCAGGATGACCTGGTACCCTAGCCAGTGCGCGTGCCCGGTCGTCGTCGTGAACGTCGTCATGAGCCCCGCGCCGACGGACATAAGGATCGTGCAGACGAACATGAACGGGGCGAAATACCCGGTCATGCTCGTGCCGAATCCGCACAAAACATTGCCGATGACCGTCCCAAACACGAGCGGGATCGTGTCGATGCCGGATTTGATGGCAGTGGTCCCTTTGATCGCTTGAAACCAGATACTGGCAAAATGAGGGACGGCACTACGGAGTCCAGAGAAAGGCCACTCACGCGAGGTAGTACACAAACAGGAAGAACGAGCTGCCCTGGCAGAACGCAAAGAATGCCGAGCACGAGACGGTGCGCTGCCGGATGATGCGCGGTGGCACGGTCGCGCCGTCCTGTCCCCAGATCTGGATCCCCACGAACGCGAAAATAAGCACACCGAACACGACGAACAGCGCGATGATGCGCCCGTCGCTCCATGCGTATTTCGAGCCGCCCCACTGCAGAGCAAGCAGCAGGCACACGATCGCGGGCATGAATGTGACAATGCCCAGCGGATCGAACTGCTTGAAGCGCTCCCATGCGCTCACCTCTGATGCGTTCGCCGCGGATCGCGCCTGGATGCTCTCCGGCATGCGGAAAAAGAACACGAGAAAGAGGAGACACACGCCGCCGATGGGGAGATTGATCTGCGGAAATGGTCTGATCGGCGGGAAGTAAGAATAGTGTGTAGCCTCAGCTTACGTAGAAACACCTAGGTCACTGTTGAGCGCATGCTTTCGTCATAAGTTGCACGGTGCGCACCATCTCCACGAGACCTTATCGGTGAACGCACCGCCTAGAAGCGGTCCGACAACGCTGGAAACACCATAGATGGCACCGAAGAGTCCGTTGAAGATCGGTCGTTTTGCTAATGGAACGATGTGTGCTAGGAAAATTTCTCAGCTTCGAGCAACTGGGATATGTGACGAAGGAGCCGTACCCACTATGATGAATGCGCCACTGAAGATGCCTGGATCCCAGTCCATGAATTTTTTCCCCACAGATTAATTTTTCACGACCGCACCTGACGAACCCAGCCCAGCAATCGCCCGCCCACCGATCAATGCACCTGATGAGGGGGCGGATCCACACACGGCGCTCCCGATCTCGAAGACAGCGATGGCAGAGATGAACACCTTGCATTAATGAGCGACAGTCCAGGAGCGCGGGGATGAACCAGCAGGCACACACACCCATTTTATAGGCAGGATCGAGTAGAACTTGCCGAACTGGAGCTGCGTTGCTGCTGTAGCGACAAGATAGCTGGTGGAAAGAGTTGGAGTTGGATATATGTGCAGTGAGAGCGGCACTCACGCGCTTCCGTACTATTGGGACGTGGAAGCCTCGAATCAGCATATGAAAAAGCCAAGGGAGCAGTTACCTGTACGCACCCACCCGACATCAGCCAAAGAGTCAAATTGGTCCGTAATCTTGGGAATGGCAGTTGCAATGATGGTGTTGTCCTACAGCCAGGGAGTCGAGTGTCAGATTGACGAGGCTGGACTGCGAAGCAAAGGACCGCACCAGTGCCACTAGGAGGACAGCAAGCATCAACGCGAGCGTGATCAAGGCCAACTCGACGCCGTGCACATAGTGGACCTCCGCCTCTCCCGCCTTCTCTGTAGTATCCTCGGATGCTCCAGTCGCACCGGGGTTCTTCTCCTCAGAGGAGCCGTGCAGCTCGTTCGAGGGTGCCACGGTGTGCGATGGACTCTCCGAGCTCGGGCGGGATGACATGGTGGTGGGAAGAGACGGTTAAACGGAAGTGACAGCGGCAAGAAGACGCGACGAAGAAGAATGTCACACGACATGACTGTGGTTGGGGACGAAGGTTTGTGGTAAGAAGCCTCGATGGCTGCCCGCGTGCATCGGATTGTTCCCTCCATCGCCCGATGATTCACGTGCCATGAATAGATAAGATTAGATGCCCAACTCGCTTGCCCATCGCCAAGCACGGCGCCAAGCAGTGCACCGCATCCTCATCAAGCCGTCAGGTACCGGCCGTGCCTGCCAACGTCGTACGTCAAACTAAAGAAACAAGCGAGGCTTGCCTGCACGCAACTAGACGCAACTGCACTGGCGCATAAAAAGCCACAATATACGATGCCATTACTCTCATCTTCTCACAGCCTTCACCCTTCAACCGCTTATTCTGCAGCATTCTGCAACATTCTGCCCCACCCTAGTCGACGATGGCACCCAACTTCTTCGGGTGCGACGCGTGCGGGGCGCCCATCCCAGCGACACACCCCCGCGTGCAGTGCGTCGAGCCGGGATGCTGCGTTGATCTGTGTGCGGTGTGCGCGTTGGGCGAACGGGCCAGCACGACGAGTGCTGCACACCAAGCCGGCCACAGGGCGCGTGTGTGGCGACAGAGCGGAGGCGGCGCACAGCAGGGTGTCGTGTCGGCCATGAGCTTGGGGCTTGTTGCATCTGGCCAGGCGCCGCAGACGGGAACGACGACTGCGGCCTCCTCCAGCTCGACGACACCCCCTCCTGGTCAGGTGCCAAGTCGGACTGCGTCTCCTGCCCTGCTTGTGTCTGTTCAAGGACAGCAAACACCACCCCTACCACCACTGCAGCAGCAGCAGCAGCAGCAGCAGCAACAACAACAACAACAGTCTTTCCTGCCTCCGCCCAAGCGCATATCAACTGCCGGTCCACCGCTGCCAGCCCGGAGTCGGATGTCCATGTCGATGGGAGGATTGAATGGGGCCTCTGCGCCAGGCGGATCAGCGCCAGGCGGATCAGCGCCAGGTGGAACTGCGCCAGGTGGATCCGTGCCAGGTGGAGCGGCACCGGGAGGGTCTGCATCAGGGGGGTGGGCGCCGGGAGGATCTGTGCCCGGGGGCTACAATCCCTCCTCCTCCTCCCCTCCCCCACCTACATACGGTGGCACGTCCTCAGGCGGCACCAGCTCCAGCACGGGCGGCGCGACAGCTGCACCAGCACCCGGCGGCCTCACCGGCTGGGCCCCCTTCTTCACGCCCGAGATGGACGGCACCCCAGTCTACAAACACCTCATGGGCGCGATTTTCGCTGCGCTCGACCCGCGGCGGACGGGTGCGCTGCAGCCCGAAGTGTTCTCGCGCTTCCTCGCGGACCTGGGGTACGTCGGGCAGGAGAATACGTGGACCGCAAGCCTGGTCGCGACGATCGGGACGACGAAGGAGGAGGCGGCGGACGCGGCGTTGCGCCGGGCGTGGGATCTGTTCAGCGTCGAGTACACACTTGCGCCCCGGCCGCGGGACCCGCGTGCGCCGCCGGATGCGCTGACGCAGCAGATCCAGAGCATCGGGGGCGCGTTTGCGCGCGCGTTCACGCAGTCGACGTCCGCGGCGCAGTCGGCGTCCGGTGGGCAGATGCCGATGATCACCCTGCGCGGGTTCATGGATGTCATGGCGCTGGAGATCCTCTGCGAGCCGTCACGGCATTGGGGCGCGTTCGCGCGGCTGACCAAGAATCCGGCGTACGGCTTGGCTGGACTGGTGGCTGCATGGGGTGAACTGCCGCGGAGTGTGATTCCAGAGGAGGCGGATCCGCGAATGCTCGAGCGCGTGAGGAAAGTTCAAGCGTTTGCACAGGAAAGGGCACAGATCGAATTGCAAGCGGCTCATGCCAAGGCCAGTATAGAGGCTCAGGGTCGGCAGAATGCGCTGGACTTGATTAGTGGGCCGAGGTATAGACCATGGTGAACCTGAACTCGAGATGTATGTATGTACAACAAATGAAATTCTGGACCTGTTTCTCTGACGTTGGATGCGTGAGGCGCTCGTGGCGCATCATCAGGCGACCCGACAGAACAGCGCGGTAACTTGAGCTGACAGTCACGAGGTGTGTCGGAGATAATCGAAAACTCGGTTGCGGAAAGCTACGGCGTGCGCGTCAATCAGTGACCCGTCAGTCTTGAACTTGAAGCCTTCAACCTTGCTCCGGCTTCTGCAAGACGAGGAGATTCAAGCAGTTGAGATCAAGGGATGAGCACACTTCACGCATCTGCTGAAGTGCTCGATCTTCTGCGGAGATGCCATTTACATGATCACCCAGCGGGTGAAGCCTGCACACCACATCATGGCAACGATTCGTTTCAAAATGAATTACAAATTGTGTTCTTGGGAGCGGGGAAAGTACAACAGTTATTAGTGTTCTTTGGGCTGAGGAATTAGGCCTTGGTCATGACTCGCTTTGTTCAGGCATACTAATCGATCATGAGCCTCATGGCAGAGGATCGAAGACTAGACCGAGAAAATGACTCACGTTGTATCCGTGTCCGCCATATCCATGTCCTTGGTGGCCATAGCCGTGGCCGTGCTCCTGCTCGTGGTGGCCGTAGTCGTTGTCGTGGCCATATCCTTTCTTCACAAGCTGCACAGCAATCAGTAGGGGAAGTATGCGGCCGAGATGCCGCTCACCGCGTAGTAGCCGCCGCTGTGGTGCTCGCCGCCGTAGCCACCGTGCTCGTGCTCGTGCCCGTGGTTCTGGCCGTGACCATAGCCATTTCCAGGGTGCTCGCCGTAGCTCTTCTTCGCCAGCTGGAGGGTTCCCGTGAGATTTTGGCAGGAGATGCGACGAGGCTGGATTGGAACATACCGCGTAGCCACCAGATTGATGGTGGCCGTTGGTGTTGCCTCCGCCATAGCCGCCGTTGTTGTTGTTGTTACCTCCACCATATCCACCGTGGTTGTTGTTGCCTCCACCGTAGCCGCCGTTGTGGTTGTTGTTTCCCCCGCCATATCCGCCGTGGTTGTTGTTGTTGTTTCCTCCACCGTAGCCGCCGCCGTTATGGTTCTTATCCCCACCGTATCCACCGTTGTTCCCGCTCCCTCCGCCGTATCCGCCATTGTTATTGCCCTTGCCTCCACCATACCCTCCGTTGTTGTTGCCCTTTCCTCCACCATATCCGCCGTTGTTGTTGCCCTTGCCTCCACCATATCCACCGTTGTTGCCCTTGCCTCCGCCGTATCCGCCGCCATTGTGGTTGTTGTTACCTCCACCGCCGTAGCCGTTGCCCTGCCCGTTCTGGCCCTGGTTGTAGCCGCCGCCGTTCTGGGGCTGGCTGTAGCCCTTCTTGGAGAGCTCGCCCTCGGCCGGTGCAGGTGCCTGCTCACAAGTTGGTACACTCATCAGCATCCGCAGAAAGAGGGGCCGATTGAAAACGCACCGCTGCGGCGCTGACGGCAAAGACAGCTAGCACGAGTGCAGTAAGGAGTTGGAAGCGCATTTCGACTGTGGGAGGAGTGGATTGGGTAGGTTGAGTTGGCGAGTTCGACCTGGAGAACTCTCAGCGCAGCTCTCCCAGCTTTTGTAGCATTCTGCCATCGCGCATTTTAACCAAAACCGTACCGCAATTCACGGTGCACACTGCTGAGCACCCTCGTAAATTCCAAATACGAGTCGCACCACAGCGGTGAACTGGCACTGCACGGCCATTAACGACCTATTCCGGCGCTGAGCGTCGGGGATCAGTCGGGAGAAGACACGCACCGTTGCCATGCCACATCAAGATTAGACCTCTTTTGGGCGCGGAGAACGAGAGAGGGATAGATTGTGAGCTGTGCACGCTGGGGGGCCGCATGCCGCGGCCATTAATGTTGGGCAATAAAGGCGAGATGCACTGGGAGACGCGATATTCCATCGAGTCACATTTGGCTTGGACGGCCACATGTGGTCAGACATGACGAACGGAAGGGTCATCACGCCCTTGTGCATCTAAGCGTTGGGTCCTCGGAATGCAAACGTTGGCGACAAATGAGCGGCGTCCCGGTTCGCATTGCACGGCTTTGAGGTTATGCCGACGGAGACGGAGGAGTGGTTCACGAGCTACTGTACAGCGGCTGAAGAGAGCTCCACATCTCGAGGAGAAACGGGGAAGTGTGCATTGGAAACTACAAGGCCAAGCAATCAGAGTAGAAGGGCAAACCGAATCGGACCTTACGGGGAGTGGTTCACGAGCTCCGTACAGCGGCCGAAGCGAGTTCCACATCTTGAAGAGAAACTGAGAGTGCGACAAAGTGTGGATTTGAAGCTGAAACAGAGCTGCGGCAGTTCGGATTCGGATTCGGATTCGAATTTCAAAAAGAGTAAGGGAAAAGCTGTCAGACGTGACTCCGTATTGATGAGGTCATCGCACTCACGCCGACCCCGGCCCGACCCAATCAAGTCGCTTCTTCTGACCCAATTCTCGCTGATGTGTGGACCGCAGCGTACGGTCTACCAAGCTACTTGGCAGGGCCGTGAACCCCGCGCTCTCCTCCTCGACGTTTCGTTTTCTCTGCTGGGCTCCAACTACGTTCCCATGTTCTGACTCGGAGCCTGCTCTCTCGCTGCTGCTGAGAGAAGGCGACATCTTTCGTTGCAGGCACGAGTGTGCTAAATGGTATTAGACATCTCCCGGAGACGAGGAGAAACCGGATTTCTGTCTATCGAACGAGAAATCACGCTTGCGAGATCCCAATCTTATATTGTCTTGTCTTCTCTCGCTCTTACACATACGCGTTGACTTGGAGAAAGCTCACACAGGTCATCCTCTATGACGAACTCAGTCAACGGGTCCCATGCATGGCATTTCAGAAGCTCTTTTGGTCATCCTACCTGACTCGACAGGGCTGCTGCAGGGTATGCTACCTGCTGTGGCTGTCGGATGAGGAAAATTATATAAACCAACAGCTCTGGACAATCACTCTCAAGCAATTATTCGCTCGTCAACCTGTGGAAGATGATCTACACAGTGGCATCTACCACATTCTGCGTCGTCCTCTCCTACCTTGTTTTCCACTTGGCCCAGAGGCTCTACCGCACCTGGACGTCCCCACTCAAATTCATCGATGGACCGCCATCGTCGAACTTTATTCTCGGCCACTCGACCGTGACCTCTGTGCGGATGTGTTTTCCGGTCCTCCAAGTCCAGTTGTGACTGACTCCTCCGCCAGGACGTGCCCGAGATCGGAGACCAATGGCGGGAACAATACGGCGCGACGTTTATGGCCAGGGGCATGTTTGGGGTAAGTGGAGCGGCAAGCGCCTGTCCGCGAGCTTTTCGCTCACCTGCATGTGCAGGCAAACGACTTGCACACCAAAGACGTCAAGGCTGTCGCCCACATCCTCGGCAACAGTTCGCTGTATCCGAAATCGTCGGATTCGCTTATAAGCCTTAGTCGTGTCTTCGGCGAGGGAGTTCTCACTGTGGATATGGATCCTCATAGGCGTCAGGTATGCCTCCATCCTTGACGTGATGACCTTATAGTTTTGATTCAATCCTCGATGACTGCAGCGCAAAATCCTTGTGAGTTTGTTGATTTGCCACGGATCCGTGTTTGAGAACTTCCCCAGCACCCAGCGTTTGGTTTACAGCAAATTGGTCCAATGAATGAGGTCTTCTTGGAGAAGGCGATCGTGGTAAGTTTTCCTTTTGGCTCGCCCCAACTCGCGATCACTGATTCACTTGAAGTTGCGAGACTTGTTGGCGGAAGATGTCGAAAAAGCTGGTGGAACCGCCACAATCGACATTTCCGAGATGTTCCGTCGAGCTACGCTGGATATCATGGGACAGACCGGTGTGTGATCTTGTTTCTCGAGTACGTCAGCCACGCGTCATCCTATACCACCAGGATTTGGATACGATTTCAACTCCCTCGAGTCCGGCGGTAAGAATGAAGGAGATTTGGGCAAAGCCTTCCATCTGCTGAGCCACGTTCCCAACGCCAACTTTCATCGCGCTATGCAGCTCGCTCAAGTGACCATCCCGGTCCTAAAGTTCTTTGTACGTGTGCAAGAGGCTCATTGAAAGACGAGTCCTGGCTTACAAATTCACTCCCAGCCGCTGCCCGGCTGGCGGAATACGCAATTTGCCAAAAAGGTACTGCATGCGGTGGGAACAGACCTTTTGCGTAAGTCCAAGGACGAAGCACGGGCACTCGGAGAGAAGGAATTGGGTTCCGGGCGGGATCTTCTTTCCGTCCTGGTCAAGGCGAACATGTCAGCGGAAATCCCGGATAGTCAACGGTTGAGCGACGATGAAGTTATTGCCCGTGCGTTTTCGGCTCAGAAGAACCGATCTCGATTGACGCTGATATCCCAGAAATTCCGACGTTTCTCCTCGCCGGGCATGACACTAGCAGCGTTGCGCTGGGCTGGACCGTTCATGCGTTATCGCAGCACCCCGCTGTGCAAGACAAGCTGCGCCGGGAGCTCCTTTCTCTCCAGACGGAAACGCCAACCATGGACGAGTTGAACACGTTGACATTCTTCGAGACCGTGCTGAAGGAGGTTCTGAGATTATACTCACCTGTAGTCTTTGTTCATCGTGAGGCGCATCAAGACGATGTGCTCTCGCTGAGCAAGCCTTATGTGGATCGGTGGGGCATCTCTCATGAGGCTCTCCCGTGCGTTGCTTTGCTCTGCTACAATGTACCACAGAACTGACGCATGGCAGCATCTCCAAGGGTCAATTAATCACAATTCCGATCCTGGCCATCAACACCAACAAGGAGATTTGGGGTGAGGATGCCCTTGAGTTCAAGTGCGTGCATTTCTGTGACTCTGAGAACATGATCGGAACGTTGCTTTTTTATTGTTGTACAGGCCCGAACGGTGGGATAAACTCCCTGAGGCGGTGCAGTCTATCCCCGGAGTTTGGGGTCATCAGTTGACCTTCCTGACTGGCGTCCATAGCTGTATCGGTTTCCAATTCTCGATCGTTGAGTGAGTCAGATTTCTGCTGCTATGCTTGAGGGGCAGGTTACTCATGAGGTGCCTATAGACAAAAGGCAATCCTGTTCAGTCTCCTTCGGGCCTTTGAGTTCCTGCCAGGTGCACACCCTGTCCACCCAGTAATCTCAGCGCAGCTTCAGCGACCAGCCTCATTTGTTTCCAATGGGAAGGGTGGACTGGTATCAATGGGTGGATTGTCTGTTGTGCTGAAATCCTTTTAATGTGACAATCAACCAAGAATAAAGTTGACTCTTTGACCCTTACAACAACATTTTGACACCCATGGGCTCAGTCAATGAGGACATCAACCCTAGAGAGGGGATATTGCCATAATCTGATCATTCTTATCTGTTGATCAAATATCATCTGTCAAGATGGATGTCACGGGACACATCATATGACTCCATCACATGTCATCTAGAGTCATGCCAATTCATATCAATAGACACAAACAGCCCCCTGTATCATATGTAAGGAGGGCTCTATTACCCTTTAATGAAAGTCTCTTGACTACTGTAAGGACAACCTCGAGACCCAATCTCAGAGTTCTGGCAAGGGAGAATCCAAAGAGAAACTGTGTTGGGGATTCTCCTTGCCAGGCACCACTATTTATATGATACAGGAACAATAGACTGTGCAGCAACAAACAAGAACAATAGGAACGATAAGTACAATGGCCGTGACAGAACAATAGGAAACGGAGACAATAGGAACAATGGCACCACCTGCCATCAAGGAGAAGCACTCAGCGCGGCGGTCCGGGCCGCTGCACATGACAGCTGACAGGTTGCACAAGCGCGATCACATGCCAGATCCCAGGCTGATTGGTCCAAAGTGGGGGTTCCCCTGACAACTACTCCCACATAGTGCCCGCATTAAGTTCTCACTCACACAAGTGAGCTGCTGGATGCTCTCCCCAGTGCTCAACAGGTTATGGGTGTCAGGGGAACCCCCGCTTCAGACCGATCAGCCTGGGATTTGGCATGCAATCACGCTTGGGTGACCTGTCAGCTGTCACGCACAGTGGCCCGGACTGCCACGCCAAGTGCTTCTCTCTGATGGCAGGTGGTGCCATTGTTCCTATTGTCTCCGTTTCCTATTGTTCTGTCATGGCCATTGTACTTATTGTTCCCATTGTTCTTTGTTTGTCACTGCGCGGTCTATTGTTCTTGTACCATATAAATAGTGGCGCCTGGCAAGGAGAATCCCCAACACAGTTTCTCTTTGGATTCTCCCTTGCCAGGTATGCTGGTCTTGTACCTAGCTACCACTATTGATCACCTTTGGATTCTCCCTTGACAGAACTCTGAGATCGGTGAAATGCTGAGGGCGTGCTCACAGGTGAATCTACTATGAAAGTAAACCCAAATATAAACACGTTCACACTCCTCGTAATCAGCTTTTCAGTGTGTGAAAGATGCGAGGGCTTCGGGGTGGACAGAGCACCAGTATCACAACTCTCAATAGACGCAGATCAATAGTCATGGAAGACAAAGTCGACGACAAGAATTTATATATAGTAAACAATGGTGTCTCAACCAATATCTTCTATACGAACACAACCAACACTAATCCAATCACAACCAACGATATAACAAGTCAGAGCTTAATACAAAGTATTAAGATCCCTTGTAGCGACAGCGTCCAGGTGGCGACGCAAAGCCCAAATATCAAGTCGACGCACTGCCAACTGATACAACCAATATACTGAGTCGACGCACTGCCAACTAGTAGAACCAAAATGTCAAGTCGACGCACTGCCAACTAACAGCCAATATCCAATGCCCAAAACCCAAGCACAACTTGTCGACGCACTGCCAAGCAAGAAGTGTGGAACCAAAGTTCTCAAGTCGACGCACTGCCAACTGACCAAAACAACCCGAGCACAACTAGTCGACGCACTGCCAAGCTAGAGGTGTGGAACGATCTCAACAAAGCCCAAAGGCGACGACACTAAATGCCGCGACTAAACCAGATGCGGCGAATCCGACTTTCTGATACCTCAACTCAAACTCAAATCACAGTAGCTACAAGTGCTCAGGGAGCAACTCGTCGCGACCGGGCAGGGGTGGCAGAACTTCTTAGGGTGGAATCACGCAGCACACAAATTGTACAAAACAATCTGAGATGAGAGTGATTCACAGTCCGGGGGAAAGCTTCCCTAATACAAAGAAACAACGAGCTACTTATACTGTCTACGACAATGCTTAGTAAAGTCCTGTACAACTGCACAGTAGCTACGCTATCTAAGATCGGTTGCCTTTTAGAGTAATGAAAAGTTGGACAATCGGACAGGTCCTGAGTGATCAGGACCCCGCCCCATAGTCCATATGATACTTTTGATGTGGGTCAACCCACCGCGTCATACTTTTGGAATACGACGTGTTGGATTGGCCGACGGGTATGTCTTGGCAGGTGAGTCCAACGTGGGCGCCCCAAGAAGCCGTATGGTCCTAGGCACGCCAGTTGTTCCTCACATGGTTTGGTTCACGGATCTCGCCGTATTGATTTTAGTGTATTTGGGTATGGGCGCGACTTGCCGTGACACTTGGAAGTGTCACTGCGACGCATCCACAATGTCCCATGATCGAATGGATCCTGACATGTGACAAGTCGTCGCCGTGGCATGATCTGGGGAAACGTCCAACCCAAAAACCAGGAGTTGCCGCGACAAGGTTGGTTCAATCTCGTAACGCCAAGTCCTGTCCAGTAGTAGTTGTATTATTGAGAACGTTGCACATTGCTCAGCCCTTCAGCCCAAGTTGCCATCTGCAGAGAATGACCCTTTCTGAGAAGTCGCCGCAACAAAGATCCCTTTTTGGGGAATTGTCGCAGTCCAAGCGTTCATCACTAATAGCCCTGAGCCTGGTGTAGACTCATAAGACCAATTCCACAGTAGTGGTCTGACTGCCTTGCTATCGTCGACACTATCCACAGTCGTCGACTGGGCAGTAGACCCTTAAGCCCTACTGAACGCAACACTGTCAACCGCAACACGATACACCGAGTGGTTCAAGAGTAAACTCTGTAAAAGCGCAAAAATACGCCCTTACAGAGCTGGTGCAGAGCGTGTCTGGTAGCCAGCCTATCACCGGATTCCAAGCTGAACAGCGGACGAAATGGGTATGGCCATTCTTGTCTGGGCCCTATACTTATAAATCAGCATCGAGTAAATTTCCGGACAAGAAAAAAGACCTCGCTCAACTTCACAAGGATCGGAATACCAACACATCCTTTGGCTGGACATCCCTGAGTACCAAAACGCGAAATTGTTGCCACAAAACTGAGGAGATAAGTCATTGAACAAATCTTCAAAAAAGACTCACCTCGCTGCCCGTCCTTCTGCGCTTCCAGCGTGAGATGCATATTTATTGTTCAAGCTCGAGGTTGTGGATGTGGAGTGTTCGACTAAGATCAGCCTCGCGATGTTGATCGTTGGCGAGGTGATCAGTTTGGAAGAAAGAGCAGACAAGTGCTCCGGAGCACTTGTGGTCGGAGCGGCGCATGGGAATTGGGGTGGACTGCCCGGGAAGGAGGACCCGAGTCGTCCGTGAAGCACTGCCATTGGTACCAGAGCTCCAGGAATCGTGATCCTGGGCCAATCCACATGAACATTGAACGAACACATGAAGCAGGAAGCTCACCATAAGCTTCACCAGGCGATCAAATCCTTGCAGTGTGTCCGAGCCCATGTTCTTCTCAAATGCAAGGGGATGGTTTCGGAAATTGATGATGTAGCCAGTGTTGTGCAAGGCGGGTGGGAAGTGCGCCGGAACGTCTTTGTAGTCCCAATTGACAAGCTGGTCAACAGACTCCTTCGTTGAGATAAGGTATTTCCCATCATTCTGAGGCCGTTTCCAATGCTTGCTGTTCCAAGTAACTGGATTCGGAGGGACATCGGTGGCGGTGATGGAAGGGAAGGTCGAAGGGAGATTTGGAGAATGGATATGCCAACTTCTTGAACACAGTATTGAACACTAGCAGGAATGGTGTATAGCGCACGCACCTGGGTAAGTTGTCTGCATCCATCACTTCCTCCACCATCTGTTGTTGACTTGCACTGGGCGCAACATGAGAACTGATTTGATAGAATCAATACACATGCACCGCTTGCACATGACTTCTGGATCCGGTCCCTGTTCGGCAGAAGGCTGGCAATACACACTGAAACACATGTGAAAACACTCCTAAAGCGTTACACAGACTCACCCTTCAAGCTCCTCCTGGTCCTTGCGTTCAAGGTACTTGCTGTATTTGGCAGGATTGACCCAGCTGATGGGGTTGGAAGACGGGAAACAATCTGCCATGGCTGGTAGAAGTTCTGACACGTGGTGATCAGATGCGTTGCGCACTTAATGACTTGTCACACTCATGTAATGACCTCTTATAGTTGTCGATGTCTGCAGTTGTGGCCTGGTATAGGGCAGCAAGGACGTAGGCCTTGCGTTCAGCGCCCATGGGCGGTTGGGGCGGAGGTACGCATGTGGGAGAGGATGTAAAATTTGTCTGTGTGTGACTCCCATCACAACCTTGATACGGTGTGACTCAATGCATCACGGAAATCATGCAATAGGCATCTTTTGGCTGATAGGCATTCAATGTGAGAAATAGGTGTCATTGCATCAATAGGCATTCTTGCCATGGATAGGCATCAATGTATGCCTAGTTACTATTCTTGTATGTACTCAGTTTGAGCTTGTTTCACTGGTACACCAATATTGATGTAGCGTTCTAAGCTCTTGCGGACAGCTTTGTTCTTGTGCGGAGCCAAATGCACCTTGGGTTTGGCCCAACAAGTCGATGACAATACTGATTTATGCATTCGGGACCTGGCTAGCTCTTGTGTCAACTCGTCGACCTGACGCTGCAAGTCGATGAGTTTTTCATCAATACTACTTGCCTGACTACGCATCACGGTGCCTCCATCAGCCAAGTTCAATTCATCATTCTTAGGTTCTTTCTGATTCAAGCTTTGGAGACTTGAAGGTGAGTAGTATTCTGATTTCATTCGCTGAATCTCAGTGAAGTTTTCCAGCGCAATACGCTGGTCTTCAATTTCAAATTCATCTATAGGATCCAAGAGCGCTCCCCAGTTTCGAGGATCAACACCCTTCTTCTTGAGTTGAGGCGGATCACTATCGGATTGAGCGACACGCTCAATGACGGGATGATCAACGGCGGGGGTGGACCCAAAGATTGGACAGAAAGAGCTCGCAAGAGAGGGCTCCCGTTCAAGTTCAGTAAAATCATCTATCCCATTATCTACTGTATTTGTTCTGATCAAATCTTTGTTCACACTCCCTGTGACATTTTCACACAAAGAGCTCTGTTCAGCCGCTGCAGCTAAAGCTTCCTGAGCAATAGCTTGATGGCGGTAGGCAAATCCAACCAGCTCTTGAATGCTCATGCTCGCCATTGCGCGGGCAACGGTTGTGGGCATGAGCAAGGATGCTGTTCACTCGTGCGGTCCTGGGTTAATGGCGACCAAACGGCGCTGCGTAACGGCGCTGTCAAAGCATCACTAGCCTCATCGTCAAATTCAATAAGGTTCTCCCTGTCAGAGACAGGGGCTGGGTTCGCCGGACCGGAGTCCAGGATGTCTCGTGGCAACCAGGGTGACCCCACAGGCATTGCCACGGCTGAGGAAGGAGGAGGAGCGACCAGCATTCCCACGCGAATGTACAGCAAGTCGGGGGAAGCCAGCTGACCGCGGGAGGCTGACCGAGCCATCGTCACACAGTTGTCGGGGCGATGAGGAGCCGGAGTGTCAGCCTGGACACTCAGGGGTCTGGCGATGTTGGCTGTCGGCCCCGAATCAGATGCAGCAGAAGCTGGGGTGGCGTAAGAGGGATGTAGAGGATTCCCAGCTCAAGTGTTTGGGTGGAAGCGGTGGGGTCATCTGCCCGGATTGTTCATTGTCAAAGGTTCGGAGTTCGGGGTGTATCATCGTTGAGGCTTCGTCCTCGAGAAGGTTCAGGGGTTTGTGGTGAGTCAAGTGTTGACCGCGGGAAGCAAAGCGTCGACAGATCAAGCCTAGACTCTCAAAAATATGTGACGGAAGCTGCCATACAGAGAGGTTCCGCCACACGGAAGGGCAGAGGTGAGAGGGATAAGGATAGGATGGACTAAAGAAAAGCGAATACACAGGGGTAGACTACTATATACTACGATTGGACGCTGTGCCAGCCAAACACCGTCAAATGCCAATCAAATTATCACGGGATTCCTGTAATGCAACATTTCCGCTACAGTGTTGATCAGTAACTACTATTGATCGTAACAAAGCGGTTAAATAGCAATAAAGTGGTTATTCCACTCAAGCTCTCTTCCTGCTGGAGATATTCCTCTGGAACTTTTTGCACTTCATTCTTATACATGTAAGCTTGCTGAATCGTGGATACCTGGGGAAAATACGCAAGGAAATGGTTTGACAAGCCCTGCCTGTCATAGTTCAATCACTTTTTCATCTTTTCATCAATCATCTTATCTTATCTTGACATGGGTTATTTTATCATGGATCACAGCATTACACGGTCCGGGTTAGGGGCCCAGGGGGTTATCTCTTTTGATTTGAGGCTGCGTGACATGTGCGCTGGAAGGTTCTACTACAACCATGACCAGTGCTCCATGCCGTACATAGATCTCATGACTCATTAGTTGTAGATATGACTCCAATTGGATTTGGGTATAAATACTGTAGCTACTTTGTTGTATTCTCCAGTCTTCAAATTGACTTCTCTTTTCAACATTGTTGCTTGTTGATTGTCACATGTAGCTACTGTAAGGCTTGGGTTTGGCTCAACGTTACCTGTGGCCTGGTGCTGTTTGCTCAATATGAACCCTTCACTGCAATCGCAGGGAACAACTAGATGATTCGGTCGAAATGTGAGTGGTTTGATAAGAGTGTGGAGGATATAGCGGGCGTAGCGGTGCAGGATGCAGGGTAGGAGGTAAGAGGTACAAGGGTATGAGGGGAGTCTTTGAATTATGTGACAATCAACAAGAAACAATGTTGAAAAGAGAAGTCAATTTGAAGACTGGAGAATACAACAAAGTAACTACAGTATTCATACCCAAATCCAGTCTTAGTCATATCTACAACTAATGAGTCATAAGGCTATGTACCGCATGGAGCACTGGTCATGGGTTGTAGTAGAACCTTCCGGAGCATATGTCACGCAGCCTCAAGTTGATAAAGAAAATCCCCCAGACCCTAGTCCAGACCGTCAGATGCCGTGATCCGCAATAAGATAACTCGTGTTGAGATAAGTTAAGATTGTCAATGATAGGATGAAAAAGGGTCAAATTATGACACATTTGGTGTATTGTGTTGCGGTTGACAGTGTTGCGTTCAGTAGGGCTTAAGGGTCTACTGCCCAGTCGACGACTGTGGATAGTGTCGACGATAGCAAGGCAGTCAGACCACTACTGTGGAATTGGTCTTATGAGTCTACACCAGGCTCAGGGCTATTAGTGATGAACGCTTGGACTGCGACAATTCCCCAAAAAGGGATCTTTGTTGCGGCGACTTCTCAGAAAGGGTCATTCTCTGCAGATGGGAACTTGGGCTGAAGGGCTGAGCAATGTGCAACGTTCTCAATAATACAACTACTACTGGACAGGACTTGGCGTTACGAGATTGAACCAACCTTGTCGCGGCAACTCCTGGTTTTTGGGTTGGACGTTTCCCCAGATCATGCCACGGCGACGACTTGTCACATGTCAGGATCCATTCGATCATGGGACATTGTGGATGCGTCGCAGTGACACTTCCAAGTGTCACGGCAAGTCGCGCCCATACCCAAATACACTAAAATCAATACGGCGAGATCCGTGAACCAAACCATGTGAGGAACAACTGGCGTGCCTAGGACCATACGGCTTCTTGGGGCGCCCACGTTGGACTCACCTGCCAAGACATACCCGTCGGCCAATCCAACACGTCGTATTCCAAAAGTATGACGCGGTGGGTTGACCCACATCAAAAGTATCATATGGACTATGGGGCGGGGTCCTGATCACTCAGGACCTGTCCGATTGTCCAACTTTTCATTACTCTAAAAGGCAACCGATCTTAGATAGCGTAGCTACTGTGCAGTTGTACAGGACTTTACTAAGCATTGTCGTAGACAGTATAAGTAGCTCGTCGTTTCTTTGTATTAGGGAAGCTTTCCCCCGGACTGTGAATCACTCTCATCTCAGATTGTTTTGTACAATTTGTGTGCTGCGTGATTCCACCCTAAGAAGTTCTGCCACCCCTGCCCGGTCGCGACGAGTTGCTCCCTGAGCACTTGTAGCTACTGTGATTTGAGTTTGAGTTGAGGTATCAGAAAGTCGGATTCGCCGCATCTGGTTTAGTCGCGGCATTTAGTGTCGTCGCCTTTGGGCTTTGTTGAGATCGTTCCACACCTCTAGCTTGGCAGTGCGTCGACTAGTTGTGCTCGGGTTGTTTTGGTCAGTTGGCCACTCTAGGCAGACTGGTATGAGACCCTAACAGGGTGGTCAAATGGGTCATTTTTGGTACCCGAGTAGGGTCAAATACCACTATGTCGGGCAGCAACCAACTTCCATGTGGGTATGGGTAACCCAGGGTAAAAACGTTGGTCAGGACCAAACAAAGAGCAGGTGGTGCCTACCACACGGACGGAATCAGTGGTTCCAACCAGGGTGTGGAATGTGGTATTTGCCGCCCCGGTACCGTGCAGATATTGAAACTGAATTTTTGCGCAATCAGGGCGGTATTGCAGATAGGACGGGTATGGGCACAGGCTCGAGCGTCGGAGCACTCTGACAACTCTTGCAAGCACCCTGGAGGCCGGGCTGCGGCCATAGGAGCCCCCAGTGCTGTCCGCAGGCCAAATGTCGGATTTTCTGCGATCAGGGTGGTATTGCAGATAGGACGGGTATGGGCACAGGCTCGAGCGTCACAGCACTCTGACAACTCTTGCAAGCACCCTGAAGGCCTGGCTGAGGCTATAGGAGCCCCCAGTACTGTCCGCAGGCCAAATGTCGGATTTTCTGCGATCAGGCCGGTATTGCAGATAGGACGGGTATGGGCACAGGCTCGAGCGTCACAGCACTCTGACAACTCTTGCAAGCACCCTGGAGGCCGGGCTGCGGCCATAGGAGCCCCCAGTGCTGTCTGCCGGCCATATGTCGGATTTTCTGCGATCAGGGCGGTATTGCAGATAGGACGGGTATGGGCACAGGCTCGAGCGTCACAGCACTCTAACAACTCTTGCAAGCACCCTGGAGGCCGGGCTGCGGCCATAGGAGCCCCCAGTGCTGTCCGCAGGCCAAATGTCGGATTTTCTGCGATCAGGGCGGTATTGCAGATAGGACGGGTATGGGCACAGGCTCGAGCGTCACAGCACTCTGACAACTGTTATGAGCACCCTGGAGGCCGGGCTGCGGCCATAGGAGCCCCCAGTGCTGTCCGCAGGCCAAATGTCGGATTT